TTTGCCTCACCCGTTCCTGTATCGTGCACATTATGGCGGGGTCTTTTTTGGAGGAACAAACCATGGTTGCGAACTGTGAGGCTGCACGTTGGACCGCCAAGGCTGGTGGAATTAGCTTCCTGGAACGGGAGAAATGGTCTGATGGTCATTTCGTCCTGCGACACTCAATGGTAGTCGGGAAATGGCCGAAGTATTGTTCATTCGCCTTCCGCCACAGCTGAGCTCGGCTCATCGCGTGGCACACCCGGTACAGAGCTCTCAGTAAAGATCCTGATCATATCTGTTAGATCCGAGATCTGCTGTTTCAACTGGGCAATCTCCGAGCCGGTGCTCTCTTCCAGAACATTGGGCGTGGTGTCCTCAACAACCTGTTTCCAGCTATCATCAAGGTCAAAGTCAACGCCCCCGGCGACTTGTTCCCACTCCTGCATGTGGTCATCATCCTCGTCGCCCCGACGGCGGTTTGATCGGATGCGACGGGCGTCACGGGTCTCGAAGTACGCAGTCACGACGAGGATCGGGGAGTATATAATGCCCATCACGATGTCGTTTAACCGTGCATAGTACTGGCGCGGCAGCCACCACTCAAAGGGAATGATCAGGAAGACAATCTCGAGCAGGTTGAATGCTAGTCAAAGTCATTTTTATTCACCATTAGTAGGTCCTGAACACGGGAACTCACGTGGTATGAAAACATTTTCATCGGGTGCCCGGATAAACTGCATTGTCTTTTTAGCAAAAACGGCCATGTACTCGTCGTTGGCATTGCCGGAAATATCCTCATATGCGCTGTTGTACAGCGCAATCAAGATGTTCAAGAGAACTATCAGAACGGTACATCAGCAAACCAGCAGCGAAACGGTGATGGAAGGGGTTGGCTCACTAGTCATGACGATGAAGTTGTAGATGTAATATAAGATCATGCCGAAAGGAAATGCAAACTCTTCGAATAGGCCAAATTCAGGGCTTTGCATCACGCTGTTGGCCATCCCCACCAGGATCGTCTTCGTGATCGGGACATCACTGGAGGCTTGGGCCATCCCAACGAAGGCTTGGAAGAAACCGATCAGGACGACGAAGAGAAGGGCGAAGAAGATCAGGCTTTCTTTCATCATGACTCGGAGAACAACAACCATGACACCAAAGAACCGGATGGAATCAAGATAAAGAATCATGCGGATCCAAAACATCGGCCCCGAGAAGGCCAGGAAATTGTAGCTCAACTCATTCAGCCTCTGTCTCTCTGCATCGTCGGTGGAGGAAGAATGCGTCAAAGCAGCTATGCGCAAGAAAAAGGAAATCGCAAGGATCGTATACATCGTGGAGTTGAGGGCATTCCAGAAGTCAAAGTAATTCGTCCCGATCTTCCACAACTTCGCCAGCTCATCGCAGATGAACGCGAGCGTCATGACATATAAAACGCCTTCGACGACATCCAAGTTTCCACTGGGATTGACAGTGTTTATAACCTCGGTGTACAGCCCAAGGTACACCAAGGAGAAGAGGATTTGGCATATCTTCTGATAAGAAGGCGTTCTCATCCGGTCGGGGTGAAAATGAGCGGCGAAGCTGGTGTTGTCTTTTTCAGGGTATGGAACGAAATTCGTGTTGTTCCCACCCTCCTGCCAAAACCAGCCGTTCCATAGACACCTGATACATTTCTGGTATCCAGAGGACCCGATGACCTCAAGGGCATGCAGATCGACGGCGCGTTCGATCACATTAGCCGGCGCCGTGTCTTCCCCGTCAACGAAGATGGAGTACCGCTTCAGTAAAATGTGGATCAGCATGAAATCCTGATCCTCCTCGGCCTCGATACTGTATACTTCATTAGCGCTCGTTGCACACAACCTTGAACGCGGGGAGATCTGTGCTACATTTGCTTTGCAATGACCTGACATGCGAGAGCCCTGCACTGGTGAAGGTCGGAATCCCAAAGCTCCTCCCCAGCCTGAGCCTTGAACCATCGCACACAAACGAGCAAGCAGAAGGGAACGCATCCCCGCAGATCCTCGCCCCCTGCTTGCTTGGCGGCTTGGACTACACTGGCGGTGATCACGCGGCTGTTTGGGTTGGTAATGATTTTTTTTTCAAGCTCGCAGGGAATGAGCTGCTCGATCTGGTATCTCAACCGGAGAGCGATTTTAGTCACCTCCTTCGAAGGAAGTGCCGCAGGGATTGGATCAGCGGCATAGGCGGGTAGCACTATCCTCATTCCTGTCAGTCAAGGGTTTGGGGGTAGACGGTGAAGTGTACAATGACATACGGCGGTGTCGGTCGCTAGAAGGACGATCACTGGTAGTTTCCCTGCTATCGCTATTGAATAATATTTGCCAAAGGCCCATCGTAAGAAGATCAATGGAGCTGACCAGGACGGTCTAGTGGGAGGTGGTCAGTGTGATGTTTACAAAATCCCGTAACTCATAACGAAGAGATATCCGGGGGTAAACTAAGCCGGGGGCCCCGAGGCTTATCGAAGATCCAACTACCCCACTTCTCGGCCACCCAACCATCACACTGGTCGGTCGCATCTTAGATACGATGCATTCAAATCTAAAGTTTGCTACAAGTCGCATGCTTTCAAAAATACCCTCGCCAAACTGGAGAATAATAAATTGATAAGCTCTAACAATAGGTACCACTTGCATTGATCCTTAGATCAAAAAAAGCTTATGTACATCAGAACATGGAATTAAGCACCATCGTCCGAAGCGCAGTCACCGACCAGCAGATATTCAAGTGACCGGAAAGGGCCACTCTCGTACCGAAGACAGTATATGTAGCACATTATGCCATCGCTGCCAACCGTGATTGCGCCTGTGAGCACATTAAACCGTCTCCAGTCTCATAAATCGTATCGCATCGAAACCTTTCTATTGAACTTTTTTTTGTCGGCCTCCTCCAAGTAGACAACCCAATACCAAGGATCAACCTGTCCCCAGGCATATTAAGGCTACCCAACTCCTGTTTGTGCAGATGTTTTGAAACTTTTTCGCTCCGTCGGGATGGGCCATAAGCCGAAGGCGGTGCTGCAAGATGGGATGTGTGTGATTTATTCAGGAACACCGGCATCGTCGCTCTCGGAGTCATTCTCATCTCCGCTGACCTCCATGTTCTCGCGCTCACGCTTCTCCATAAGCTCCTGGAGAACAGCATCATCATGCTCCGTGACAGCCTTAGGCTCCATCTTGACGATGCAACCACCGCCCGCTTCCTTGATCGCGACCGAGATTCTCTGGATAGCTTCCTCGAGCTGCTTGATACCAACAGCCTTATCCAAGCACTGGCTAGTCAAGACATACAGGGGAGGAGCGACCAGCTTGACCTTGATTTGGCTCTCTTCGGTATTGCTCGCCTCCGCAGTGCGCAGGGCGTTCTTGACCGCGTCGATTCCTTCATAACCGAAGCAGGTGACCTCGATATCCGCACGGATCTTGGTGGGGTGGGGAGTGAGTCGCTTGCTGATATAGTGCGTCAACTCCTTCTTCACCGCTTCGCTGGGGAACTCCACATCGTTCCAGACGTCGGTGTTACTGAGCAATGTTAGATAACTGCAGGCGGCACCGGCGAACGAGAGATCTTACGTGATCGAGATCTTGAAAGCATCATGCGAATGCCCGTACTTCTGGTTCAAGGGCCAGCCGATCTTCTGATATAGCTCCTCGAGGGGAGTCTGGGTGGCCTCCGCAACATGGCGCATGATGGAGTGCACTGCCTTGCTCTTGTTGTATCTCTCCTCACACTTCACCACATCCTCCGGAGACACTCGTCGCTTGGAAAGATCGATATATCCTTTCTCCTTATCGACACGGAGCACAATAACGACCTCATTGCGTCCAATTCGGATGAGCTTCTGGATACTACGGATACGTCTGCGCGACAGTTCCGAGAGCAGGATCATTCCGTCGATGTTGTCATATTCGAGAAGTTTCACGTATGCGCCCATCTCGGCAATCTGGCAAGTCGGCATGACACTGATTAGAATCTGCTCCATACGGGCCACCCAGAAGTCCTCTCAAGATACACGCACCTGCTTCACGTTGACCATGACATAGCTGTCAACCTCCGGATACTTCTCCTCGTAAAAACGGCAGTTTGTTAACGACATTTTGGCGGGGTTGCGCCTGCTGCCCAGCTAGACTCCACGAACGAAAAACCACGGGAATCTGAAGAAAAGCGAAAAGGAATCACGAGAGAGTCCTTCGAGTAGTCTTCCGCGGGGATAAGGAAGTCGAAGATGGGGTGATCGAGTGCTCGTTCAGGGACCGAATACTTTGCTGGGAGCGAACACAATTCAAAACCTCAAAACCCACTTTGGGCTTTGCGTGGGTGACTCATCACGTGCACCGCCGCCACCTCACCGCCCGGCAGATTGATTGCTCACTATTTTCCCATTTTCCTCTTAGTTACTTCTTAGTTACGGGAGTAGGGAGTACTCTATCGCCGATTGCATAGTTGGAAAGGTCTCTTATCAGTCTCATCCCCGACGATCCATCCACTACACAGTGCGGAAACAAGAGAACCCCTCAGCCCCGGTACAGCAGTCATTCGAAACGTGGGAGTGCCCTAAACAGTACTTTTCCAGGTTCACACTGGTCGATTTCGTCATTTATGTGGTAATAAATTACTTTTCTTTCCAGGAAAAACTTACTATCCCTCTACGGGTAATGGCCACCTCCGTTGGCACTAATGCGCTGTCTACCTACTCGCGTTGACCAATGTCGTGAACCCATTACCATATCGATTGGCTCAAGAATTCTTTGCTCGCCCTTTGCTTCCTCCTCTTCTTTCACCCCTAGATGTATGGCGTGTTGTCGACGAAGATCCCGTCGCCTTCATCCCTGAAGCCATTTTCGTTGCTATTGACTTGACTTCTCTCGAGAATGTCGAGCTCTAGTTACCTGCATGAGTCGGGTCAACACCGCTCTTTGCGGGACCGTATACTCGGCATCTTTTATTCCTCTCCACCGAATCGCTCGGAGAATACCACGCATAGTCGTGATGACTCCATCGATGAATCGACAACCCAAATTCCCGATGCCAGAACCCGTCTGTTAGAGTCGTATAACCGCCCAGATCCTGTAGGCGGTTCAAGAGAATCATACAACCACGGCACCTTCTCTCCCCAGATACACGAGGGGGATGCTCGCTATATGGATATAGACTCGATGCGGGACGCTGGGAATGGGGGCGGCACAGGCCGCGGAGGGGCGTTCACACAGAATCAGACTCCCAGCGGAGCTTTGGACGGGGCACAAGGGCCGGAGAACATGCCTTCGATGCACTCATCCATTTCAGGGTTACCCGTCCACAACCATAAAAAACTGTATGTTGTGGTTCCATGCAGCTTCTTGATTCCAGTGGCTATTCGCTCCCATTTCAGGTTTGACTGACTGACTGTTTTACAGTTATATCTCGTATTACATTCCCTTCTTCAACTGGATTACCCAGTATCGCTTATCGTTCCTTCGGGGAGACTTCATCGCCGCATTGACTGTTGGGTCAATCTACATTCCGATGGCACTATCCTTGTCATCCAATCTCGCCCATGCTCCTCCGATCAACGGGCTATACTCCTTTGTGATTTGTCCTTTCATATACGCCATCCTGGGAAGCAGCCCTCTGCTGGTAGTCGGACCTGAAGCGGCTGGATCCTTGCTTATAGGCACGATCGTGAAGACCAGCGTCAAACAAGGAGAATCGAATGAGGAAGATGGCATCGCAAATGCTATGGTTGTGGGGGTAGCTACGGCCATGGCCGGGGCGATGATCCTCGTTGCTGGCCTCACGCGGCTTGGATTTTTGGATAATGTGCTCAGCCGACCTTTCCTGAGAGGCTTTATAACTGCTATTGGCTTCGTCATCGTCGTGGATCAGCTGATTCCGGAGGTTGGTTTGGCTGAACTGGCTAAGGAGGTTGGTGTGAGCCACGGAAGCACGGTGGATAAGCTGGTATTCTTCGTAACGAATATTCGTGAATGCCACGGCCTTACCGCCGCGGTCTCCGGCTGTAGCTTCTTCGTTATCATGTTATTCCGGTACGTGTCACCAATTACCAACGGGGATATAGGCAAGATCTAACTCATCCTTGTTTAGGACTCTGAAGAAGTTCATCGAACCACGGTTCCCCCATGTTGTTTATGTCCCAGACCGCATTCTCGTGGTCATTCTATCCGCGGTCTTGACATGGCACTTTGGCTGGCATGAGCGTGGGCTCGAGATCCTGGGCCCGACCAAGAATACCGCCGCGGGGGTGTTCAAGTTCGAGTGGCCTTTCCAGTTCAAGCACGTGAAGCATGTGCGCACTGCGATGAGCACATCCTTCATCATCGCCCTCCTTGGCTTCTTCGAGTCCTCCGTGGCCGCTAAAGGACTGGGCGATACGAAACCGGATGGAGTGCAGGGAATCTCCGTCAGTGCTAACAGGGAAATGGTGGCGCTGGGCGTTGCTAACGTTGGTGCTGGCTGTTTCATGGGACTTCCCGCGTTCGGTGGATACGGCAGAAGCAAGGTCAATGCTTCTACTGGAGCTCGTTCTCCGATGAGCAGCATATTCCTGAGTATCATCACATTTGTGTCCATCATGGTGCTCTTGCCCTACCTCTACTATCTGCCGGTAAGCTTTGATCCAGGACAGCCGACGGAAGGTATGCTAATGATCTACAGAAAGCCGTTTTGTGCTCCATGATTTCCGTGGTCGCCTTCAGCTTGATCGAAGAGTGTCCTCACGACGTGGCCTTTTTTATCCGTCTACGCGGGTGGTCAGAGCTCGTCCTGATGCTCCTCATCTTCGTTTCAACGATCTTCTATTCTCTGGAGCTGGGAATTGCCCTCGGAATGGGCCTATCTATAATAATCCTGGTCCGCCACTCCACCCAGCCTCGAATCCAGATTCTCGGCAAGATCATTGGCGCCCCCGATCGATTCGAAAGCGCCGAACTGCACGCCGAAGAAGTGGAACTCGTCGAAGGTGCCCTGATCGTCCGGATCCCGGAACCACTCACGTTCGCCAACACGGGAGATCTCAAGAACCGTCTCCGCCGTTTGGAGCTGTATGGAACCAGCCGGGCGCACCCGTCCCTCCCTCGCATGCGGTCCCCCGAGCACAACAAGAACGTAATCTTCGACGTCCACGGCGTGACTAGTATCGACGGCTCCGGAACCCAGGTTCTGTACGAGATAGTAGACGGCTATGTGAAAGTCGACGCGAGCGTCTACTTCTGCCGTCTGCAAAACCGCGGTGTCTTTCGCATGTTTGAGAGGAGCGGTATCGTGGACCGATGCGGCGGATTGGCGCATTTCCTCCCTAGCGTGGACGAGGCGCTCAAGCTTGCGGAGTCTGAAGACCGTGGCCGGGATGTTTGAGTGTTCTCGGGAAACGGCCTCGGTGGTGTATGGCCCAGTTTTCTGGTACAACCACGTCCTGTTATGACTTGAAGACCTTGCATCCGTTTTTGAGCGATGGAAATTTGTCTCTGGCGTTCGGTGTAAATAAGCCAGTCTCCCATGTAGACCCGAGAAGAAAAAATAGAGATAGCCAGATATAAAGCGTCTCAGCGACTCATTCTTCAATGTAAAGCCCCATCAAATCAAACACCCTGCTCATCGACGGACGCAACCCTGCGCATAACCGCAAGCAAGAGCGCCTCATTCGCCCGTAGCATAAGCCGGGCCTTCTCACCAGTCTCACTCCCCACCTCACCCCCCACCAACTCCTCATCATCAGCCCCGGGTATCATCTTCTGCACCGCAACCAACTTCAGTTTCCCATCACCACCAAGCAAGAACCCCCCACAAGCAATTCTGCTCACACGCACGTGCTCCTTAGCCGGACTATGCCCCTTATCAGACTCCGCGCTCAAATCCAATTTCATAGCTAGGTGTTTCTCAAGGTACGACGAAAGATTCGACAGAATAGACCCATCTGCGCGACTAGTCTCGGTCTCGACGAAATCAGCGAACGATCCGCGCGGGATGTTAACGTTGAGAGACCGTAGCTCTGGCGCGATGGATGACGAGAATGACAGCGTGATCTGCATCTCTTTGACCACGTCTTCGAGGATACTCTGTCGCTGCGCAGCGCGGTCGTCATCCTCGGTGATCATTCCATTGACGTAGGCTTCTAGCCCGGCGCACATGAAATGCGACGGGAAGCGCAGAGCGGAGCAATACGTGTCGAAGTTTGCAGCTAGGAAGGAGACGAATGTTTGGCGGAGGGGGCCCGGCAGGCGCGTTAACAGGAGCGGAAGATGGGTGGATCCTTTGCGGTCGGGGGTGGGAGAGCCTGTAGTCGGGGGAGGGGCGAGCAACGCGGCTTTGTAGACGATATTCTCATATTCCAGTGTCACGAGGATTCCGGGTTGCTGCTTTGGTTGCCGACGGTTAGATCGAGATTGTGTTTGCGGTTCGCTGAGGAATGAGAGGCTTGGGAGTGTCTCCCAGGTGCAGGATTTGAGAGCGCCTGTTCGGGAGAGAGCTTCGTCGTCTGCGACTGCGCCTGATGCAATACCACCCGTTTGGAGCCCGCCTAGTGTGTTCCCGGTGAGTTGGTCTTGGAGTCGCGATGCGTATGTCTTTAATGCGGTGGGACTGCTGAGGGTCGCGAACTCTTTTTCGTGGTGGAGGGGGGAGAGGCGGTGGAGGGTCCAGGAGGTGTTTAGGAGGTGGTGGGGGGTGGCTGGTGCCATCTTAAAATCCGGTGTTAGACGTTGGAATACTCTTGAAGTGTATACATATCAAAGCTTATGGGTAGCTCCGGTGTAGATAGATGCGCTCTGGATAAGACGCGACTTGCACAAACAAGGCAAACAAGCTAGCGCCTAGAATTGGGACTGCGTAGGGTTTAGGGTTACCTACTTGAGTTGCTTGATAACCATTCCCATGGGAATGTAGGTATGACAGGAGTTAGGTAGCTTACAGTCAAACATGGCCAATAGGAACTAATTTATTTGGCAATGGCCATGACGCTTCCTTTGAGTTTCATGGAGTGCAACAAAATTTGTCTCATTCAATACTACATGAACAACCACGAGGTCCCCAGACCGAAACGCCAAACCCCAAATAAATGGACAAGAAACGCCGCTCAAAAGAGCATGGTATAATTATGCTTGCCAACCCACGGATTCCCGACATTCCTCGCAGCCAAATAATATAGGCAAATCTTCTCGGACCATGATGCGCTCGGCATCATGTGGTCCCACGCCCCTGGAAGCCAATTCCTTGCGGACAATGTTAAACCAGACGTCCTGCAAGGAATTATGCAGATGTTCGCTTGGAGCTTTCTGAAATACCAACGACTTGATCTTATCTTGTTCGTTCAATGTAATATCGTGGTGGAAATTGTGCATGAAGTCCTTCCGCTGCATCCGCTGGCTGCCGCCATCCCCGATCTCCGCAGAGAAATATTCGACGATCCGCACGAAGGGTGACACGGTGAGCAGCGAGCCTATCCAACTGTCGTCTGGCACAGTGGTAGTTTCGTCGGGCGGTACGGTGTATTGTAGATAGCACACAAGAAGACTCATGCAATGGTTTGCCGATATTAAGGTGGGTGTATCGGTGAAAGGAGGGGATTGGACGATCTTCTTCTGTAATTCGCGGTACATAGATTTACCAATGTCGGGAGGGATAGGAACTGGCAGTCGTCCAGCTTCGAAATCGCGTAAAAGGGTATTGGTATGCTCGCGCCTGGCTAGGCTATACGCCTCTAGAAAGTATAATACATAAAACCTATAAAGGAAGGCGCATTAGAAATGCCGACGGATGTCTTTCGGGGATCACACTTACATCAGTGGCATTAAGTGGAACATTATTCTGGCAGTTCCCCGTCTCACAAAATCATTGCGCTCACCCCTTGACGGGAACAAGGTCCTCATGTACACCGGCTCCCTGTGAACGAATCGATCCATGACTCGGTCCGCGATGTAGTAGCATAGCCTCGAGCAGAGATTCTGCCGCCGCTGAAGGCTATAGATGTACCGAAAGGTGTATAGATGGCCACCCTTTGCGCTCTTTGCGGGAGGGAAGAGATCCGACAGGAGCACCACATCGTCTTCCGGGTTTCGAGTGTATGTTCGCTCGCTGTCTATCGGGGATGGGAGGGTGCCATGACGACGTTGGCGAAGATAATGTCGCGTAATGAGTTGTTCGTGCGCGGTAAGGAGCTGGTTGAAGGACTGGCAGACGAGCTTCAGAGGTACAAAGTCCCTTATCCCGCATTGGGTAAAGATTTTAATCTGGACCTCGACAGGGAGGACATCCCAAGGGGACGATGTGGGCACTATGTTTACTCTGCCGAGTCTAAACAAACAGAAACATTAGCGATCTACCATATGTGGGAGCCACCAGTGGGTTCAAAATTCAGAGAGAGCTTGGACATACACTGATGTTGACGATACCGACGGAAAGGCACTGTGCCTAAATGGATTATGGTTCTTTTTAGACTCCGACTTCCTCCTCCTCTGGAGGGCCGCGCGAGCTTTTTTCACATGGAGGACTAATTGGGATAGTGAGCTCATTCTCGTGATACAGAGCAGTGGCTGAGGAGACCTGCTCCAATCTCAGGGCCAGTGTCAAAGAAAGTTGTCACCATGCGCAGACCCAATAGTCCCCTGCTTCAAGGAAACTGGCTGACCCATGCGGATGATTGTTGTGGCTGCGCTAGTGCTCCGCCCGGCAGAGGAAGGAGGGGACGGGTCTGACTAAGCCGCAACCAAGGCTCTCCTCTGAGCCAATCTATTTTAGGACTGGTCTGGCCGTGTCTGATAAGAGGGTCGAATTGATGTAGACCTTGTATAGGCTTTCAACAGGCCAATTAAGTCCACACTGATTTCGTATATAAAATTTTGGATCTTCAAAGTGGATTCTGATCAAGCATATTGTGGCTCTCCGATGCCGATTCCCCGTCACTATGTACATCTGTACTTCCCGAGAGTGTTGACCGTCTGACGTCATTATCTATCAAGGTTACGTCAAGCCAGCCATCACACAATTGTTCATGGCTAGGAAATGTTACTCTATAAATTAATATACGAATACAGCTTTTGATACGGGCAATAACTCATCAGCCGATTCCACAGCTCCCTTATACTACCATAAAGCGCGCAAAAATGACCAACAATATCCTGATAGTCGGTGCGACGAGAGGGCTAGGCGCCTCACTCAAGAGTATCTACGCATCGAAGCCATCGACGAATGTCTTCGCAACGACACGATCAAATCCGCCATCTGACTCCGAGCACAACGTTTCTTGGGTTCCAAATGTCGATGTCTCACATCCCGACGTGGGCCAGACCCTTGTGAAACAACTACCATCACCACTTAAGCTATCGACGGTGATAATCACAGCAGGGTACTTTGGCTTCGAGTCATTCGACAGCCCAGACTGGGAGAAGCAGGTCAAGATGTACACGACATCAGCCATCGGGCCGGTATTCGTTGTCCAGAATCTCGTCAAGGCAGAACTCCTCGACAAAGGCAGCAAGGTGATACTGGTCAGTAGTGAATCAGGGAGTATCACACTGCGGCATGAAAAAGAGGGTGGAGGAAACTATGGCCACCATGCGAGCAAATCTGCCCTGAACATGGTAGGGAAGCTGCTCAGCTTGGATCTCAAGGACAAAGGCATTGCTGTTGGTCTGGTCCATCCGGGGTTCATGCGCACGGAGATGACCAAGAGTGTTGGGTTCGATAAATATTGGGATGCAGGTGGGGGTATGTCATGTAAAGATCTGGGCGTTGCGACGAGGTTACTGACTTGAGCCAACTCTAGCTGTCACCCCTGACGAAGCAGGTCGTTCTCTTGCATCGTTCATTGAGACATTCGATATCAGTAAGACGGGCCAATTCTGGGCACCACGGGGTCCTGGGTATGTTTTGTTCTCTTCCTTTCATAATTTCTTATATCTGACTGGTACTAGGGATATTGGTACTGCCGAGCCAGTTTTGGGATCGAATTTGCCAACTCCGTTGCAGCTACCGTGGTAATGGTTTGATGTGCGGAGTAAAAACAGGTCAATATACCGTTGTGACTGAACGATTCCAAATCAATGATTGATATAGGAAAGAAAAAAATAAAAAAGATAGTGCATCATCCGTGAATCGAACACGGGCCTCATCGATGGCAACGATGAATTCTACCACTAGACCAATGATGCTTGCTTGATGTAAGATGCTTCGATTATATAGTATTGGAGCAGTAATTCTATTGTGATAATACAAAGCCACAATTTGAGGCATTGATGCTGAATATACACTAATCGTATAACCAGTGACTCGAGGCAAGAAGGCGAGTGGGATCAGCCTCGTCCTAGAATAGGGAAGCCAGATAAGATATGGACAGGAACGAAAAGCATTTCTCAAGCGAGTATGTGGGCCTCCTCCGAGTGCGCAGAAATTCTAGAAACTGAATCCTACGCAGCCTGGAAACCATGTACGAACGACCCACACAGCTGTACTCCGTAGCCAAGACGCATATGGGTGCGGGTCTCCACTGAAGATATGCCCGAAGTACTCCGTATTGTCGGGGTATATCTTTGGTAGATCTCTTCCAAGTCCACACGTCTTTGAAATGCGAAACCACACAATCAAATAGTTATTTATTATAAGTACTGGGAGTCATTAACACGTGACGAAGAAATAAGAGAAGGTGTTTCGATTTCTTGGCATGGAAGGCAGTGCCTGTTCAGTTCCGCCAAGTCAGTTGTTGCGGTGGAGCACTGTTTGATCCCTTTCTGGTAAATCCCACACGGAGGAACAGCCTAACACCATGCCACCTACTACGAATTGGGCATGGATTCTCTTTATGGATCTGTCTGCGAGCCTCATGACCAAATTTGTATATTGGTCTGCAACTGTCATATGCAGAGACATATTTTGAAGCCACAGTGACCACTAAGCCTCACGGGGAATTCATGGAAGAATTACTTTTTGGCTCACATGGTCAGCAACAACACTTACCTAGTACGCGCCATATCAAAGGGCTCGTACCCTTCATATTACTACCAAGGCTTAGATCGATCTCCCGGAGAAGGGATATTGCTATTGGTTACCAGCGTAAAAGATAACCAGCGACCAAAAGCCTCTCGCAGCCTGATTGTATGTCTCATCGGCACGGCTTGCCGACATGAGAGTTGAAAATGCGTCATATTAGTCCAGGAAGCGGCAGTGCTGCTACCGATGTATCTGTACTTTCTTTGATGCATGATGTAATGCCAACTCGAAGGATCAAACCCGATCGTTGTTTACTGTTCCCCAAAGCCTCTTGGCCCCCGGTTCGCATTCCACAAGTTCCCGGGGAATGAACCAATGGTGATGATAGTGGCAGGGCACCTGACTAGCAACGCCCAGAGAACCAGAAACCAGAATGGTCATAAGTTGTGCTCAGCCTTGGGAGTGGGGACTGAACTAACCTTGAGCTAACTCACATCCCCCCTTCAACAAGGAGCGGAGATTGTTAGTGCGAGCCTTGAGAGACGATGGGCAGCCAAGAACCAACCATAGTAGTGTAAAGTTTGATCTTTCTCGGCGCAGGGTGCCAGCCACTGCCCCAGTCTGTTTACTGCAGATTTGTTCCCCCATTTGGAGTAGCACGACAGGGTAATGGCCCGGGTTTCTGCTGAGGAAGGGAGCAGCCACGGGCTCGTATTCTCAATGGTCTGAGTATCTCCTGGGGTATTTAACTCGGGTTGGGCCCCTTCATCGCCGGACTATTCCAAATATTTACTTCATCAACCGTCATACTTTGTGTCTTTATATTATTTGATTCGTCCATTCTATCCTACATTCATCGTACGCCAGCTGCCGCTATCCAGTTCTCTACTCAAATCTCTCCCTCCCATTACTCCACGCCTCTTCTGTCACCGATTCGCAAACCCGACCTACCAAAGTATACACGATAAATATCAACAACACAAGCGTATCAACTTCCACCTGCCAAAATGTCCGCCGAACAAAACTCAACAGCCAACGGCAAAGCACCTGTTCGATCTGCCGACCCGCGCCCTGGCCTTGTGAATGTGCAGCCCGCGCGCCTCGACGACTTGCAACCCAAGTACGCGCAGAGGATCCAACACGAAGAAGACAACTCTGCCGCCCATGGATGGTATGCTGGATTGAGTAAGCCCACTTCTTTCCTATCCTTAAATGGGTGGAACCAAACCCCATAGAATTCGCGAGTAACAATCATTATAGTTCATAGTTTGGGAGAATGTCTCGGATTTTTGGGTGCTATCCCGTGCTGTGTCTGCTGCCCCAACCCCTACAAACCGGTAGACCAGGGCGAAGTGGGTTTGGTGACTAAATTCGGACGGTTTGTGATCCCTTGCACTTTACTCCAGGCGCATTACTTTCCGGTGCTGTAGTAGAAGGTACTGACGAGCGTGAAATAGATTCGAACGCGCAGTCGACCCCGGTCTCGTCAAGATCAACCCGTTGAGCGAGCGCCTCAAATCCATCGATGTGAAGGTCCAAATCGTGGAGGTCCCTCGCCAGGTCTGCATGACCAAAGATAACGTCACGCTGAATTTGACCTCCGTCATTTATTACCAAGTCACGTCGCCCCACAAATCCGCCTTTGGGATCTCAAACATCAAGCAGGCTCTGGTAGAGCGCACCCAGACAACTTTGCGCCATGTCATCGGTGCTAGAGTACTACAGGATGTGATTGAAAGGCGCGAGGAGATCGCCCAGTCGACCGCGGAGATCATCGAAGATGTTGCCTCCGGATGGGGTGTCCTGGTGGAGTCGATGCTTATCAAGGATATCATTTTCAGCGACGAGCTGCAGGACTCCCTCTCTATGGCCGCGCAGTCCAAGCGTATCGGTGAGAGCAAGGTCATCGCTGCGCGTGCCGAAGTGGAATCGGCCAAATTGATGCGCCAGGTATGAATCGATAATCGCAGGAAGAAAGGTTGGAAAGATGCTAACTTTGCATTACCCATTCAGGCTGCCGATATCTTGTCTTCTGCCCCTGCTATGCAGATCCGCTACCTCGAGGCGATGCAAGCCATGGCCAAGACCGCGAACAGCAAGGTTATTTTCCTGCCCGCGATCAACCAGTCCGTCCAGCAGCAGATGTCCGCCGCCGAAAATGCAGGCGAGGGACCCAGCCGATACCAATCAGCGGGTCAAGCCGATGATGGGTTCCAACGTGCGATGAACGCGCGCGTGGTTGAGAACATTTGAACGTGTCCGGCTAGGTATGACTGGTTGTCGCGATGAGCAACGAATGGTTATACGATAATACGTGGTAAGAACGAGACGCCACATACATAGCTGTCTATGGTGGAGGGTATACGATGCTTGTTTTTCTTTCTTTGCTGTTCTCTCACCTTGTTTTGCTCTTGAGAACTGTACGACGATACCCACTTTACTTCTGTCGCTCGACCTAAACTTAATGAGCTATCCTATTACTTAATGATTACAATGTTTTTGATTCATCGCATGTTATTTGGGAATCTTTTCGTATGATTATGTACATATCAATAATTACTGGACATATATCGCAAGCCGATGTCGAGGAGGATATGTAGTGGTAATTTCCGGTCTACAACGTCCGTATTGGTACCACAGGGGTACCACGGGGGAGATCGGGCGGTGAGTGTCACTACCCACAGGGGCCCAGGTACCGCAATGACAACCTACCGGACTAAATAATGATTGCTCAATATACGATAACGACCTACCCCAAACTTTCTATTCTTTCGGTATAGACTCTTGTCTCACCACCCGACCTTATAACCACCGCCAATTGGCAATTCCGCGCCCCAATGCCTCAAGGGTCCCTCTCCATTGTATGATCAGATCAAATGGCTCCCTCGCAAAGTCCCTCCTCACGCCCCGGGGCGACGACTCACAGCCCCAGCCCGCGACCCTCACTCGACCTCTCTCCCAACTTCACAGACCCATCCTTCGACCCCGCCGACTTCCTAAACGATGTCCTTCCCCCGTTGACGCTGGCGTCATCGCAATCGCAACCCCCCCGAGGAGCCACCACCGCTCCGGTCGCGCTCCCCGAATTATCCGCCCAAGTCCAGTCCGTTCTCTCGCAGGTCAATGCGCAGAGCGCGCGGCACTCGACTAAGCTGACACAGCTCACGGATGAGATACTGCGGAGTGGCGCGCGCCTTGCTTACGAGGTTGAGGTCCTGCGGGGTGAGACTGTTGGGCTTTCGGATACGTTGACGGAGACGTTACATGAGGATATAGGCAAGTTTGTCCCCGAGACAACTGCGCCGATAGAGACTGGTGCCGAAGACTCCGCGGAAACGGGCGAAGTGAATGAGGCGCCCGGGGCGGGCAAAGATGCTACGGTGCAAGACCCCGTCTACATCACCAATCTACGGATCTTGAACCGCGTGCGAGCGCGACTCGAAGAAGTGGTCCAGTCCTTTGGCGACGCCATGGAGTGGCCGCTCCCGCCGTCGGAGACGTCGCTGACGTCGTCGTTCATCTCGGTGTCTGCGCCCGAGCCTGGAACCGAGAGCCATAGCCGCGAGGAGAAGGGCCAGGAGGTGGTGAGGAAGCTGCGCGCTGACGTGACGAGGCTACTTGATAGCGACGGTGGGGGCCAGGAGGGGATCGACGCTGCTGCGCGACGGGTGGAATCGCTTCGGGTTTTGGCGGCTATATGGAAGGGCACTGCTGAGGAGAAGGCCAGGACGCGGTTCGTGGAGAGTTTGGCGAAGACTGTTGATGATCGTCGTCAGGCTTTGGAGAGCCAGATTCAGGCGGAGGAGGACCGTCAGCAGGCTGCTTCTTCTCGAGGACGACAGGCTGCGAGCCACCGGCGTCAGGAGAGTGAGGGGCCGGCTGGGGGCATTTTCCGTAATTTACAGCGATTACGGGAGGAGATATACCTGGAATGAAGCACTGGACATAACATATTTGGTCCAGGGTCCGAGCGAATTCTTAATCTTTATTTCAACATCATGTATATTGTCTAATTTGCAATTCTCTTTGTATTTGTCTCACTTTGCTTGTTCCGGAATACCTGGGAAATGCTTATAAGCACCCGCCGGAGTCCGTTACACTTACCCAGATGGAACCGCGTCCAGTTGCCAAGCCCACAAACGCTACGGCAATACCAGTGCTTGGGATAGATGACGCGGCGCTGGAAGGCATTGGATGGATTGAGACGAAGGATCAGACGGGTCATAAGTACCTCCGTATCACAACAGCCTACAAAGAAAATAGGGGACAATGGAGAGGCACGGTATTGTGTTTCCAAGTAATTTGCATGAAGAAAAGAAGATAATTGTCAAGTTGTCGACAGGGACTTCCGAGCAAATCCTCAAGGCTCGAAGGGGTAAAGCCCCCTCCCCCCCATGTACCCCGTAGTCTCAGTGTCGCACGCGGATAAGCCCCCGTAGGGCCAGAACAACTGTAGTAGTTTAGTTAGTTGGTACGGATTACCGTTCGATTACTACACAACTACTACGACAGTGGTGGATTTACGACGGGGCAAGGACGACAGGCCCCAGCGAATCTCCTCTCTCCTCGTCAGGAACATCTCCACCGTGGACGTCAATCCACTTCCTCCCCCCCCCCAAAAGTTATTGCAACGTGCCCTTAGAGTTTCCTGACCAAGTCCCCCTCGATTCCCGCGTCATCAAGTCAGCGGCGCATTTCGTTCGAAGTTTGGCGTTTTCGTTCCGGCCAACTTTCATATCAGTCGCCATCATCGACCCTCGAAGGTGGACAACATGGCGCATTGCTGTCTTCGTTAATTCTTCCGGTTGCCACGACGTCCCTTTTTCTTCTTCTCGAATAGACGAATGCTCGAGCGTTCGGAATGCTCATCGCCCCATGACGCTTGTATAGAAGTTCATTCAATCGTGTGTTCCTTGCTCGACTAGCGGGGGGTTTGATATCGGCCCAGAAAGAAAGTCTCCCCGTTCTCAGTACCCAGGATGGCCTCCTTGGGTGCCCCCGGTAGCCCTTGGGGCGACCAATATCACTCAGTTCGGTCGACAGTGTCCACTCTTGCTGAGAAGACGTCCTACCGTCGTCTGAGAGCGCGCCCGACGAGGGCCCTCTTTCTCACGGTCGGATTCTTCATCTTCGTGCTAACGCTGTTGTGGCGTACTCCTACTAAAAAAGAGGTGAGCTCCCTTGGCCCAGCCTTGGCGAAGACGAGGTGTGCCGCTAGTTAGCATATTGATATTGACCATCGCATGCGCTCTCTAGGATACCGAGAACTACTATTTGAAATTTCCTTCGCATAAACCATCCAACGCTCGCCCCGAAGACCTCCAGATTGTCCCCTCGGCGGGACAGATCCCTAATACAACTGATACCCTTCCGAATAATTTACAAAAAGCCAACCCGTCTTTTCATCTGGTCATTCCTGCTCGGCGAAAGTCGAGCATGCTTTGTCGCACGTTGGTTTCCGCCATGATCATGAATTATCCGCCACCGACGTTGGTCGGATATGGCAAGAACCCCCCCGAGGCGGCGACGGAGTGGAGTCTTATGGTGGAGCGCATACAGGACATGAACAACTTCCTCCAGCATGCTCCGCACGTGAAAGACGATGATTTTGTACTCATTGCAGATGGGGACGACGTCTATTTCCAACTCCCGCCCGAGATTATGATTCGGCGGTTCCAAGACCTCTTGAAGGAAAACAATGCGAAATTGCGGCGAAAATATGGTTTCGTCGCTGTGGAGGACCCGGCCAACGGGGGCGCCGAGATAATAGAGCAGAAATACTCGCAAAGGGTTCTATTCGGTGCAAGCAAAGATTGTTTTCCTAATATGACGCTCGATGCGGGGTGCGCCTCAGTGCCGGATTCCACCCTTCCCCCAGACGCCTACGGCTGGGATACGGATACCGACAGAAATCTGATCAGACCGCGTTTTATCAAGCCCGGAGCGGCGATTGGTATGGTGGCTGACTTGAAGTTGATCTACGCAGAGATTCTGCGATTTGTTGACAGACAGCGCTGGTCGCGAGGTGATTACCTGGCTTTGACCCAGATGTTCGGCAGACAGGAGTATGTGCGGGAGCTGGAAAGAAGACGGACTTCCAGTCCATTCACAGAGTGGATGTACGACATGATCGGCATTTCAGATGCAACGAACATGACCAAAGTGCATCACCCATTCCTCGAACCTGGGCAGCGCTACGAATTCGGAATCGGGATCGACTACGAGTCGCGGATATTCTTCAACGAGCTCATGTCCAAGGGCGACGTCGAATGGCTCAAGTATAATGATGTGGAACGGACGTCTGCCGTGCAAATGGAGCATGGCGTTCCTCGCGAACATCGCTTATTACTGCCTTATGATCTCTCCCCAGAGAACCTCGGCAACCCATTTATCCATCCCAAGTACGGCAGAAATGAAATTCTCAATCCGCCCCTCAGTTTTAACCTGGATGCCCTCCCGAACCCCAACAACCGTTCGTGGAGCAATCTCCCGCTCATGACCAACATCCACTCTACGTCGGTCCCAGCCATGATCCATCTAGACGGGGACCATTCAATCAGAGACCACTGGTGGCAGAAAATGTGGTACCACCCGTGGGCTCGGGCTCTCCTTCGCAAGTACGTGCGCTCCCCTATTGGGTTCGATGCGGCGCAGTCGGCTTTGTTGGGAGGCCAAGAATGGTGGGATCTTCGGGGTGGGAAGGGCGGCATTTGGACCGACAAGGGAGAATGGATTGACTTTGGCGAAGTCTGCACAGGCTTCGAACGAGACATTTTCAACGATGAGTTGGGCCAATGGAGACAAGAAGGCGGCGAAGGTCATGCCGAACCCGTCTACAACCAATTTGGGAACCTTGTCAAAGGTAAAGAGGGTTAATCCCTTTTTTCCCTCCAGCATGAATACGTTTGAGACTTGGCTTGTTCGTCTCGCGCCAGAATCAAAACCAAAAGCCAGCACCAAGGCCGCCTTTCGCGTCACTGTACATATTGTTTTTATTTTTCGTTTCGTTACCTCGCTTACAACAGCACGAGCCGGCTTTGCTATTCTGAGCTTGCATTTTGGTATTGGGTGTTCAATCTCTTTCTTTGGATTACTTGATTGAATTGAAGTGGTTCTGTGGGAGGGTGCTGTGGACAGACAGGGTTTGGCGCAAGTCCCTGTTTTTCGCTCGTTTGTGTAGTGTCCTTGAGAAGATGGGCACGTTTGGTAAATGGAGATGGATGTAAGATAGATACCAACTTAGCTTTATACCATAGTTTTAGAAGAACCCATAGTACTTATACTCAAACTCTTAGATCATTCTTAAGTTCATCGAAGCATTTCTATACTGTACAGCAAATCAACCATAATCATGAGGACTATCCAGACACAAATAGAATATAAAACAAACGCCGACCTTTTCCCAACCAGCCATCATACATTTGCCTCCGGGCCCAACAACTCCCGAATAATCCTCAATATACTCGTAACATCCTCATTACTCAACCGTTCCTCCCGCTCTTCAATGACCGTATCCAAAAGCGCCAGAGCGCCGTAGTCCTCTTCCGCCAACTCTCCCTCACCCTGCTCTCCGCCTTCTCCTTCCTCTCCTTCAACAGCGGCAGCAGCTCCCTCTCCTTCCCCCTCCCCATCAACCTCCATCCCATCAACATCACCATTCACCTCCCCATTCTCTACTACCCCCTCTCCCTCTCCCTCTACCTCTACCCCTCCCTCCCCTTCTACCTCCCCCTCCTCTCCCTCCACCTCCTGCTCAGCAGACCCAACGACCCCGACCCCCAAATTAACAATCATAAGCACCTCACCCTTCGTCAGCCCAAACGGCTGTAATCGCACGACGAGTTCTCGCAGCGCGTTATCCATAGGCGTTGGGGCGTTGGCTTGCGCCGGGGCGAGAGGCATCGTCGGCGCGCTGTCGCCGCCGTTGGTGTCTATTTGCGACTGCGACTGCTGTTGGGCTGCCGGGGGCTGGTCCTTGAGTTGGTCCGGGACATATTGGGGGTAGGTGAGAATGTGCGGGGAGAGGCGGGAAATGTAGTTGTGGATCTGTTGTTGCAGTTAGTTGGTTTTCTTTTTGGTTATCGTTTTGAGTCATTGCGGGGGGCTGTTCGTTGGTGGTTGTCCGCGCGGGGGGGTTTTATGGAAAGTTGCGTCTAGATGAAGGGTATATATAGATACACACCTCTTTAACAACAGTGTTATGATCCCTCAAATCCGGACTCGGAACCCAGTGTCTCGAGTTCGGGGGCGGGTTGGGTGGTCGTCGGGGTGGGTTCGCTGTTAGGTAGGCGAGAACTTCGATGTTGGTGAGGGCTGCTGATTGGGGGTCGATTACCTAAATCCTTGTATTAGTGGGTGCGTTTGAAATGTGTAATGTGTGATTTGGGATTGACTTGCCCTCATTGTGTCTGATGTGTTGTATGCGACGATATATGTATGGTGGTCTGGTGGTTCTGGGAAAATTATGGCGGAGGGTGAGGAGAAATTGGAATTGGAGGGAGCTTTTTGCCGGCAGAATTTGGTGGGCGGTGTGCACTGCTTAGTGGTGGGCATGTGGGGGTTGGATTTTATATAGTGTGGGATATATAGGTCGAGATGAAGATGTTGCTTTCTGAATCATTCTATTATTGTTGTTCTTGAAAGCCAAGTTGATGGAGGAGACATATTGCGATAGGATAAAGCCAATCAATTAGTTAGGAACATAAACCAAAGAATCCATTCCACTCCACTCCACTACACATCGGAGATCAAGCCCATACAACAAGACAAGACTCCTCTACTAACTACACAGTACACAGTCCAAGACTAGATACAAACCAACGACTCCACCACCGGCCTCGGCTGCACATTCCTAATGGCCTCACCAGCAACTTCATTCCCAAACCCCAACACCTCCCTCTCCAAATCCCCGGCGTCCTTCCCATCCCTATACCGCGGAACGCCCACCTCGCGCTGCAATACATCCAACACCCTCACCAACCACGTCCGACACGTCACGTCCAACTCATTCAGCTGCCCGTCGAAAGATTTAATCACCTCGTCTGTCTTCGCTAACACTGCAGGATTGTCAGGGACCTCTCCGATGCGAGTCAGGCCTGCGAGGAGGAAGGTCTTGAGGATTCCGGACTCGGGCCCGTGGGACGCCACCCAGGCTGAGCTGGGGCCTGAATTGACGATATGGTATTTTGTGCTGCCTTGGATTTTGCTGGTGGGGTTGGGGTTGGGATTGTGGAGGTAGAGGGCCCAGTGGTAGTTGTTTGGGGTGGGGGGGTCGGTGCGGAGGTAGAGGGCTATGTAGAGGGTGTTGGGGGTGAGGGGCATTGTTGGTTTGTGGGAATGTTTAGAATGGTGGTGGTGATATTATGACTCTGATGACTATGAAGAAGGTAATGAAGGGTTGCAAAGCATGAAGAGTCAAGGCAACAGTTGGGTATGTTGGACAAAGACCTCAAGTCAGCTGATGTTGGCGATTGCTTGACTCGATTCTACAGTTGGGACAGTGAATGGGTAGAGTAAGTGGCTTGCAAGGTCATTTGTATAAGTGCAGGCCGTTGTATAAGTGGGTTGTACCGGCGGAAGCCTGCAGGTAAGATGTATCCAAGGTAGAAAACCTAGGTAGAGTGGGCTGTCGACTTGTAACTACTCTACTGAACAAATATTTGAAATATTCGACATTATTCCTAACTGCCTAAACCGAGCACCTCTGCGCCGAGGACGGACCTATCGAGTCCACCTGTGAAATGCCGCCCAAACATTGATAGAGCTCAAAAGAAATGACAAGAAAATTCAACCCACAAAATCTGTGATATCATACAGAACTTGAAACCATCCGTCAGATCAGATCAGTATAACTTTTTACCTTTTTCGTGCGTCTTCCACATTTAGTCCTTCCCCTTCTTCTTCTTCTTCTTCTCCGACTTGTCGACCCCCTCCCCGTCGTCACTGCGCTTGCGCTTCTTCTCGTCGGTCTTGGAGGACTTCTTCGATTCCTTCTTGGCCTTCTTCAGGTCCTTCTTGCTGATCGAGCTGGGCGTGCCGTCCGCGCCGAATTCGATCTCGCCGCGCTCCAGCTTGCGCTGGTACCGCTTGACGCTCAGGCCGGCCTTCTCGGCCATCTTCTCCAGATCGGACTTGCCCTTCTTGGATTTCTTGCTGGGTTCATCATCCGATTCGTCCGAAGACTCGTCCGAGTCAGCATCGGCCATCTCCTCGTCGTCCACCTCCTGCACAAGCTTCTTGTCCTTCTTAGCGGCAGGGGGCTCATCGCCGGTGAGAGCATCAGCGTCGGCGTTGTATTTCCGGGCCTCGTTGATCTCGAACTTCTTGGGCTGGGTAGCCGCGCCGTTGGGGGCGATGGCGACACCGCGGGGCTTGAGCGCCTTGCCTTCCATAGCGGCGAGTTTCCGCTCGAGGTTGTAGCGCGCCTCGGTACCAAGCGCAGCCTTCTCTTCTTCCGTAACGTCATCCTCCCACTCGGCGAGGGAATCCACACGGATACCGAGAGAGGCCTTGGCGGCAAGCACACGAGCCATCTTGCCCTTGTTGCGGCCACTGGCCTGGCCGATGAGGGAAGCATGGTAGATGAGACCGTACTTGGGAGTGTCGTGCTTGGTCTTCAGGGCGCGGAACAGGGCCTTCTCAGCACCAAGGATCTGGATGGTACTGGCGGGGCTCTTGGACAGGTTGGTCAAGCTACCGGCGTGGGCGATCAGACGGGCGCCGACCAGTTCACCCACCAGGGCAGTCAAGTTGGGGGCAATCGCATTCATACGGGAGGTCAGGTAGCCGCTGAGCTGCTGACGGTACTCCGTGAAACCAACAACCTGCTCCGCCAGCGCCTGGATGTTCTCGAGATCTTGCTCGCTGATCTCGGTACCCATGGAGCGGTCAGCGGCGGTCTTGACGGCGCCCTCAATTTCCTCGGGAAGGATCTCGGCGAGATCGGACGACTCCCAGTTAGATCGCATGCCCATCTTCAGGACGAGCTTGGCATACGCGAGGTTGTCGTTGAGGATCTTGGCCAATTCGGGGAAGTGCCAGCCGTACCACTCCTTCACACGCATGGCATAGTTGTTCAACTCCTTGTCCAAATCATCCAGAAGCCCAATGGCTTGTACAATCATGGTATCGATTTTATCAGGCGAGAACTTGAGCTTGTGTCTGGCAAGGGAGTGAGACAGACCCAGCGACATAGTCGACATATCCTGGGGGAGCAGGCCGGGAATTAACGTGGGCAGATGTTCACGAATAGCACGGTAGACATCGGCAGTGCTGGAATCGGCAATTAATTGAAGAGAAAGTCCGGGAACCTTGCTGATAGCGACACCTATCATACGGAGCGTTAGCATACGGACCAACTAATGCTGTTTTAAGGCATATGGGCACTTACCAAGCTTGGGGTCGGCAACAGCCAAGGAGGCCTTCTTCTCGTCCTTGATCTCATCGAGGAGACTGGCCAGGCGAGGAGAGACCTTGCCTTCAACGAGGGAGGCGACTTCCTCCAGGGCAGTAGCGGCGCTGTCGAACTTCTGGAAGCTCTTGAGCTTCAACCTGTACCGTGTGTTAGAAGACTTGTAGCGCACAAAAAATTTTCCCCTTAGTGCAGAAATTTGCAAAACGAACTCGCGCCTCCATAATTCGAACAGAAGATTGCAACTCACAAGCTCGAGACACCCTCAGCAGTGGCAGCCTCAGTAGCCAAATCCTCCCTCTTGAGGAGCTTCTTGTCCTTGGCCTTGAGCAGGGCATAACCCGCGCTGGTTTCGGAGAGGATGAAGAGCGTCATGGTGGGCGGCTTCAATCCCAGCTGTTCAATAAAATATCGAAGTAACAGCTAGATCGAAGGTAAAAATAGGAGGGAGTAGAAGAAAGAAGACCGAGGGGAGTTGGCGACCGTGGAGAATACCACCAAGAACGAGCTGGAGGAAGAAATTCGATGTTCTCGCTGGCGGGAATTTTTTTTTTTCCCATGAAAACCAAAGTTAAAACCAAACGTGAAAAAAGCGAAATGCGTCAAGCCACACATGTGGCTGGTGTCTGTGGGGCGGTGCGACCGGATTACATAACCAGCAGTGGATGCCAATGCGGTCTTGGTGGACTGGCCAGCTTCATCTGGCGTCGCGGAGTTGCTCTGCAGTCCTAATCATCTTGTTCACCACCATGGAGGGTCTACTTTTCAACGTGAACGGCGGGTAGGTCGGTTGATGCATCTGTACAGGACCTAAACTGACTGGATTAGCTACATCGAGGGCATTGTCCGAGGATATCGGAACAGCCTCCTCACCGGCCAGCATTACAACAACTTGACCCAATGCGAAACGATAGATGGTGCGCTGTCTCTTACCCTCCTAGATGCTTAGTTGATCTAACGCTTGTTCTACGTTGCAGATGTGAAGCTCCAACTTGCCCCCGCGTATGGCGACTTCCTGGCCTCGCTTCCTCCCAATCCCTCGACGTCCTCACTAGCCGGCAAGATGGCCGATAAGCTAGTCGCCGAGTTCCGCTATGTCCTTGCCCAGGCCACAGGGTCGACTGCGAAATTCCTTGAGTACCTGACCTATGGCTACATGATCGACAACATCGCCCTGCTCATCACTGGCACCCTCCACGAACGAGACACCCGAGAGCTCCTGGAGCGCTGCCACCCCCTGGGCTGGTTCGAGACGCTGCCAGTGCTGTGCGTTGCCACCAACATCGAGGAACTGTACAACTCCGTGTTGATCGAGACACCCCTGGCCGGCTTCTTCAAAGGTAGCCTGAGCCACCAGGACCTGGACGAGCTGAACATCGAGATCATCCGCAACACCCTCTACAAGAACTACCTGGAGAGCTTCTACGAGTTCGTCAACACGGACTCCGACTTCAAGGGCACCCCGACGCAGGAGGTGATGTCGGAATTCCTGCAATTCGAGGCCGATCGCCGCGCGATCAACATCACGTTAAACTCCTTCGGCACGGAGCTCTCCAAGCAGGAGCGTAGAAAGCTCTACCCGGAGTTCGGCAAACTGTACCCCGAGGGCTCGCTGATGCTGTCCCGCGCCGATGACTTGGAGGCTGTCACGCTGGCCGTGAGCATTTCCGCAGACTACAAGGCCTTCTTCGACGCTGTGGGCCTGACGCAGGGTGGTGGTGGTCTTGGGGGATCGGACGGCAAGAGTCTCGAAGACATGTTCTACCAGAAGGAGATGGAGATGTCCAAGGTTATCTTCACGCGCCAGTTCACACCCGCCGTGGTGTACGCGTGGATGAGGTTAAAGGAGCAGGAAATCCGGAACGTCACCTGGATCTCGGAGTGTATTGCCCAGAACCAGAAAGAGAGGATTGGGAATTTCATCTCTGTCTTCTGAGCGCGTTCTACACACTTTTTACTTGTTTCTGCCAAATATCTGGTTCTTCTGGGATGGACTCCTCGTGTACTGTACTGTACTGCTGATTGCAAAATATCTGATCTTCATATCTTGCGTCAAACCACCCCCCTGCCCCCGCCCGCATACCCACGCCAGCCAGGTTTGTCATTTTTTACATCTACGCTTGCTTTGGGCGTTTGGGGTCTTTACTGTTCTTGTGATATATTTTAGTATAGATAAGCAGCGTGAGTATCGAGGTATCTGTGATTTCACTTCATTGGTAGATGTACATGGGTATTCAACCTAGAAAGGCTCTGCTGGCCTTCCATGAGGTAGGGTAGTCAGGTTGCCCAATTCCCGTGTGGCTTTCTGCTCCCACGTTTTGACTGTCTGGTTGTATTTTGAGGCAAGCCAACAATAGGGTATTGACGCCGAGTGAAAATTGAAGTAGCCATTTCCTCTTGGAACATAGAATGTTCCACCTGCACTTTTGTGTCGAGTTTTCATCCCCTCTTCATTTCCTCTCTCCTTTTGTATCAAGAGACAATTAGGGAAAAGTCAAATGATGACCCAGAAACACACCACGATACCAGGTATGGTATGCCTGTGATCACTTCCCAGCTTTTCACGGAAATCAAAACGCCGTAAATTAACCCTAGTACAGCTGATTCACTTAAGATAAAACCAAAAGCAAAAGAAGAGGGAGTGAAGCAGTTGCTGACAAAAGGAAGACTCATAATAAACTAATGTCAACAGGGAAACATGCATAACAAAATTGTAGACATCTTGTATTCTTGTTGGTGCTGCAATAATCTATCCTTTTGCTTTGGAGGAAATGGGGTAAATTCACGCAAAGGCGTCAAAGATATGCAACGGTTAAGTTGGGAATTGTTATAGATCAAGGAAGTATAGGAAGGCAGTGGCGGGTAGCCACGTGTTGTAGAGGTTTTTAAGTCAAAATAAAAAGGACACGGAAAGAAAACTATCCGGTTCATCACTTTTCTTGCAAAATTCTTTTCATATACCATCCACTATATCTGAGGATAGTACGGCCAAACGAACAAAAAGATGAAAAAAAAAACATCAATTAGTCATACTGGAAGAGCACGCTGATACTCTCTCCGTGGTGGACGCGACGAATGGCCTACAAAGATTAGTACTGGGCTGATTTAGAAATGGACTGGCTTTCTTACCTCAGCGAAAACGTGTCCAACTTCCAGAACTTCCAGCTTGGGGCACCGTTGTAAGTGGTCCGCTTGGTCCACGCTGTTGGTCACGATGACCTTGTCGAGGGCGCTGGCGTTGATGCGGTCAATGGCATCACCGCTGAGGATGCCGTGCGTCACCAAGGCAAGAACCTGGGCGGCGCCCTCCTTCTTCAACAGCTTAGCAGCGCGAGTGATGGTGTTCGACGTATCAGCCAAATCGTCAATAAGGATCGCCGTCCGGCCCTTGACATCTCCGACCAGCATCATGGTCGCGTTTTGGCGGTCCGTAATGCGCGTGGGCCGTCGTTCCTACAGAAGATTAGACAAAAAGATCATCGGATGGTTTTGGGAAAACACACCTTGTGGATCAGAGCAAACTCGATGCCCATAGAATCCGCAATGGCGGTAGCACGTTTAGCTCCGCCAGCGTCGGGGCTGACAATGACTGATTGTTTGTAGTTAGGGATATTCCGCTGAATGTAAGACTTGAGCAGAGGTCTCCCATATAAGTTATCCACGGGAATATCGAAGAATCCTTGGTATTGGGCATCGTGCAGGTCCATGGTGATGATGTGATCCGCGCCGGCACAGGTAAGCAGATCCGCGACCAAAGTGCCCGCCTGCGCTACCCACTGTTTGTAGCCAGGACGAGGCTGGAAAGTATTGATCTTGTTTGCGTTCTCGTCATTAAGAACCCCATTTCCAACAGTGCTTGTCGACTTGGCCGAATCAAGGGTGTTGCTGCGAGAGAGACCATTCACGGGACGGCCCTTGACAGGGCTACCGTTGGCCTGGTCATCAATTTGAGCCTTTGCGAGACTCTTTTGAAGATTCTCGACACCATTCATAAGGCCGGTGCTGTCGGCGTGACCAGGGTGTGGGGTAGGCGGGGTACTTTCGAAGGTATAGCCGTTGGCGGACTTGTTTCCAGCCGAGTTCTTAACCAGAGGAGCCCCGGCCTTGTTATACGGGATATCGCTCTGGCGCGAGTATGGAAACAACGGGAGCACGGCGGTGACTCTCTTCGCCGACGCGGTTTTACACGCAGAAATCGCGATGAGAAGCTCCAAGAGGTGATCATTCACCTTGCCACCACCAGACTGGATGATATAAACATCCTTCTCGCGAACGGATTCTTGGATCTCCACCCTGGTTTCGCCCACGGAGAATTTCGACAGTAATACGTCGGCAGGAGGGACGCCGAGAACACTGCATATCGTCTCCGTCAGTTGCGGGTGGGAATTACCCCCAATGACAACAATATTTCGGACCATGGTGGCTTGGGAATCGTTTGTGGTATTGTTTGATAGGCCTGGAGGATATAGGCACAGTGGAGTAGATGGATGTTTCGGAAGCGGCAAGGAAGTATTGGTTTGCAAATCCGATGCGGGAGGTCTGGAGGGGCGGTATGGTCGGTGAGATTAGTATTGGGGTAGCAAGATTTCCTCTTGAATGAAAAGGGTATTAAAAAGAATCAGATAACTAGGACGGACGGACGAGCAACTACCTCATGGCGGTAAGTCAAAACCCAGATAGGAACACTTGGACAAGACAGACATTGAAATGAAGGATTGGAAGTAAAAAGATCGTGTGAGTCCGAAAGTAAAAAAAAAAATGCCTCTCCGCCAGTGGAGCCGGCCGGTGCCTCGGGGTTCTGCCGTTGTCGCCTCAGGTCCCCAATTGCTGGTTCCGGTTAGGTCAGCAGTTGGCAGTACCCCGCGGGAAACGGCCATGGATGCTGACAAGGCGGATGAATGTATCATTAACAAACTGGCAAACGGCCCATTTTGTATCAATAACCATAATTCTTCAATTTGCACAAGGATAGTAGGCGCTCTTTCAGTTACGAAAGTGCTAGCTCCCGTACTACAAGAAGAGCATGGTCTCCATTTGCCCGTAGGTACATGCGAGATAGAAACCAATTCCAAAAGATAACAAAGGATAGGAACAAGCAGGTATAAAGAGAGAGGAACTTGGATGAACCAAGAGACCTCCCCATCAATCCCAAGGGTCCATTGTGATTTGAGCTCAGTTTATCATAAATGGGAGACGAAGGTCTGGCACAGCCAAGAAGATCAACGACATGGCATTCCAATATAACCTAAGCCGCGTCCAGATTATCCTGTGCGTTTGGCATCTGACATCAGCATGAAAAAAGGTATTTGAGAAAGGAGTGATTGCCCACGAGGCAAGAATACTTAACGGACTGGTGTCACCATATTGCAGTGGTAAGCTTGAGTTGACGACTTGACACACTTGGCAGATTAAATCTTGCTTTATCCCAATAGCATCTGATTCCTTGAACTGGCACCCGCAATCATTTGGTAGTGCCCTCTATTAGTGGAGTAATTAGGCCGTAAGTGTCTGAACAAGCAAAACCACTCGTTATCAGAATGGATGAGGATCTTATAGAACGGCGGATTATTGCGATTCTTTGTTCCTAGTATAATTCCTGGTGATGTAAGTCAACATACACTACTCTCGAGGCGTTTCTTCCCCAAACCCAGTGATATCTGCGTCAGTGTGTCTTTCTCCCGCCAGAGCCATCGTATGCCCGTCCATTTGGTAGAGGCCATCTGCGTCGGAGTATGTTCCCGTCTGCATTGATCTTCCGTTCAAAATTGGATAGCAGAGATACTGCAAGAACTCGATCCTCAGAATTCTCATACGACAAGGAGAGAGCATTTCAGTGTAGGATGGGCAATCGACAGATAGGTAGGACAGATGTTTACAGAGCAGATGCAGCCCAACACACGTGATATGCACTGCGGCCCTGCGAGCTCACATTGAGGGACCAGACCGCGGAGAAATACTACCATCCCGGTCACGTGGTCTACCGGGGTGAGCTTCGGGAGCTGACAGTCGCATTCCATATCGCGACTGGCGCAATGAATGCCGACTCTACCCTGTTGATTTTCTGATCCATTGCCATTATCGTCAGTTTCAATCAGTTACTCTCAGGGTCCATGATTTCATGTCTATGACTTAGGATTCCGCGAAGGCTCCCAGTCTCCGCAAATGCCCGTTCGCCTCCTATCGCGGCGTCCGTCTCCGACGACCGTATCGTTCACGGTATCCAATGCCTCTCGACGAACAAGCACACCGGCCAGGATCCTCTCCTTGTTCCAGTTTCTCCTGCGCGCGCTAGTTTTCCTCTTCGTCCACATCATTGATATTGCGAAATTACGCCACTCCTTCTTCCAAGGAGATGGGCCGTTTTTGCCGTGGAGTACAATCTGGGCGACTCCTGGGGGTGCGCTCGCTTGTCGCATTGCGGATGCGTATAGCTATGGATTCATCGCGGTTGCTAGCACGGTTATGATATATGGGGTTTTTAGGAAGGGATATACAGGTACTTGAGCCCTTAAGATCTTGACTACGCTGCGGAGAAGATGCTTATTTCAATTGGTGCTCTGCAGAAGAATCACTCCTCGTCATACGTGGTCTTGGTATACAGACGTCTACCTCCTCGTCGACTTATTTATCGAAAGCCTCGACGAGATTCATCCCTACTACTCAGATACAAGACATTGTTATACATGAAGCTTTCAAGGGATTTGAAGTGCGATTCTACCTCGCATTGATTGTGGAAGGGGAACCTGACGTTGTGGTTGTTTTCCCTGTGAGTACTGCCCCCGGCGTTTTATAAGGAGGTGTCGCTGACCGGCCTAGAAACTGTTACCGAATCGGGCGATATTAGAAGAAGTTTGGAGAGGTTCGCGGCGGTGCCTATATGATTCGAAATCATAAGACAGCTCATTCAAATACATATCTATTGATTCTATGAGGTATATACAGTCTTGTTGCCTATTCACATATCCAACCGACCCGAGTCTTCACCCTGAGCGGCTGTCTTCCGCTGCTTCGACGCCAACCACCGCGCATTCTGAGCCTCAACGGTTTCCGACTTCCGCTTTTGCAAGACGGGAACATATTGCCCGCCGGTACGAACGATATGGCCGCCGTGGAAGTGCTTCTGTCCTCTCTTCTGCATCTCCGCAACGGCATTCTCGACTTCGCTGTGGACGATGGTTTGGTCACCCTGGTTGATAGATAAGTCCAACAAGGCACCTGCCAAGACCTCGTCGATCTTTCGTTGTCTCCAGACAGACCAGAGGTCGTCCACGACACCTCCAGCACCGAACTTGCTGCTTCCCTTTCCGAGCTGGGATTTGCTCTGTCTCTGATCACCGGCGTAGACCCATTCCAGCGAATCTTGCCGACTGTCGCCTTTTTGATCGGGGAAAATGCAATCCCACAAGACCAACGGGGCATCGCTAGCCATCTCATAGTTGGGCTTGCGCGGGTTGTTGGTGACGTCCAACAGATCGGACACAATAGATGGTGATTCGAGGCCCTGGCCGACCAGGAACAAGATGCTAACCATGTGTCGGACCTGGTGCCACAAAAAGGCCGAGCCGTGCAAATTGAACACATACACCTGAGAGGAGTCGGGCGATGCTATCTCCGATGATCTGTCACTCGTATCCAATGCAGGATGTTCCACGGCTCGAAAGCCTGGCCGACCAACGTAGCCCAGTGGGCTAGTCTTGGGGTCCAGCAATTCAATATCGGAATGGTGGATGATTCGCGTGAAGTTCTCGATTTGCTTGCTGGTATCCAATTTGCAGAAGTTTCGGAAATCATGCACGCCTTCAAATCTCTTGGCAGCTTCGCGCATTGCTTCAATATCCAGCCACCCTTCTCGGTACTTCAGAGAGGATTTCTGCGCTTTATTGGGCGAGATGAACCCGAGAGGTCCCGGCGTCGGAGAAAACGCCGGCTGGGTAAAAAAGTACCTGTAGCGGCGCTCGCGGCACGAGAAACGGGCGTCGAAGTCCTCTGGCGGGTGCGGACACCACGCAAGAACCCGGATATCCTCCGGAAGAGCCTTGTTAAGCATAGTTATATACGGCAGCTCATCCGCAATATCATCCCACTTATCCTCAACCGCCGTTTCCATCGTAGTATCCCCATTCTCGTCCGCCTCAGCCGGCTTATTAACCTTCGGCCGCGCGCTCCGCACCCTAATCCCAATGACCTGCCCAAAAGCACTCACACCGCGGTCCGTCCGCCCAGCCTTGGAATACTGACACCCCTCCCAGTTGATAGAGTAGGGCTTCAACGCCCTCGGCTCATTACTGTCCTCATAATCGCCGGAATCATTCGTCGGGAAGATCAGACGCGTCCGCCGCAAAGCCTTCCACACCATCTCCTCAATAGTCGGCAGCGGCGTGATATTCCCATTCGTGTGCTCGAGCCCGTTGTACCGTTGCCCCAGGTAGGCGAATTTGAGCGCTATGTAGCGGGTGTTGTACTTCGACGGATCGATCATCCTTGCCTGCTTCGGGGGACGGCTCGGCGCTTTCGCGTGTGTGATGTCATCCTCCTCCGGGAGTGGGTTCTGCTGTGAGGCGTTTTTGTCGGATGCGACGCTCTGGGCAGCGGCTGCAGGCGTGTCCGCAGGAGGGGCAACGGAGGGAAGATTCGCGGGCGCGGCATCCCTCGCGGCTTGTGGAAGGGCGGGCGTGTATTCCGCGGTGCGCGAATTCAGCTGGCGTTCTAACTCGGTGATGCGAGATATCAAATGCGACGTACTCCAGGTCGAGTAGTCCGGTTGGGCCTGTAGAGGCGGCGGGTGTTCGGCCGCGCCAGACATGATTTGGGTTGTTAAGGAACTTGTGACTTTGGCGCGGGAGGATAGGGAGGTCTGGAAGCTTCGCTTGGGTAGGGTCTGCTCTGCAAGACGACTTGGAAATAGGCAAAATCTCCCTTGCAATCTCGGCATCCCCTCTGAGGCTGTGGATGGGGTTTGTAGAGCGTCGAATCGGGGGAAAAATGTTTCTGCCGGGAAGATTACTATATGGACAATATACACTAGTCATATATGTGTATTGTAATATTACAGACTCGATTTGCATATACGGGGTTTCTTCGATCCGGATTGTTCGATGTAATCGACGTGTATATCTGGGATTTTCATTCGAATTTGTCTTCAGCCAGAAAAATCACATGTATGACACTTTTTCTTGGGCTCTTTTTTGTATATACTAGTGCAGGCTCTGCTTCGAAAGTAGTAGTGCGACTGAATACTATGGTTGATCTGCTTACGTTCTTATCTTATCAGGACCTTGAATATCATCAGAATCCTGGCATATTCCTGACCACAAGACAATGTTTTACAATTGGCCTCCGACAATCAAATTATTCCATACAGTATTAAGAAAAGCCAATGGCAAGTAATGTGGAGGGTCAAGATGACAAGCAGACTGTCACAGTCTTACTATTAGGAGACCCTGGATGTGGTAAAACGACATTCCTCTCGTGAGTACATACAACGTAACCTTGCGCAGGATGAGCTTACGGGCTGCGTTTCTATCGCGTTGCTATTGCAGACTTGTCTTCATTTCTATCTCAAACTGGCATCTTCACTCGGCTAACTTTGGGACTACAGATCTCTAAGGAACACCCATCGCAGGCTCACAGGCCAAACACCACCCGGCGCAAGCGGGGCAGAATTGCTACGCGATACTGATCAACCATTCTTGTTTGACATTCGCTTCACCAAGAAAGTATTTACTTTGGAAGCCTACGACGTAGCAAGTCCCAACCAACACTGGACGACACTGAAACCAGATGTTGTACTCCTGGCATTTGATATCTCGAATCGGGAGACTCTAGCGGGGCTCAAAGCTGTACGTCTTGCCTTTCTCAGCGATCAGGGCCTTTATTAAAAGATTTGTGTTGCTAGTGGCGACATGACATTATCAGATATTTCCAACGTGGCCAAGGTGAACGCATCCCTGTCATGTTGGTAGGTCTGAAGAGGGACCTTAGAACAGAGGGCGAGGGGATCATTTACCCGCAAGAAGTAAGCTGTTTCCTTACGGTCCTGTAGAGGGGGCATTTTCTTCTCATTTACTTCAGGTACTAACATTTACAATGGTAGTCTTATCGGATTGCACAGGAGCTCCGCTGTGACCGGTATGCAGAGTGTTCTGCTGTCACTGGGGAGCTTTTGGTGGAGACTTTCGAGGACCTGGCGAGGCTTGCAGGTATGATGACTACTGAAACGGGAGGGCAGACTGCGGGTGGTTGTGTCATTCTTTGAGGGCTGGTAGATGATCAGATGTTATGTGAATGTTTTATGATAGTTATTGGATTTGGTCATTGGATGGTTGTTTTGCCATTACTTACATGACTTGAAAAATTCGTGTTTATTACGAGGGTAGACTGTCCTGCTTGAAGTGAATACCAAGCAGTGGGCCATGTCCCAATAACCTGGCCAGTGGATACCAGGGACTATCTACAACGGTACCTGGACGAAATCCTAGGGAACTACATCACTACAATATGGGGCTACAAAAGATCATGCACCTGGTAGCTAGCATCACTTTCGATTACGGCTATGATAAACATACAAGGAGAAACCAAGGCAACGCTTAAGTCCACCTTGTGAAATCAACAGCACAGGGCTTTCCCCCAGAAGCTCATCGATTATATGAACATCTGGATATCTTTCCCTCGTAAGCGCCAGTCGATTTTTGGCAATGCAATTTCCCCCTGATGGCACCATGAACAACGCGTAAAAACGGACTGAAGTAAACAAAAGGATCTTCACTGTGGCATACCAAGGAAAAAAGGTAGGGAAAAGAGAAAAGGGGGGTTTGAAGTTGCGGAAGTCCCGGTGAAAAGCTTCGTTTCTTTTGCTCTTTTTTCGCGTTTTTTCTTTTTTCTTTTTGATTAGAACTAGGATAGACATGTCAAGGGATTTTCTTCTTCGTTCTCTTTCTTGGTCGGATACTGTCAGCATCCGCCATGCTGGATCAAGAGATGATTTCTGAGACCGTGACTCCCTGATCGCCATTTTGAAAGAAAAGAACCATGACCCCTCTCAATGGTCGCCCTGATCATATCTGAAGATTTACCACTTGCCCTCAGCGGGCTGGGTCTCGGCCCAGCTCTCGGCAGCGGGAGCGGCAGAGCTGGCAGCCCAGTCAGCGCCCTCGGCCTCCCAGCTGGCGGCACCGGTAGCAGCGGTAGCAGCAGCGAAAGCAGTGCCAGGAGCACCAGCGCCAGCACCCTGGGTGTCCCAGTTGTCACCGGCGAAGCCAGACTCGATGGCAGCGGGGCCAACCTCCTCAGCGTTGGCGACCTTGGTCTCGTCAGCGATCTCCTTGGTCTCCTCGGCCTCGGGGTCACGGTAGAAGTAGAGATCGACGACAACGTCCCACTCAGCCTCACGGGAGGCAAGAGTGCCACGGAGACGGAGGACCTCACGGGCGAGGAGCCACCAGACCAGACCGATGGAGTGACGACCCTTGTTGTTGGTGGGGATGGCAACGTCGACGAAGTCGGTGGGGGAGTCGCTGTCGCAGAGAGCGATGACGGGGATGTTGACGTAGCTGGCCTCACGGATAGCCTGGGCATCGGTACGGGGGTCGGTGACGATGATGAGGCGGGGCTCCTTGAAGGAGCGGGTGATGTAGTTGGTGAAGTTACCGGGGGTGAAACGGCCAGCAATGGCAGTGGCACCGGTGTGCGAGGCGAACTTCAGGACCGCACGCTGGCCGTAGGGACGAGCGGAGATCACACAGACATCGGCGGGGTTGTCGATGGCGGCGATGATACGGGCAGCGAGGAGGATCTTCTCCCTGTGAAGCGGCGACTGTTAGATCCTGCCCAAATTTATTCCACCGAGCCAGAAAGTCCATACCAGGTCTTGCCAATGTTCAGAACGTTGACACCATCGGGGCGAGTCTTCCAGAGGTAAGGCTCCATGTGAACCTGGAGGTTCTTGGATCCCAGGTGGCACTGAGCTGCGAGCAGCATCTCAATGTCCTGGGACGTAGGGTTGAAAGACGGGGGGAGCTGAGAGGGGGCCATGGTGGGCGATTGATCTTGCAAAGGATATCGAGGTTGAAGATATCAATCGTCTGGCGCTTGTCGCAGTGGGTGAGAACGAGGGAGAGTCGGACGAACGCGAAGGTGAACTTTTGCGCTTTCTGGCGACGATATGGATCGAAATTTCGCTTGCCGTTTGTGAATTCTAGGGCTAGCTAGGGTTGGTCAGCATCGGGAGATCAGGAGCCTCCGACCCGCCCCGGTGTCACGTGTGGCTTCTGTACCGATGCGGACTAGCGCCAAATGCGGCTTCGAGATTTCGGAGAAACTTCATCCAAGCTCCAGATAGAACGAACGGCCTACTTGTATTGTCCGCCGCTATCATCGAGGATCTTCCACATCTTCCGTCAACATGCCTCCTCGCTTTCTCTCCTGTTCTTCGCTCAAGGCCTTCAGTGGTATGGCTCCCCCCCCTGGCTTGGTATCCATCCCGTCTTTGGTCTAACTTGCAATGATAGGCTCCTCGAACGTCCAGAGCCCTCTTGCTGCCCTGTTGATTAACCCTTCCAAGACATCCGTGAGGGCGGGCTCGATTGAAAGCCGGGAGCGGAGAAAGCATGACCCGTATATGATGGCCCAGTCTCGCCGGCGCAAAGCCGCTAATGTGTCTCGCCAACAAGCGCTCGCTCAGGAACGCGTCGTTCAAGGCGACCCCTTGCACACCGAGCAGACCGAATTTGTCCAGGAGCTCAAGACGACGCAATCGGGCGCGCCAAGCGCGTCGCAATCTGAAGCGAAGCTCAACTATCTGGTGACTCGGGATGGACTACAGGATGCGCTGGAATACTCGAAGAACTTGACTTCGCCCCTCGCAGACCCCGATCGGAATACTGCCGATCCCCAGCTCGAGAAGGAAGCGGCCGAAAGACATCTGCAAGAACATCGGAATGCCCAGGAGGCGATCAATCGTATCGTGAACATCAGCAACGGAAATAACCAGGACCGAATGCGCCTCCTTACCCAGAAGTGTATCGAGAAGCTCGGTCGACACAACACCGACCAGGTCCTCCCTCCGAAGCCGACAGCCGCGCAAGTTCCCAACGCTGTCTATCCGGAAAAGACCCCTCGAGTCGGACGGGATACTGGCTCTCCGGAGGTGCAGGTTGCCGTGCTTACGGCCAAGATCATGAACCTCTCTCGACACATGCAGACTGCCAAAAACGATAAGCATAACAAGCGCAACCTCAGACTACTTGTCCACAAGAGACAAAAACAACTACAGTATTTACGGGCGAAGGAGCGAGGTGGACCGCGGTGGCAGAACTTGGTTGAGACCCTGGGATTGTCGGATGCATCTTGGAAGGGTGAGATCAGCATGTAATTGCTGAAAATCTTTCCTTATTTTCTGTCACTCTTGTTTTTGTCTCTTTCAGTGAATATTGGCGTGTAACTACTATATGGTATTGCCCTTGTGGCATACTCTAGCTTGTGATGTTTTCGGATCCTCTCTGGGGCTCTCGTACCAGCGGTGGGATCCATCTTGTACAAATACAGTATCAGTCTTCTATTTCCTCCCTCCTCATTTAGGCTTCCAGAAACTTTTTGTTGTGTCAGAAAACGTGCATAATTCCCAAATATTCTTCACTGAGTCAAAAGAGGTGGTAACCAACTAGTAAGGTACTCTTCCATGTACTGGTACTGGAACTCGAGCTGTTACCGCCTTTATTCTGCCGTGACCGCAACTCAACTCCAATCACTGTTCCTTCGCCGCGCAACTTTGCGACCTCAACACCATCACTGTCGGCCCCATCTACGCAAGTGAATGTCGACCTCGACCTAGTTTTTGCTGAGTCGTGTTGCTTGCACGTCGCCAGTGACAACATCAGTGTGAGTCTTACACTACAGGACGCGTCTCCATATACCCCCTTCCCCCCCAACATTTCTCCCACTTTTTTTTCCCTCCCACATCCTCTTCCTCCACACTCTTTACAAACACCCATTTCCACCCACTTTCAGATCAAACCACCACAGTTTTATCTCTCATCTTTCTATCACACAGTCTCAGACACCTTTGCTAACACACTGAGGCTCTATCTCGCGATACAGAATATCTTTCAATACTTCTCCCCTTCGCGTCGCACTCTGCTCGAAACTCAACCGCCCTTTTGACGGCAAACAGCCGAGATGCGTACTCGCTCACAGCAAGCGTCGCCTGGCGGCTTCGTTTCCCTTGACACAGAGGGCGCTACCCGTCGTACTCGGTCCACCAGGAGCACTTCCCAGCAGCCTTCTGAATCACAATCTGCTACTCGATCAACCAGGAGTACTTCCCAGCAGCCTTCTGAATCTTCACAACCTGCCGCGCAGCAAACCACAACACGTGCAAAAGCTGGGCGTTCTACTAAGAAGGCAATTCCCAAAAAGGCCCCCCAAACCACTAAATCAAAACGCAAGCGCACTACGAAAAGTACTTCTAGCAAGGCGGAGCAGCAATCTTCTGATGAGCATGAATCACAACACAACAAAACCGAAAAGCCTGCCGAGACCACGCCGGAAACTACGCAGGTACCTGATCCAGATACCCAACAGGACGCTCCCGAAGTAGTCGAATCGACAGGCTCAGGTAGTGCCCCCCTGGGAGAACCAAGTTCATCTGGCCGTGAGTCTTCCCCCCAAAGGTCCCATCCCTCCCCCGAAAGGTCCCATCTCTCCCCTCCCCCCCCTCCCTCTCCCCCACAGAACGCAAGCCCCGTCTTTGGGAGTCTTGCGGGAACCATCGGAACTCCGTGGCAGGAGTTCCTTACAGACCCTGAACCCGAGCCCATCGGGTTGCTCCTCTCTCCGCGGTCGCCGCTCTCTCCGTGGTCGCGGCCCTCTCCGGGGTTGCCGATCTCCTCTCCGGGGTCGCCCATCTCTCTGGGGTCGCCGCTCTCTCCGGGCGCGAAATGCCTAGATGTAGACATCGACGCACTTTTTGGCGGCCCCGACCCCGAGCTAGACGACTTGCTCGCGGCAAGTATAGCGGAGATGTTATCCCTACACGACAGGCGGGGGTCGGCTGCGGGCGGAACAGAAGAAGCTGCCGGAGAATCTCCGGTTAGTACTCCCCCGCAGCCGACTCCTGCGAGAGTCGAGCAACCCAATGTCGCCAATGCCGCGGAGCAGGAGTCGGCTGCGGGCAGAACCGAAATATCTGCCATGGAAGAAGCTGCCGAAGAATCTTCGGTCAGTGGTTCGCCGCAGCCGACTCCTGCGAGAGTTGAGCGACCCGATGCCGGCAATGTCACGGAGTGTGCCTTGGAGCAGCAACCGGCCCCAAACACCTCTGAGCCCCCCGTCGTGGCGGAACCAACCGTAGAGGAACCGGAGGAATCGGCTGCAGCAGTGCCAGAAGTCACCCATGCGCCCGTTAGCCCGCCTATCACGGCGGAGCCTGCTGCACCGACCCTTACGACCTCTATGGGCTCCGGAGAGGAGCAGACTGAGGCGGACGCCCAAGCAGATGACTTGGCGGGGAGTCTTGCCAGGTTGAGTTTTGAGGACTCTCTGCCAAGCCCCGCCCCTCAGCCTGCTCCCTCGACGGAGTCGTACGCTGTACCAGCGTGTCGTCCTGAAACAGTGCAGGAGCCTGCAAGTGATCTTGCCCGTGTGTCCCCATGTGCAAGTGTCTCAAATTCTCCTGTTGCCGGGCAGACCTTGCAGGCCCTCACTCCAGTTTCAGGCGACTCTGTTCAAGCCCCTCGGTTCGCGTCGATCTTCGACGGCGAACGCCCAGTTTGTCACACTCCGACACTCGACGCTTACTGCAACTGGGTGGCTGAACAGGCCTCTTCATCGATCCCTAAAAGGACTTCCCCTTTAGGACACATCGCAGATAGCCCGCGTTCGATTTTCGAGCTGGGCCAGGCCTCCTATTATCTAGGACGGCCGATCGTGGAGGGGCCGTTGGTTCCAGCGGCGTTGGAGGGGGAGCCTGAATTGACACCAGGCCCCCCACTCCGCCCGACTGTGGCGCGACGTAGGACCCCAGTCCGGCGTTCTGCGCCCAAACGTGCCCTGGCTGTGCTCTCTCCGGTTCCAGAGGGGCCAGAGATGAGCCCCAGGGCCGGCTCAAGTGTTTGGGCCGAAAGAGAGGGCCTCGAAAGACCATCGGCGTCCCTCTTGGCTGCCTCCAAGGCAGCGATGGTTCCCGCTGAAGTTTGGTCCCATGTCCCCCGTCTGCCCAATTTGGGCGCCTCCCATCCACCATCCAAGGTGGTGGAGACGACCAAGAAGGCCAAGCACGCGAAGAAGCCGAAGAAGACCAAGGAGCACAGCAAGAAAGCAACGCTAACCAAGGAAAAAGTCAACAGGAAGCGACCCCATATCGAAACCAGCGACGACGATCGCAGTGCCCCTGAAACGCCAGCCGCAAACAAGCGCCGAAACTTGGGCCCCCCGGGTAGCACGCCTCATACCCGTCGACTCACTCCCCTTTCTCGTCGGCTGACTACGAACGCCGCCCCCTACTCGGAGAGACTTCTACGCCGGAAAGTGGAAAGAGACGGACGGATCCACAAGACCTTGTTCCGCGTCCCACAGCTTATAGCCCAGAGAGAGGCTGACCGCCGGGCGGCGGAAATGCTTCCACTGAACCGTTTCCCTGAAGTTTCCCAAGCAAGTATCGCATACGAAGCGGAACAGTCCGAGGCAGACTCCCAGCATCCCGAGAACGAACCAGCGGCGCCCGAACCTCCGGCCACTCCCGAAAGGCAACAGGGTTGGAACATCCGCGGATTGCTCAGCTCCGTGCCTCGCACTTTCTCCCGCTTCATACCAGGACTTGGTCGGTCCCCTGAGAGGCAAGAACCAGGTATGTCTATATCCAGTTTTGTACACCACGCCATATGGCGAGTGGATTGCTCATCGTATATAGTACCACCCCAGCCGTCCTCTGAACGCATAGTCCGTACCCTGCCCCTTGAGTCCGTTCCCTCTGTACCCAACCCCGAGGTTCATTCTCGCCGTCGTCTGAGTGAGCAATCGACGAGCGAAGGGCGGCCGGCGAAGCGGCCACGCAATCTGTCTTACTCTCTTTTCCCGGCCCCCATGGACAAATCGCTTTATCTTGGAGATATCCAAAAGACTCCTAAGACTACTCCAGCTCCACCTCAGCCAGAAGGACAGCCGGCGGAAAAGTCGGTATCCCAAGAATCAGTCCCCCAGGAATCAGTTCCCAAGGAGTCAGTCCCCAAGGTGTCGGTGCCCCAGGAATCGGTGCCCCAGGAATCGGTGCCCACCACATCAGGGCATCAGGACCTTGAAAGATCACCCCGGAAGGTCGACGAGACGACCAAAAAGAAGCGCAAGCGTTCACCTTCGCCAGATGTCATTCCAAATCCAAAGGGGTGTAGCTACGGGATGGACATGGATTACTTCTGTTACAGTTCTGACAGTGAAGATGAGACAAACCCGACCTCTGAGCCGACAATGCCTCAGACCGAACCAAGACAGTTGGGCAGACTAAGCAAAGGGATCGTCCGCAATGCCATTGGTTCGGAACACCACCCTTCGAAAAAGGTCAGATTCGACGCGAGCCCAGAAGACACACCTTCGAAACTTAGATCGCGAGCTCGCGCGACTGATCCTTACCGTGGAAAACAGTTTATTGGTATGAGCGGTGCATCCGCCTCTCCCGAAGTGTCACCCACCCCTGCCTCTCACGTCGATACCATTCATGAGCCACGACAACGTCCGGGCTTCATCCCCAATTTGCAGGGCACATTCCAGCTTGATTATGATACGTTTTCAGACGACAGTGATTTGAGCGGGCCAAACTCTCCCATGAGCCTCCCGGCCCCCAGTCCACTGTCAGCTGGACCCAGCCCCGTGAAGGCTAGTGGTCAGCCTGAAAGGTATTGTAGCATGATATCCTTTTGTTCGTGGTAGAATGTACTAACCCGATTCTCTAGTGTGCAATCCCCTGCTCGTCAAGCTCCTCGCCCAACACCCGCAGCTCCGTCGACTCCTGCAGGCCCGTCAACGCCCGCCAAAGTCGACGAAGAAGCTCTTGCAAGAGTCCGTTCTCGAGCAGAGAAATACAAGCCCAAAACGCCCAGTGGTCTTCGTACCACCAGTCGTTATTCGAGCCCTTTGACTGCCACCCCCGACGCCCTCGCCAACAGAGAAGAAGTTGTAGCCGATGCGTTCGGAGACGATGACTTCGCTCGTGACGCTAAATGGCTCTTGGAAAAATGTCCCTCTGGCGATCTCCGAAATCTTGTTTGGCCGCAAACACAAAGCCTGGTCGACAGCATTGGCACCCAACCCGAATCTCTCGATGTTCTCTCCAGCATCTGGGATGATGCCGAACTCGACAGAGCTTACCTTGTTTTCAACGCCAGCCTGAAGGCGTTCGAGGAATCCAAGGCACGAAATGTTGAATGAGATGCTGTGTTTTTTGTGTGGAAAGTTAGTTGCGTTAGTTGCGTCTGTCATGTTCATTCTGTGATCTCCTTGTGTGCCATCTTATTTCCAGTACTTTGTGGCCCTTCCACTTGACCCCCTCTTCTGTCGCAGGGGAGTGTGTGGCGGTGGAAAGAGGCCCAAACCTGATTATTCGATGTGCCGTGGAGATTTGGTTTTGTTTTCGTTTACTTTGTGGCCCTTCGACTTGCCCCCTCTTCTATTATCGGGAACTGTGTGCGGCGGTGGAAAGAAGCCCAAACTTGATTGTTTAGTGTGCCGTGGACATTTCACTTTTGATTTTGCTTTTGTTTTTACTTTGCTTCCACTTTGCTTTTCATGTTGCATTTACTTTTCACTTTGCTTTTGCTTTTCACATTGCATTTTTGCTTTGCTTTTCTACTTTCGATTTGACTTCATGCGATTTGGTTTCTGTTTGTCCGCTGGCCTAGGCGGCCCCCCTCCATCATTTCGCATGGAGTTGGCAAGTCCCGCTGCGGTCAAGACGCCTTGTTTGTGTATGGAACTTGCTTTGGAGTTGTGATACAATCGGGTCATCCCTGGATTTGCATGAGCGTTAAGGTGTTATTTACAGCATTTGTTGATTTGCGTTTTTAGCGTTAGATCCTAATGGGATACATTCAAGCTCAATTCTTTCAAGTCCGTAGTATCCATCCATCTTCAATATAGCGAGACTAATGGGATAACTGTTCTGTCCTCACTTTGGAAGTTGCGGGTGTTGAAGGTATGTAGTTGATCTTCGGATGCTTTGATTTCAATGATCGAGATTCATGCATTGTAGCAATTTCGATATCGGCATTGTGAGCTAGACGGAAAACGCCTGTTACACACAAGTATGATGGTGTCCTGGCTGGAATATGAATAGGATTATGAGATGAACCCTTACATCTTATGCCGTATGCAGAATCAACGTTTAGTTGACCAAGGGAGACAATAGAAACAAGCAACACTAAAGACCACCTTATGTTTTCAATATCTACAAGACGGCGCCTAGCTGGGCAAATACACCAGCGACAGACAGATGGGAAGTAGGTAAGGTAGAATACAAATAAAAAAGACAATCCAATCAATCAATCAATCAATCAAACCCCTGAAACTCCTCCCCATCATCACCAGCCTTATTCTTCTCACCACCAGCTTTAGCAGCAGCGAGTCTAAGCCGTCTCTCCTCATCATTCTTCGCCTTGATATCCTCGACCATCTTCCTTGTCTCCAGAACCTGCTGCTTCTCTTCCGCGCTCATAGCCTCCCACCGGTCCTTCTCGCGCCTCGCGTGCTTCATCTCCCGCTTCTTCAACTTCTTGTTCTTGGTCTCGATGTTGTTGCTCCAGGCCACGCTCTCGCTAGCTCGTCGCTTGTTGGACGGTTGTTCGGAGGGGGGTTTGGATTCGGGATTGGCGGCTGCCTCGGCTGCCTCCTGGAGGGCCTCTTTGCGCTGCTTCTCCCGCTGCTTGTCCTTGTAAGCGAACTTGTCCCATTCGACATTGACGCCGAGGGTGCGATCGCCCTTGAATTCCCTCGATTCGGGCATCTTGGGCAGTCTCAGCAGCGCCCATGCCTTGCCCAGGGCTTCCCAGTCTATGTCCGACACGCGGAAGATGCTGCTCGCTTGGTGCTTGCTGTAGCTGCGCAGCCAGCTGACGAAGGCGCGCTGTCCGCGATCGTGCAGGGTGCGGTCTTTGAGGATCGCTTGGCGGGCGGTGTCTGTGGCTTCGTCGGCCTCGGCGTCGGAGATCGCGATGGGGTGGGGGAACGGCGCGACGGGCGTCTTGCGGACTTCTAGGAAAGACACGTAGTCTTCTTCGCGGCCGGGGTGGAGGAGTACGACACTTATGCCTCTGCGGCCGGCTCGGCCGGCACGACCGCAGCGGTGGATGAAGGTCTTGGGGTCGGAAGGGGGGTCGATTTGAACAACTAGGTCCACGGATGGGATGTCTAGTCCGCGCGAGGCGACGTCTGTCGTTAGGAGGATTGCTGGGGTGGGGGAGTTGATGAAGCGGGTAAAGTTCTTTTGGCGGACGTTGGCTTGGTGTTTCCCGTGGAGCGGTATTAAAGATACGTCGTCGCCCAGTATTAAGGGGAGCACTGCGGAAAGGTAGTCCACTCCGGAGCAGGTGGAGACGAAGAATATCGTCTTTTGGGGGGTTGGTTCAATGGAGGTGAGGATGTGCTTTAGCGCGAGGAATTTGTGCCTAGGGGGAGTAGTGAGGTAGGTCATTTGTAGACTGTTTTGGATGTTAGCTGGGGAAGTTGAGAGCATGCATGGCACCGGGCTTTTACTAACCTTGCTGGTGTGCGCTTATCCTGGACTCCTGCTGTTCCTTTAACCTTGACCATGACCTTGACGGGATTGCGCAGACCGACGCGGACAATTTGATCCACAGCCTCACTGACACTAGCGCTGAACAACCCAGTACGCCGCTGTTTCGGCAACCGACGCAAAATGTTCTGCAGAGTCTCTTTGAACCCAAGGTCCAGCAGCCTATCTGCCTCGTCGAGGACCAGCATTTCAAACGACGACTGCGGGCAGTACACGTGGGGTGACGAGAGGAGCTCCAGCAGCCGCCCCGGGGTTGACACTAGCACGTTCGGCGATCTCTTCAGGAAGCTACTCAAGTCTTCCGCTGGGGTAGTCGAGCCTCCGAGGAGGAGTTGCGGGACGACCTTGAGGGCAGAGTGTTTCTGGCGCGGCGCATTGCCGTCTTCGGGAGGATTGATCGCAGCGGCGGACGGAGGATGGAAGGCGAGTAAAGACGTAAGCACGTTATATATTTGAGACGCAAGTTCTCTGCGAACAGAAAGTCAGCATCGGTGGGGTCGTGACCATGGCGCAGAGGAAACCTTACCTCGTCGGAGAAATAATGATAGCCCCGACATGGTGCTTCTTCATGGGCTCTTCGAGTCGCAAGAGCTTCTCCACCACGGGAATCAGAAACGACAACGTTTTACCACTGCCAGTGACAGCTTCCACCACGACATCCTTATGCGCCATGAATAGAGGGATAGCAGAAGCCTGGACGGGCGTCATGCGGGTGAAGCCCATAGATGAGACAGCGTCGAGCACCCAATCCGACAGAGGGGGGTTGACACCATCCCAAGCTCTGGCAGACGTGCCAGATGGCGGCTTAGGGGCCATGATAGTATACTGAGAGGAATGAAGTGGTTATAACCCTCTGTATCTCCTTGAATGCGAGTCAAAAACCAATATTTTCCCGGACGAAAAAAAACGCTTATCAGAAAGATCGGCGATTAGATATCGGGGCGGTGAGCTTTTTTTCTGCCGGACCACACGTGACCCCATGTGCGGCGGGAGGAACGGGCGCCTTAGGCCGGCCTTCTGTCTCCATGCGACATCAGCTTTCACAAGGGAAACTAACCAGCACTAGCGACTCTGTCCTTTCTACAGGAATCATCGCCTACGTGATGCATGGCTCTCTGCTGATCTTATCCCTGTGATTTGGCGCAACTTTCTTTGCATACCTAGCTAGACTACACGATCTTCATCGTCTGGAAAGGTTCTCCTGCTTATTCCTACCTAACCGCCCACGATTCCGTCGAACGAAGCCGGCAGTTCCGTCTTTTATGGCATTTTTGCCTCGAGTATCTTCACACTCCCTCAGAAGCCCTTTGACGGGCTAGTCCGTCCTCCAAGCCTTCCACCCTTGTCGCTCAGATCGGTCGACATGTCCTCCCGCAATGCAATCCCCGAGACCCCTCGTGTCATCTCGCCGTCCCCTGCGCCCTCGGATAGCAGATCGAGCTCACAAGACAACTATGCGGCTCCCATGACCCGCTCTGCGGCGCGGCGCCGACAGCTAGGGAATGTATCGGAGGAGATCGCAGGTGAATCAGGAGCAGAGAGCAGGTCTTCGCGGCTACGATCGCGCAGCCCGGCCACCACGCCTTTAAGCCCGCGAAAGCGTCAGCGCCGATCGAACCCCATGCAGCGCGTCAAGAGCCCTGAAGCAAAAACCAACAAGCAAGCGGATTCCAACGGCTTTCTATCCCCGCTCTCTGCAAAGGCCGACGGCGCCTTGCCTGACATCTCCCGGTCTCCGTCCCCTATGGGCCTTATCCCGCTCCACACTCGCTATCGTAACTTCATCCATCGCCACGAGATCCCGCGGAAAGCCCTCCACGTCTCAATCGGATTCGTTACCCTACACCTGTACAGCCGCGGGGTACAGACATCGCAGATCACCCCGTGGCTGATGACCGCCCTGGTCCCGATCGCAGCAACAGATGTCATCCGCCACCGCTCAGAGAGGTTCAACCGATTCTACACCAAGGTGCTCGGGGCGCTCATGCGCGAGACAGAGTACGCAGGCTACAACGGCGTGATCTGGTACCTGGCCGGCGCATACGCCGTCCTACGCTTCTTCCCCAAAGACGTCGGCGTCATGGGCGTCCTCCTCCTCAGCTGGTGCGACACCGCCGCGTCCACCTTCGGCCGCCTCTACGGTCGCTACACGTTCAGCCTGCGCAAGGGGAAGAGCTTCGCGGGCACCTTCAGCGCCTGGGTCGTCGGCGTCGTCACCGCCGCCGCCTTCTGGGGCTACTTCGTCCCTTACTACGGGGCCTTCCCCAATGACCCTGAGGGGTCCTTCATGTTCACGGGCCGTATCAACCTCCTTCCGGATTGCGTCAAGGGCCTCCTCGGCTGGGAGACTGGCACGTCCACGGGCCAGGTCACCGGTCCGTTGGCGCTCGGCGTCATGAGTGTTGTTTCCGGCTTGGTGGCCGCGGGCAGTGAATTCATTGATATCTTCGGCTGGGACGATAACTTCACGATCCCCGTTCTGAGTGGTATTGGACTGTGGGGTTTCTTGAAGGTTTTTGGGTGAGCCGTTGACTTAGTAGGGCAACTTGGATATACCTACTCTTGCTTTTCTTCCCTGCATTTCTACCCTCTCCCGCTTGTTTCTCTCATCGGCACTTCCTTTGTATAGCATCATCCTTCTATCGTCACTTGTCAGGAACACTTCAACCCCGCTGCCTATATTGATCTTTCCTTCCTTCCCCTCCCCTCCCCTCCCCCATCATTCACCGTTATTCAACTCCTCCATCACTTTGTCTATTATTACCATTCCTATGCCACAATAGCATCATCATTTCTCCTCTCCTCTCCACCTCACCTCCCGATCCACCCATTACCTACCTACCTCCTACGTTGTCTGGATCAAGGAAAGGGAACATTTCAACAAGTTACCACCATAGACAGCTTGCTTACTTTCCTTTGTATTTTTTTTTCTTACTTCATTCATAGCTACATATATTAGAAAACTTAGAGGTTTAATATTCTGTATCTATATCGCCGGTGTGTCTGTGGCACTGTAATGTATTTCTATTATTATGTATGTGCTTGGTGCTTAAAACATGTTTGTTAGGGACTATCCATCCCGAAGTCTATGATAGGTAGGTAGGTAGATATTCAACCAACGCCTCAATCCACTATTCAGTCCAAACAGAATGCAGTAATGCAGTCAGGAAGAGAGTATATAAAAAGACAATGCTAATCTCCAACATCAAACGAAACCTGTCAAAAACAAGGCAAAATTCAACGCAAGTCAATGACACTAACGCGTGAAATGCGCTTAACGCCAAGAGAATCAATCTTCTGCTTTTGGGCGACGTTGTCGTCTGAGGCCAGCTCAGTTGTAGGGGTATCTTCTGTTGTCCAGTATCCGTTGCATATTATAACTGAATCGACGTGGGAGGGAACTCCGTGGGATTCAGGTTGGCGGATTCCAGGGTCTGGTTTTTTTGGTTTATCCTGGTCCTGGGTTGTTGGGTTGGGTTTGGTTCCCTTCCCCGGTGGCGAGTCAACGTGGGATGTGACTCGGAGATTCTCAGGAGGTTGGTGTATTTCAGAGTCTGGTTTGATTGGTGTATCTTGGGCCTGCGTTGCTGGTTTGGGTTTGAGGCTCTTTCCCTTCTCTGATGGAGAGGCTGCGCTTGTTGCTTTCGTTTCCTTTTTACTTGGATTTGTCCGCTCTGTTTCAGTCGTAGTCGCTTTGCAGAGATTCTCAGATAGCGGGGAATCATCCTCAGGTGATGTGGGCGGGCTGGATTTCCCGTCCTTTGGAACGGAGGCATCGTCTGGAAGTTTTGTGCTTATTGATCTCTTGGAAGAGTGTTTGGGACCCCGTGAAGTCCGAGGCTTTTCCTTAGGTGCCTGAGAGCCGTCGCAGGTCTGTGATCCTAAAAATACCACCTCGTCCGTTTGGGATGCATTCAAAGTTTCACTAGACTTGGATATGTTCCGGCGTCTCGCCCGTTCTGAGCGGCGCGAAGCTGTAGTCTCTTCCATGTTGGGTAGCGCGGTTGCATCATTACGGCTGACTGTTGAACGGCACCTCCTTTTCTCCTCTACACGCGCAGCGGGCGAAGGGGGTTTCAGCGAGGGATCCACAGCAGGTTCATCAGCCTCCCGATCCGGAGCTTTGTCTAGACTTGCTGCTCCACGCCTAGCTGAACCCCGAGAACGGGTGGCCTTTGAGGGGGAGTCACATGCACGGGAACAATCTCTGCATGACAACGTCAGATAATCGGCTGAATCACCGATATTCTGGAAAAGTGGACATGTACTGTTGGACATACACATCATGACCCGATGAATTCTGTACACTCTCAGAGTTCGGCGGGCTATGCTTTGTCGAGCTTGCCGTTGACACCGCCTCCTCGAGCATTTTTGTGTGTTTGTGTTGCGCGATTTCCGATTTCTCTTTCGTGAGGGTGCCGTATTTCAGTATACTTCCCCGCTTCATCCCCGCGTCGATGGGTCCTTTCTTTTTAGGGCCTGTCTTTCGTGCTCTTGGCTTTTTCGGAGCGTTGGCCTTGTCGTACTGTTCCTTCTTCCATTTTTGTACCACCTCAGGGATCCCTATCGTAGCCAGGTCTTCAAAAACCCAGATTTTTTCCGAGGCAAAAGGGTCGAAACGCTTCGTCACCCGTTTCTTGACAGGAGACTGGATAACGGGCTCGCCGTCGCCGTCAGCCTCCTCCTCTTCGTCGCCCGATATCGTCGTTTCCTGAGAAGGCATAGGAGGGTTTGGCTCCTCTGCTAAAAGATCCAGTCCTACAACGTCGATGGGGACATAATCCATCTGGAACTCTGTGAGCCCGTCGTTGCTGAAGCTCGTGCGACTCTTGTAAATCTTTTCCAGCATGGGAACACTGCTGCCAGACAATCTGGCGGCGCCCGGCGAGAAAGCCGACGGTCCCTTCTGGAGACGAAGCCTGTTCAAGACCAGAGGTTCTGCCAGTAGTCGAATCACTTTCCGTGCGCCAGAGCGATAATTCCATTCAAAGGTATCGGCGGTGAACATCCTCAGCTCTGTGGCGTCGATTTCCCGATCCCAAGAGTCCACGAGTAGCCGCCGTAAGCCTTCTATGTTGTCTGCTGCCGAGACGACAGGCTTTGCGTAGTATGACAGAATCTGTCTGTCCGGGAACGTCTCTGGAATCCGAACGGCTTTGTGTTTGGTCTGGAAGTAACCACTCTCGTTCTCTTCGAGCTCATACTGGAGCCGTTCCCTCCATTCACCAAGTTTCGTATCGACCTGATCCCCATCTGAATTGAGAATCTCAAGGAGATCCTCGCCAAACCCGGCGTTCGCAATTTCCGCCGCAAGCTTGCTACCACATTTGGGCACCCCAGACGGGAGATAATCGCCTCCGCTGAGCATCGCAAATAGGATCATGCCAGGGCTGCCAAGCTTAACATGAGCCGGAGATGACGGGTTACCACGACTGTAGCAAGTCACATGCGTTGCAGCCCCGCTCCCACTCCCGCTTTCCTTGGAGAAATTCATGATAGTCAAAGTCGAGCCGAACATCAGCGCGTCGACATCATTGGTCATCACCGCATCAACAACACCAACGCTCTGCAGACGGGCGCATTCGGCTTCCGCTTCCCCCGGTGCTTCATGGCGAGGGAATCGGAAGAGATCCACTAGGATCTTGGAGAGCCGGATGATCGGGGCACTCCCGTAACTCCGCCCGGAGACGGATTTGCCTCTTTTGAACGGGGGCTTGTCCTTCCCGTCATATACAAACAGGGGATGGATGGGAAGAGCAAGGAATTTGAGCAGCCTGTAAAACAGCGTCCGTAACTCTGGGTTCCGGCCACCCCGACCGGCTTGGACTTGGAACAGCCATATGGAGATGTCCACGGCCACGCGAATTGGTCTTGCCGTTCGCTCAAAATGCGTGATGGCTAGTTTAGATAGGGATATGCGCTCTCCCGAACCAATTGCATTGATGAGTCTGTTGGTTGGTTGTTAGCGATTTTGTTGGATGGGGTGAGACTGAAAGATATATATAATGGCGAGTTTTCTCCTTTTTGACGAGAATGTAACATCGCTGGAAGAAGAACGTGGCTATACACCTACCCGGGGATCCCCATCTGGAAAGATTTCAATAGTCCTACGCTAAAACCATCAATGTGCCCCGCACCTGCGGCGGGAATGGTAGATATCCTCTTAGGGAGTGAGATGGTTGTTTACATGAGTGTTGTTGTGGTGGTGGCCGTGGAGAACCAAGGTGCAACGGCCCGATGTAGATCCGCCCTTAGCCTCAGTGCTGGTTTCCTATTTGGGAGCTTGTACTTGACTTCAGCTTGGTGAAAAAAAAAAACCTAAAAACAATAAAAGAAAGAAAGATCGATTAATAAAAATCAAAATACTACGAAGTGCAAGCTGGAGAGGCGTTTTAGTTTCCCGTGAGAGAGTAACACATATTACATGAATATGACAATGTTGATCAACTTTTAGCCAAGACAATGACGATCACTTATCTGCCTACATCATCATTGTCTACTCCGTACATTGCAAGGAAAACCAAATGAGAGGTGGCATTAGTACTGATTATGTACTTGGGGTACTTGGTTGTGGACATGTAGGACAGCTGACAGGTCGAAAGTAATTAAATCCAATCAATAGATTGGTTGATCATCGCAGAATCATCCCACAACCTAAACGACACCAAACTTGTAGGTGGCCCAATTGATAGCCGGAGCGCCCGCAGGGGAATAGATCTGATCAGACAGCTGGCCCCATTCGGGGTTGTTGATCCCGTCAATCCATCCCTCCGGCTCAATGACGACACAGCCGAACTTGTTGACCGCCGTGGCGCCATCGATCCCTTCCTCCTTATTGCGCTTGGCCTGGGACGGTTTGATCGGGATGTTGCCTTTCTGTCCCACGCAGGCGTAGATCTGGACCGCCTGCTGGTTGGTGGCCACCTCCAGGCTGATGCCGGTGGTGCTGGAGTTCATGAAGAGAACGGGGACCAACGAGGCCGGGCCCACCTGCTGGGGAGGTCGATCCACGATCCAGCAGTTATCGTAGCCCGTGCAATCCGTGCCGCACAGCCCGACGGCTTTTTCGACGTCTTGACCGACCAACTTCCCGGTGGTAAAGTCCGCGGCACCGTCGTAGGAATCAACTCCCAGAAGCGTGCCGTTGGGGATCAGGATGCCGTCTGTGGCGACAAGGCGCGTTGAGAGAGGCATCTGGAGGAAGGTGTCTTTCAGGACATTTTTCTCTTTGAAACCGTTGAGGTTCCAGTAGATGTGGTTGGACAACATGATGGGCGTGGACTCGGTCAGGGCCACGGAGATCAGCTTGGTGGTCAACTGGGGGAGACCGTTCGGGTTGTCGGGGGTGACCGCGGTGTCCACACTGTACACGGCGTGGGTGATCACATCGCCAGGGAAGTCCTGGAATCCCTGGTCGAGCAGGGTGAATGTCACCGAGGACTCCGATTGCGCGGTGACGGTCCAGTTGCGCTCATCATAACCGACATTGCCCCCGTGCAGGGTATCAAGTCCATCGTTTTCATTTTTGGGAACCTCGTACTCAGTGTCGCCGATAGTGAAGGTGCCATTCTTGATGCGGTTGGCATACCGGCCGACTACAGCACCGAAGTAAGTGTGGTCCCCGTTGGTATCCTTGACGTAGTCTTCGGGATCATCATAGCCGAGGGCGACGTCCTGTTCCCGGCCGTTGCGATCGGGCACGAGCACCGAGGTCAGACGGGCACCGTAGGGAATGAACTTGGCGGTGATATTCTCGGCCTTGATGGTGTACACCTTGAAGGCGTCCACAGCCGACGAGTCGGCAGGCGCAGTGGAGGGCTGAGCCAGCGCCGGCAACCCATAGAGGACTGCGGATAGATAGGATTTGAGATGCATCCTAGCACCCAAGAGAGAGATGACAGCGAGAAAGAGGAGACAGTAGATGGCCAAAACCCGGGGGGTGATGCGACGAGGGCAGACCAGATAGCGGAAGCAACCAAGATACTGGGGGGATCCCTGATTGAGCGTGGAGGAGCGGCCCATTCTATTTATTTATATAGTGTTTGGAGTAGGCTGGCACAGCCTACTGTCATTGCACCTGACCTCAAGGTGGGGAAACGGGTACAGGAACAAATGAATGGAACCTAAGGATTCCAGATCACTTTTGCTGGAAACCCAGTTGATTTGTCCAAAATTGTTGGTTGCAGTGATAAATCATCCGAAAAAGACGCAATCAAACTAAGAATGAACTTAAGGCGGGAAAATCTGTTGGTACTGGCAGGGGTGCCTGGGGTGTCTGTGTCACTGGCTCACCCAGAGAGGGTCGATTGGTTGTCAAGACGGGTTGGAGTGAATAGACCCAAACAAATTAATAAACTAAGAGACCAAGTTGGACTTCTGGTGAGTCCACAACTAGATCATCTGATTCACAACAATGGATGAGCAAAGGTAGTAGCCAGTGACTCGAGAGAATGATACCTTATGATGCTCTAACGTCAGTCCAAGAGTTGCACTAGCAGTGAAGCCAGGGAAGCCACCAGAGAGTAAGAATCAAGAGGCGGCCGCTAGACCAAACACTAGACCACAAGAGGGCAATTCCAGCGGGGGATCCGGCTAGGCAAAGGACGGCGCACTGCGGGGAAATGTTAAGGCTGGTAATCTCCTCTTCTAGTGGCTCCAGTGTCTTTGACTTGGAGTTTTCCCGTCCATTGCTTGGGGATCCTTGGGGAGTACAAACCACCATGGAAATGATCCAGGGACGGGAACAAAGGAAAAGGAATGCCGTGGGTATCCATGTTACGGTAGTCAACGCATCTGGACAATGCCGGAGTCGGCCTGATCGCGGCCTGAGATGGGGCCCTGATATCTCGGCCTGAGGTCTCACATCTTCGGTCGGGAACAACGAAACCTCCGATGTTGCTGACATAATCACACCGTCGCGATCGCTGGAGCTGCTCGATTGGGAGGCTTGTTTATCATTCCATCTGTAGCTCTCATTGACTCGGGTTTCCCGCCATGTGGCCGCTGTCGATCGCTTTCCTGAAGCTTTGTTCTGCTTGAATTTAGATATTCCTTTTGGTAGACGCGTTCGATCGAATAACTCCATGGTTCAACTGTCCTTCTCCGGCTTCCCTTGATGAGACGCGCCTGGAGTCCAGCTCCCTCACTCCCCCCGCCGCCCCGTACCTCATGCATTCGATGATGTCTTCGCGCAGCCGGACCTCCTCGCCGGACATTCTTGGTCCCCCCGGTGACCCGGAGTATCTGCTCTCGTCACCGATGAGGGCCTCTCCACGTCCGAAAAGCGTCATGTCGCCCCCGAACTTCAAATTCCTCCAGACCCCACACACCGCCACCAAGGGTAACCGGCGCATCAGTCTCAGCCCGGCAAAAAGCGCCCATTCGATTCGCTTCGACGATGTCTTTCTTCCTGCCTCTCCCGCAATGAACGCGAACCTAAATGGTCGGCAGAGAGCCCTGTCGCCCGACAAGGGCCCCCTCGACGGAAATGGGACACCATGGAGGCTCCGGGTGACGCTCGAAGCCACGCAAGACGAAGATCAAGAGCAGGGTAGCCCTGCACGGAAACGTCTCCGCCCGTCGACGACCATGACGACGAAAGTGCCGCTCAAGGATGATTCGGAACAAACCCCCCGACGACGTAGGGGCCGCCCGCGGAAGTCCGACATGCAGCTACATGCGACACCGACACCGGCGCCGATTGCTGGTAGCCCGGGTAATACCCCAGGCCCAGGTCTCACCCCGGGGCCAGGCCATACTCCAGGTCCAGGCCATACTCCAGGTCCAGGCCATACCCCCGGCCCAGGCCCGTCAGGTTCGCAGAAGAGGAAGCGCGGTCGGCCCAAGAAGCAAGCGCCAGACTCGGATATGATCGAAGCAACTGGGAAGGCAAACGAGCTGGCAGATGATTATGCGCGGTCGACTGTTCACCCGGAGCCCATATCCGAACCTAGGTGGAGTCCTTTGAATTTTGGTGCGGATGCAGATGGGGATGATGATTCAGACGATGGAGGTCTTCCGACCGGCCTGGAAATGCCTGATTCCTTTGGAGCTAATCATCTGGAGGAAGAGCATGAGCCACTCCCCCGGGATCGGAGCTCTCCGCGGGTGACGTTTGAGCAGTCGTTCAATACACCAAATGTCGATCACATAGACCAGGGGTATATGCACAACGATGGAAACTTCAACTCTACACCGTCAAAAATGCCTTCCCCGTCTCGTGAATCTCACCGTGCCTCCGAAAACACATTCGATGCGGGCCATACACCGGGGCCACCGCGCCTCTACCCGGTATTGTCCTCTTCGCCGTCGGCCGACGAAGAAAGACGAGAGTCACCGGAGACGGCCGTTGACACTGCGAAAGAGAGCGAGCACAACACCTCCCCCGGCGAAGCCCACCCAAGTAACCCAACCGATAAAACCGATCCAACAGATGAGCACCGAGATTTTGATTCGATCATTGAAAGTGAAGGCTTTAGTATGGTTTCGCTCGATACATTGCCATCGGCCAAGAACCATATCAGTGCCGAATCTAAAATGCTCAAAGGGGCTCTCAAGCCCTTTTTTGAGCGAGAATCCAATGGAGTTTTGCGCCAGAAATCAGCAGAAACGACAAAAGAGACAAACGCGGATGCTTTTGCTACAAACATGCAGCACGACCTAAGGCCAATGGACGAGCAACCGGCCTATCTTTCGTTACCGGCTACTGAAAATGACATTTCGCCCGACCCCCAAAGCCCAGAAGATGCCCCGGAATACCCAGCACCTTCTCCCGCAAGGGATTCTCCAGTTCAGCCGTCATATACTCTGAAGGAACGGCGACCACTTGTCAGGTTAGCTAGGATGATCCGTGCAGGCATTGCGCTTGGAAATACTCTTCGGCATACCGCCGGAAGAAAGAGCTCTCGAAAGGCGAGAATGTCTCTGCGAGACCAAGATTTGGAGCTGGAGGCATCCAGGAGACGCTTAGAACTTGTTTTCAACGACCTTCATCCTGATTCACAAGAAGAGCTGCAGGCCGGCTTGAACTTTGGACAGGAGCTGGTCAAGTTACGGAGACAGGTTGAATACCGGGCGGATGCACAACTCGACGCAGTAAAATCCAGGAGAAGCAAGTCGACCGAGAAAGCCGTGGCGCATAATTCGGGGGCCACACCTCAGCGAGCGGACGCGGCTTACCAATATCATATCTCCCCAAGCCCCGAAATGAAACGGCGCATGGCAGAGTGGCAACGGGAGAGGGAGGCTATCAGCAGGGAGATTGAGTTGGCTAACTCGAGCCAAGTCATTGTTCTTGATAGCGACTATCCTGCCCCAACAAGCCCGAATGGTGACGTGGAGGATGCTTATACATGGAATGACCAAGAACAGGAGTACGATGTAGAAAAGACTCCTCGATCAGATGCTGGCCCGGAATTGCGACAACAGCCTAATTTTCAGGATGATTACGAAGAGGATGATGATGGCTCTGAAGACATCTGGCAGCAAGAAGCCCAGGACCACAGCATGGAGGCTGGCCGCTCCTCTCCTATGCCCGGCGATGCCGCCGACGACATGCGTCCCGAACCCGAGTCGAGCCCCCAGCGGGCTGGATCCACTGCTGACAGCCCTGCGATGTTTTCGCGCTCCCACTGGGCTAACGAACGAGAAAAGCTCCCAAATCTGGGCCCGTCCCGGGTGCGACAGCTGCGAGAGCAAGAGGTCGATGTCTCCGCTTTGCTCCGTGTAGAAAACACGCCCAACCGGTCCCGATATTATTACGGGAAAAGCAGCCCCGTTACCTCTACACGCGGGCCATCTTCCGCCCAGTCTCGCAATACAGCAACGCCTCATTGGGCCCGAGATGATGTGAACGACTATCTGCCCGAGCAAGGAAATCAGTCCGACGGATACTTCGTGTCTAGCCCGCAGAGAAGCTCAGACGACGAGGCATTTCAGATCGACCCGACTACCCGACATGAGCAAAGTTTACAGTACGCTAATCTGCAAGGCGATGAAGACGGAAACAGCAGTATTTCGGGTGCCGCGGTACCCGAGGGACGATCGCCCCACGAGACGTCCAACGTGCATTCTACGCCATCGCGTCCAATCGAACGCGATAACCAGGCATCTACATGGTTCCAAAAGATCAGTAGCCTCACGCCAGGATGGCTGAAAGCTCCTGTGCGGAAATCATTTGCACATCCCGAGTCTCCTCTCGCTGGAGAAGTCATTGATGAAGGGGACGAGGACGAGGATGAGGTGTCTGAAGCCAATCCATCTTCTCACGACGAGCTTGATGATGAAGAGGTGGACGACGAAGAGGACGTCGAGCCAGTAGACACACCAAAACCCATTCCGCAAACCAAACGGTCGCCCCCCTCGCGGCGAAGCCTTTCTCGCAGGCGCTCCAGCCAGGTCATTGAAGAGCCACAACCTATCGCATCCAAAGAAACAACACCAAAACCCATCCGGCCAACCACACGGTCGCCCCCCTCGCGACAGAGCCTATCCCGAAGGCGCTCCAGCCAGGTCATCGAAGAACCACAACCCGTAACAACCAAAGAAATAAGCGGCGAAGCCTACGAACGGCAGCTTCCACTCTCCGTGTCAGGCTACTTCTCCAACGACCACTACAATTTCCTCCGGCGCCTCTACCGCCTAGCAAAACAGCACCCAGAGCGATTCCCTTACTTCTCCGCGCCCGGACGACCGGACATAATAGGCGACTGGATCTGGACGTCGAGCGGAGCGCACGGAGTGCCCGTCACGGAGCGCCAGTTTGCTGTCATCGACCGGTTTGTGCAAGAGCTGGCCAAGGCTGACCTGCAGGCCGGGGGGACAGGTCAGATTGGGTGGAGCGAAGCTGAGTTGCATAGACGGTTGATTAGTGTTATTATTGGGGAACAAATTAGGGGAGATACCACTATTGGTATATAGGTTATGGAGTAATTGGGTGACGGCGTGCGTGGAGTTTTGTTTTTGAGCGTGCTCTTTCTATGCGGCTTTGGGGGAGTTGGAACTTGTCTAGTTGTATGTACCTACATGTTTTGCCTTACATTCTGCTAGCTGGATAAGGGAGCGAGTGATATTAGCATGGTAAAGGCCCTGGTGGCCTATTGAATCTTCCAAGATATCCATCCAATCCAATTTGTTTAACAAACCTTAAACGCTCTCTTTCATCAATAGGGTATTGTGGAAATCAGCCTACTGACAGATTCAACTAGTGTGAAAGATGACAATGATATACTGACTCGAGCAGAAGTCCTTCCGTAGATAAGATGAAACTCACCTTTGAAGCCACCATCACAATAGCGAGTGAAGAACAAACTTGACAAATGGAACGCAGGTGTGTGTGTGTGTGTGTGTGTGTGTGTGTGTGTGTGTGTGGCACTATAACCCAGGTATAAACAGCGTTCATCATGATCAAACCTCATCGCCATTCATTTCTACATCTCACTACTAATACCTCTCTGAAATTCTCGAGACGAGACGAACGAGGACAAGACAGCTACTGCACCAAAATACCGAATCGGATTGATTTGGGCTTGATATTCCAGCATAATATCATAATGAACGGGTGCTCCATGCAAAGGACTTATGGCGATGGACACTTCATATTTGCAAGCCAAATCCACCGGTAGTAGGTGCAAATCTATAGAATACTATATAATTGCCGCTTGCTAACACAATAATCTAGGTATTGTCAGTGCCTTTTCTCCGAGAAAGGCACTGGGTAAGATCGAATTGATTACACTACTTCTCTACAATCGGCGCTCGAAGCTATCAGACAATTCCAGCCATGCCAGCTAGCACAACCACTGGTAGAACAGTATCAAAATGAACTCTACCACTACCTATTGCCTGTACAGGAAGGGCATGTTCTCATGCCTCCCGCGTTTGTGATCCAGACGGGTATCAAAGTTGGAACAATTGACTTGTTCCTTACACTGAAGAAGTGGGGAGTAGAGCTTCTAAGAGACAATGGCTGGCTTCGGAACATACGTGTATCAGGATAGATACTAACCGAATGGTCAATATTTCGCCCCGATCGGATTGGAAGGAAAGATGGACCATTGCAATATGTTGTTCCAAAACCACCGATAAACTGCCACTATTCAGGTAATTCATGTCACCACAGAACACGATACACGATGCACAGCGCGTGGAGTGAGATATATTTTGAGATCCGGCGACAGTGACGACTGATGAAGCGTGGCGTTGATGATTGGGATTGGAATTGGGATTGGGGTTGCTTTTTCATGGGATCTCATCAGCCGCTAGAGTATTCACAGAAGTAATGGACTCTCTTTGCGTTTGGGTTTCTCTTCCCTTCTACTTTTCTTTTATTTTTCTTCCAAGTTTTTTTTTTTTCGGATTTCGCGGGTGGGCGAACCAATGATGGCCACAGATCTCTTCCTCTGTATATGACATGCTCTACCGATCTATGTACGACTCCCTCTTCGTGTCTCTCATGTGAATACCTTCAAACCTCATTGGATGCGCACGTGTTAGACCAGGATTATTCCTGTTTATTCTCTTCGACTCCAAGGTGTAATACAAGCTATCATTGGCTAGTAGTATTGCAAAGTTTAGGTTCCGACGCTTGGCCTGTCAGTGCTGAATGTCACGAGTCCAATTACTACTTTCGAATCCTTGGCTTGATTACTGTTTTGGATATAGAGCAGAGAAATCTACTTTGCCACCATATTTTTCCTAGACAGACGCGTCGGGGACATGCTTCTTCCTTGATCTTTTATCCGAGCCCAGGACATATAGGCGTACAGTATATACATGGATGAAGCCTATAGGAATAGCCATACAAAACGCTACGACTACTCGAACACGTTTGCCACATCATTCCATGTCCGTCTATACACATCGGCGTGAGACAGAGTAAGATCGATTGATCAATCATCCACCGGCCACGTTTCCGCTAGCCATCGGGACTGTATGCAGTACGGGCCTGACTTTCCCGAAACTAGGGTTCCACGTAGTGAACGAAGAAAGACAGTAGATAGATCAGATCAGACTAGTAGATCTGAGCGACTGGGACGACAACGGGGAGGAGAAGTTCAACTGAACCTCGCTCACCGCGGCAATTTGGGCTGGCCATGTAGGGAGAGCGTCTACAGACGGTGGGTCTTTTCGAGGAGAAGGGAGAAAAGGGAGGGCCACCAGCCAAGCAGAAGAAGAGACGCCGGAAGCGCTTCCATGTCGAAATGTCTGACGATGATGTGTGAGTGGGCCATCTGTGAGTTTATTGGCTTGTAGGGGACCCGTCGTGAAGTCAGGCTCTAACTAGGAGTAATGTGCCTTGATGCCAGGGCGGCGGAATGACATCCTCGTACATGGGATGGGCTTCCAGACCGGCCTGGTTGGTTTCAACCTTTCCTTTTTCCTTTTTCCCTTTTGTTCTTAGCTTCTGATTTTTGCTTTTTCCTGTTTGGGTGGTCTGGGAGGGTCCTCTTCCCCGGGGGATATAAAGTTTCGTGGAGCCCACGATGGCGGCAAGACCCTGGTGATCAGACTTGACGTTATCATTGAGCCTGGAAAACAAAGCAACAAGATACTCACGAGGTTGATGTCAGTTTACAGGAAAGTCAACCGAGCCGGGAATTGATAATCTCCAAAAAAGGGGAAGAGAAAAAGAAAAGAAAAGGATTGAGCCCAAGCGTTGTGAGGGGCCAAAAAGAGAGAACAGAAGACAAAACCAGACAAAAGGACGAAAAGAGTGACTCTCTCTCACTCATACACCGCTACCTCAATACACATTACATTCATTCTTGAGAAAGCACACACCTTATCCCTAAACACAATGGGCGTCACCGGCACAGTCAAGTACATTTTTCACCTCCCCACCCGCACCAAACACCTCGCCCGCTCACCGTCCTCCTCCTCTACGCCCCGGAAAGAGAAAGCCCCCGAATACATCAAAAGCTCCTCGATTCAAGTGACGTTGACGACCCCCGACAATGTCGACCATCCCCGGACTCGCCATGGAGCGGTGAGCTTCCAGGAGCTGCAGCCTTCTCCCCACAGCCGCCACTACCGCCAGACTAGCTGCAACCCGAGCAGTAGCGGCACTAGTGGCCGGGGCAGCAGTAGCAGCAAGGGCAAGGTAGCGATGACGACAGCGGCCAAGAAAGGGCGCCCTGCAGCGGTGCGGGCTGTCGGTTGGGCGAATATCGTTGGTGATAGGCCGCGTTGGACGGAGGAGCAGGAGCGCGAGTTGGAAATTGCGGAGGTTGAACTGCGGAGATGTCAGAAGGCGTGGAGTTCCGAACAGGAGGTTTGGTTGGCTCGTGTATGTCCCCTTCATCCCCTTTTTTACTCCTTATTCTCCTTCTCCCTGTTCCTTCCTTTCTTTTTCTGCCTCAGCCTATAACTGGTGGACTTAACGGAAAACATCTAATATTTTGGAACAGATTGAATCCCTAAACGAGGAAAAAGAAGCTCACGAGGAATTTCTCCACAATCGTGCCAGACAATCAGATGACGAGCAGCAAATCTTCCGCAAGGTATGGAATCAACGCAAGTCATGCGACGATCCGCTGCAACGACAGCCGTCGCAGCGGTTTCGCCGACTGCGACGCTCGCAGGATGGAGACGACGAGGAGGAGGATCCCATGGCGCTGGCGAAATGGGGTGGGGCTGGTGGGTTGAAGCGGTTTAGGAGGACGTGGTAAGGGCTTCATGATGACTTAAAGTTATATAATCTGAAGATAATTCAATACAATGGTTTATGATATATGATACCCTATGGGTTGACGTCTTTAAGGCTGGCACTGTCTGTTGTCCACTGCTTAGTCGCGTATCAGCTCTCAACAGCTGGTCTACATACAAGGAACGCTGCCAGTGGGGAACATAGTCATTTGTTCTGGCCTCCCCCCCAACGAGGTCTCCGGGCGATGTATGCTGTACATACGGAGTATACAACTAGCAGATGATGATTCTACCACTGCTCCCTGTCCGTAAAAAAAAAGCCGATCGTATAGTTCGTAGAATAGTACTCCGCATAGTTGACTATTTACTTTGTCTGTAGACAAACTATCGACTCCACTCCACTCCACTTCCTAGTGAGTCGTAGGTACTTTCGACGTCGCAAAACATGTACGGATTATTGCCTGAATGAATTATATAGACCAGTCTATTCCAGATGTACTTTTCTTGCGATCCAGCTGCAAGTAACGGTCTTGTTCGGGTGAACCTGTCCACCTTCTTATCAGCTGTCGATCCCCTTCACTCACACCACGAACTCCCAGACAAAACATCGGGTATAAATGGAAGAACCTTTCTTCTTCAAGAATGTAACCACGGGAATTTTTTTGCATTCTTCAGGATACTCCATTAAACCCGACGGAATGCCCCGGAGGAAGGACGGAGAGTGCCGAGGCTCATGATAACAGCCTCGCAACGACGGCGGAGATGGAATCCCGTCCGAATTGACAGCGGATAACTCGTCTACCGCATTGACCTATACCTATCTATTTCTGTAGATCCATGCGGTATTCTATGGGCCCAAGCACTACACGCCAAGCACCTTATCTCCGACCCATTTTACTAAGGCCCCCATTTCCCCTCATGTCACTGATAAGCTGACCGGGGTCCCATGACGGCCGTTTGCCCTAAGAGAAGCCAAACCCGCCTGTGCTGTGCTGTATCTGGCTCTTGGACTTTTGCTTCCCCGGCCAGATCGACGCCACTTGCGCTGCTTCTCGTCCACTCATGTTTTCCGACGGATCCCCGGCTCGGCTGGATGGCCCATTCTGAGTAATTGGTTTTGTTACTGATCACAAAAGGTGGAGACTGGTCAACCGTTGGGCTTTTGCCTCATTGTTGTGGGATGCGCCAGATCCGCCATTAGATGACAATGGTCAAACAAAGCAGGTCTTAAAAACGTCATGTAATACCCCTACTTGGCTCTTGAATCAAATCTATATGAGTTCGTCCCTCGCCGATCCAGCGGTCGTGTCGCCTTCGCCGCATGAAGGATGGAACCATTCCTCCCGAGCCTCAGGATTTAACATTGGCACCGCAGGTGTCCCGATCGCCATGGGTTGCATTATGGATGGTGCCTGTCTGATGTAGATACTCCTAGGGTTTGAGTTTGAGGGATCCTATGGTTACTTTGAACAGTTCGTTAACAATAGCCAATCACTCCGGACAATCGTAGTTGATAATGATCCCTTGGCCGTTCGTTAAGTTCATGGGATCCTCCACTATTGATTATCACGTTGCTTTTGCCGTGAAGATCCCCTTTGGGACGCTTGATAAGCCTCGTGTCGAGGCTGATAGTGATATGAGCCATCACTGCAACCTCCGTCATCCGCCCTCCCTCCGGTATCTTTTCCGGGATTGGAGGTGGAGCTGCTTCTGCCCCTTAGTTTCTGGTTGAGCACCTACAATAACATATGCGGTCGCTATCCTTAAAGAAAGTACGGAGTCCCGAGAATCTGGTCACTTCTATCAATTCTTTCTCCGCGCCACCAAGCTCCCTTCTGTCCGCCGGCCAGTGATGCGCCCACCATGTCTGTCATCACCTCCATTTGGTGGCCCGAGGACAGAATCACAGCAACGCTGTGTCCAGAGTTCGTCTTCAGTAAACTCCCCAAGGAGATTCTCCCCCGGCTGGTCGGCCCCTTGGCATGGGGTGATGGGTTGACCAGCGAGACCTACCTCGAGTGGATCCTCACCAAGGCGGGTCGACTCTTCCTCACCCTGGTTGATATCGGCATTCCAGAACGCATCTTCGCCCTGGTAGACGAGTCCCTCGATGACTCGGATCTTCCCATCGCCGCCCACAGCGTCGACCGACTCTCGCTCTCCCCCCACGGCGAGGACTCCCAGCTAGAAGCGAAGTTCTTCCTCGCGCAGTGGCGATTCGTCGTGCGCGGCATCCGGGAAGGCGAACACGTCAAATACACGGAGAACGAGGGCGTCCCCGTCGAGCTCCTGCGGACGGGACCAACCCTCGCCCGCGAAGGCGTCGAGAAGGTTGTCCTCTCTGGCGCAGTGCCGCGAGTGTACTTGCGCACGCAGGTCACCGTCGGGGGCGCCCCGCACTTTTTCGACGAGGAGGAAGTGCTGGAAGAGATTCGCTCCCTCAAGAGACTCTCCCACGAGCACATCTCCTCCATCTACGGGTCTTACTTTGTCGATAACACCGTGTGCATCCTGTTCTCGGGGGCCTACGAACGCACCCTGATGTCCTTCCTCACCGATGTTCCGCAGCCGTTCAAACGCCTGTCCAAACCCCACCGTCGAGCGGTCTTGCTCAACTGGCCCCACTGCCTCGCGAATGCCCTCGCCTGGCTGCATGCCCACAGTCAGGCCCACGGTTCCGTCCGTCCGTCGAATATCTTCGTCGATGCCGATTTCAAGATCTTCCTGGGACAGTTCGAGGCCTTGGATACGCTGCTCTCTCCCGTCAAAGTCGACGACGTGGAATCATACCAGTATGGCGCCCCCGAACGCTGGGTGCGCTCCGCCAGTGTCCACGAGACAGGACCACTAAAATCAGCCCTACCATCCGGAGGCCGCACCGCGCGGAGAAGTTCATCTGGGTCGACGAAATTAAACCTCAGCTTCACAAAACAAACTCATAAGATAGACCCCGACGCAGAGAGCGCACGGCCCGAGTCCACCGTCTCCCAAGGCACCGCCATCCGCATCGGATTCCCAAACTCCCCCTCTCGCCACTCCTTCACGCCGTCTTCATCATCATCCGGCTCAAGCGGGGGAAGCTCCCGCAAGAGCATCATCGCCCCATTCCGACGACCCACCATCTGCGCCCCGTCACAGCCTACCTCACCCGGCTCCCCACGCCGGGCCTCATCAACAAGCCGAACCAACCCAGTCGGCCTACCCAGCACCCACTCCCAAACAGCAGTCGTCAACACCTGGCAGTCGCACCAGACCCACCCCGAAGCGTCAGATATCTTCTCCCTAGGCGCCGTCTTCCTCGACATTTTCACCCACCTCTGCAAGCGCCGCATCTCCACCTTCGTCCACCACCGCGGAGCAAAGAACCGCACCGCCGGCCGCGGCGGCGGCGTCGCTGACTGCTCTTTTCACCTCGACCGTAACCTCGCCCAGGTCACAGCTTGGATCACACTGCTCGACCACGACGCGACGAAAAAACAGAAAGACCCCGTCTTCGCTGCCCTCCCACCCATGCTAGAAATGGTGCGCAGTATGCTGAGCAAGGACCCCACTGCCCGCCCATCCGCCTCCCAAATCGAGCGCCACTTTGCTTGTGTTATCCAGCAACAGCAGCTGGACGGTGCCATCCACTGCGCCTCCGACCTACGCGAGAATGGCCGGCCGCACTGGGCCGTCCGCCACAAACAGAAGACCGGACTTCCTCCCTCGTCCACTTCAACTTCGCGTCCGACGTCGCCCAACTCCGATAGTCCCATGACGCCGCCGCTGACTCCCGCTAGCCTCGTGGGTCTGTCTCCATCTCCAGACACGTCGCAGTTTCGTTTCACACCGGAAGATTATGCGTATAGCAGTGGTGCGACGAGCGAGTATGCGACAGCGAGCGGTGTTTGGTAGTCATGCAGGATAGTGAGGGTTGTTCATTCAATCCTCCTCTGCCTTTTTCATTTGTCTCTATGGTTGCTTGATTCCAAGTTAGCGTGATATCTTCTAGTATTTCGGATTCCGCCCATGCTTTTGTCTGTTTGATACCCTGGTTATCCTTGTCTTTTCTTGATTTGTTGTTCCTTTATTGTGCTTGCTTGGTATGTGTATCACGAACGTGGTACGATTTTCTCATGTTGATTGGAATGATGGAATTCTTTTTTGGTTTAGATAGTAGATGAACATGTTGTCAGGTCAGTTCACCGCAGACTACAAAGTAACCAAATGATATGTACCTAGTATCTTCTATTGATCACAGGATCCAGATAGCTAGTACTAATTTATAATGATAGACAACCAACCCAACCAACATAGTGGCAGAAATGGAAATAGAAGCCACTGCAAACATTACACATCAGCAATACATTCATAGACTAACAATCGTGGTCCATTTCTTCTAGAGAGCAAGAAAAATATAGATAAAAAGGGCATAAAAAACTATACAAAAGCAACAATCATCTACAACCACAAAGCCAACCCTCCAACAGCCGAGCAAACCAACACCGCCAGGCCCATCGCCCCATCAAACGGCCGCGTAGCAAGGCTTCCAGCACCGTTGCTCAGCTGATAATCCGTCGATGAGGGATCGGACGACGAAGGTCCATGACTGGTGGAAGCCCCATCACCATTACCATCACCATCACCATCACTACCGGAGGACGAGGACGGGGAGCGTCCAGAACTCTCATCATCCTTGTCGCTCTCCTCCTTACCCTGACTGTGGCCATGACCAGTCGGGAGACTCGTCTCCGCCGGACGATGGAACTCGTCACCCAGCGTAGGCAGCGGCTTGTCGGCGTCGACGAGCCAGCCGCCCGTGGGAGCCGGACAGGCTGGAGGCTTGATCTGGCCGGTGGTCTTCACGTAGTCATCGAAGGGGACGCCCTTAGGGCTAAGCGTCGCCCACTGACCCTTGAGGTTATCAAAGTCCGGCTGGATGGGGGTAGGCTTGCCGCTGCGGACGAAGCCGTCCTGGACGTTCGTCTTGGTAGCCGGGGCGTTGGGCTCCTCGGGGCCGTAGCTGATGAGCCCGTAGTCGTTCGTCTCCTGGATCCATTCGTACACGATAGAGCCAGACCAGGTATCGACCATGGGTTTGGAGAAGATAGCGTGTTGGTCAGTGAAGAGGCGCGGGCGCGCGACGTTGCAGCCCGTCTCGGAGAAGAAGATCGGGACCGGGTAGTCCTTGGCTTGCGCTTGGAGGTTGACGTAGCCCGAGGTTTTGTAGTTCGCGTCGCCGCACCACTCGTAGGCGTTGAGCGCGAAGAAGTCGACCCGCTCGGCGGCGTCGTCGCGGCACGAGAGGTAGTTCTGGAGCATGGGGCGCAGCTCGGCGATGTCTGCTGCCGAGTAGCCGATTGGGATGTTGCGGTAGTGTTTCTTGTTGCGGTAGGATTTCATGTCGCGGACTGCGGCGAGGAGGTATGGTGCTGCTGGGGAGCCTTCCTTCGTGGTCAGGATCTCATTGCCGACGAAGAAGCCGGCTAGGTTGTCGTATTGGTGGAAGGCGTCCATGACGGCTTTGAAGGCGTTGGATTGCTCTTCTGTCCATTTGGGGGTGGTCTGTGATGTTTCGGATTAGTGATGAGATATCGGGGCAGAGAGGGTTGAAGGGGCTGACCTGGTCGATGGCTGTGTCGAACGTGTCCAGGTCCAGGAAGAGGTAGATGCCCTTGTCGGCGAATGCCTTCATGCATCCGTCGTGGTTGGCTTTTGGATCCACGTGGTAGACGCGAATCGAGTTGGCGCCCAGCTCGCCCATGAGAGCGGCATCGCGCTTGCACTGCGCGACATCGATCAGAGGGTCTTCGGGGATGAGCTGGTACGCGATGCCTTTCAGGAAGTACTGCGTTCCGTCTTCGTAGAAGAACTTGGATCCGACCGCTGAGATGGTCTGCACGGCGTTGGCCGTTAGGGAGAAGCTCCCTAGCAAGAGGGAGATGGTCGACCACGAGAGAGAAGGCATGGTGAGGGTTGGCGAGTCGAGGTCTGATGCAATTACACTAGATCAGAACGCAACTAGAAGAGAGCCGATGTTCAAGGCTACGGCGAGAGGAGACGATGTGTGAGAAAACAATTCCATTGGAAACCAGCAGCTTTTAAATATCCCAGATATCCCAGCAGATCACTCCACGAACACCCCTCTATCCCAGCCATACCAGATGCTGTACTCTCCTTGGGAGCATGCATGCCAGTCTCGTCCCTGAAGGAGAATGACGTCGATAGCAATTCACACGCAGCAATTACTCCCACACCACTGACTCCAGGGGGGCAGATATGTGGGTATCTTGAGTACCTGTGTTTGATCGACTCCCAGTTACCTGGATATGCCGATGGGATGGAATGCAGTATGCGCCGCAGGGGAAGCAGGGATACTTGGACGCGACCTATTCCGCGACCGCGGAGCATGCTCAGTTGGATAAGGATGAGATCAGGAATCCCCCGAGGGCGTAGGGTTTGTATTTCCTGCTTCCACTGGAACTTCGGACATTTGCGACCCCCAGATCCTGCCACTGTGTGGCTTGGGAGGCTTGCGATGAAGTCCCTCCTTCCTCTGTCAACCACCGTCTGCGATATCACGTGCAATATAAATTACTCAGCAAGGAGCTATCGGCGCTGGATAAAGACATTAGTAATAGTACCTCCTGATTTCTGAATTATGCGTGGATTCAACTCGGTTGCGGGAAGATCCAGCGGTTTTTGCCGACAGATCCAACTCCGTCCGGACGACCGACTGATCTCCTCTTCAATTTCGACCTGACACTTCCTAAACACGCCTTATCAAAGCTCTAACAACCTTCCAAATCAAGGTGGAGGAACTTGCCCGCCCGATAGGGCCTCGACACGTTTCGTCCCTACTAAAAAGGGGGCCCCTCATTGGACGGGGGCATGGAATAATCAGGGAAACGGAGAAGAATTTCTTCTTTCATGCGTCGACCCAACCTTGGCAGTGCGATCGAGACCCTGGCAGGCCCCACAATGTGATAATTGCGATCATCTCGGTGATGTTGTCATGGTATCATCTAAAAAACTCTGCAACTCCTGTTTGGGCTGGTGGTCCGGAGGGGTCCGAAGTGGGATTTAAGTTCGGATGACCTCCCACAGTTCTTTCCCCCCCCTTTTGGACCAAAATAACTTGATTGTGACAATTGAACCAAGGGGGTGGAGTTTATTGAAAGAATAGAAAGGGGAGAAAAGACACCCAAAGAGGGAGAGAGGGTGGAGGAGGAGATTGGGTTAATTAATTGAAGTGGGGATGGGGCGTCAGATAGACTGCGGACTAGACCTTCACCCTAAGAAGCGTTAATATTAGAAAACGCACCAGTCAATCAGAGGGAAGAAACCAGTTTAATTATGAGGGAAGAGATTACTGTGCTGGGAGCTAAGATGAAATGATCGTCATGGGCTTGCGTGGATGACGGGGCCACACCGGACTTGGCCCCTGCCCGCATTCGATTGCACCTTTGGCTGCGTTCATCGCCTCAGGCAGGTCGCCCACATCCTTTATATAGTTATCTAATGATCCCCACCCTCCTGTCCCCCCGATCTTCTCCCCCGTTGCGACTTCCTCCAGTCTCTCGATTAGAGCAGGACACTGGTCAGGTGTGGCTGTTCTTTTTCTCGCGTTTCTTGTATCCAGAAGCTTCCCGGTTTTCTTGTCAGTTTTTTCGCCCTTGCCTGGACCATGCGATCCGTGGTTCGTCCACCTCCAATTGTCGCAGTATCTGGAAAGCTTCTCCGTCTTGCTCCGTACCGCAGGGGCTTTATTGGTTGGCATTAGTTGCCATTACCATCTTCGACGTCATCTTCCAGAATAGTTGGATTGTTATTCAAACCGACAGGTTCGCTGTCGGTCGCGATTATCCCCCCTGTCACGAATAGGTTTTCCGACGACAGCCAACGGCTCGTATCCATCCATAATGGCGAACACCACTATTACATCGCCGTTTCGCCTCTCGTATAGAGACACGGACAGGTTGGAGCGCAATGAGGCTTTCGCAGCGATGCGGGAGCACCTGAGGCGCCAGGAATTGGGCATGCAAGCTCCCAGGTACGTGTGGCGAGATAGCTAGGTTCAGGTTCGAATTTTCGCTAACAGTCCATTGTCGCAGCTTTTGCTCGTTCCACCGCCAGTCTTGCTCGAACCATGCGCAAGAGACGTTCCGCTTGCATCGCGATATCATCCACACGCTGTTACTACCGTTAGTCCTCCTGCACCACCAGGCGTCGCGGACGGCGGCCAGCGTGCTGCCGGATGACAAGGGTCTGGAATCGGAACGGGCGTTTCGAGGGGAGGCCCGCAGCGCCTATGCGTGGCTGCATTGCGTGCTCACCGAAGAGCACGATTCGTATCTGACCGAACGGTGTCCCGCCTGCATTGTGCTGCACGTGCTGAATTCCGAACCGACTATCCGTTTCGTTGCAGTAGCGTGTCTACTAGCCGACCACTTGCAGGGACTCGACATGCTCAACTCCAAGCGACGGCTGCCGAGCTTCGACTTTTGGTTCGAGGCGCTCGAAACGGCGGTCCGCGAAGACCCGTTCTGGGGTGACGACTTCTGGCCCGATATCGAGTACCGCGCCTGCACGCTGACCGATGGTGTCAAGCAACTGGTGTTACAGTGTCTGGAGCTCCGGGCGGTTCTAGACCGGCAGACTCTCCAGTCGCAGGCGTCGTACAAAGCCAACTCGCACTTGCGACGTGACGCATCACGCCAGCAGGCCCACCCAATAGCGGTGAAGACCTCCCGGATGACCGGCGAGGAGCAGAAGTGGCTGGGCAAGGCCGCGGCCAGTCGGTGCTTGCAGTCGTATCGGAACGATCGTACTCAGCGATTCCACACCCGTCGGCACGGCGACCCCCGCAGCAGATCGGTGACCTCCTGAATCAGTGTGTAGTCTGCGTTTCACCGTAAACCAGATTGTATTGTTCCACGGTTGCGATCCCTCAATGTTTGGGACTCGTTTCGCATGTCAGCATTTCGCATGCCAACGAAACTCGAGGGAGGAAAAGATGACTCGTACGGTGTAAAGATACCGATCGGAGAACCCGATGTCAGATCGGGCGCTATTCCTCAAACATGACAGAGCCTCGGCTGTCCACACCAGACAGGACACCATATGGTCATCCATGCTTGGCGTGACTCATAGGTCCAATATGTCGCCATATAGACCGGCAGCAATCCTATTCCTCGAGAAACTCCCCACTGTGACATCACTTGGATATCTACCTCGAGGTCGAGACTACCACGAACCACATGGAATCCACAACCACTTCCCCTCAAGGTTGCATGACGACTTCATCGTCCAAACAATGCTACGCAACCCCCTCTCCCTTCGAGGAAAAGATTGGCTACTACCGAGCCGTCCGACATGGCCTCCAGATCTTCGTATCGGGGACCACCGCCGTCGACCCCACGTCCAGCCGCGCAGCCCCGCAGGTACTTTACCCAGGTGACGCAGGCCAGCAAGCTCGCGTGGCACTCGACGAATGCATCCGGGCCGTGCAAGCACTAGGCGGGCAGGGGGCAGAGAGCGTGGTGCGGGTGAGGATGTTTGTCAGCCACCCTGACGACTGCATGGCGGTCGGGGAAGCCTTCTCGGAACTGCTGGGCCGTGCCAGCCGGCCAGGGATAGGCGCGGCTGCCACGATGTTGGTGGTGCGGGACGGATTCGTGGACGACCGTATGTTAGTAGAGATTGAAATGGATGCAGTGGTTGAGGCAGGCTAGCTAGTGCTTGTGCGACCCCGTGTGTGTGTGTGTGTGTGTGTGTCCTCAGGATGCATTAGTGTCTTTTTTTTTGGGCCGTCTGTCTTTTGGTCGGGAGATGGGAATGGCCACGAATCATGGCGTGCATTCTAGTATTTAATACTACCACGAATGGAAGTACTAAAATCGACCTGATCTCCATCCGAATCACCAAACCATTTGTAGAACGGCGATCCCAACACCAGATCTATCCAGAACTATAGTAGCATCAGCACTATACTAGTACTCGGCAGCACTGAAATTGCCCGTCCACCGAGGCAAATAAACAATAAATAAATAAACAAAACAAAATGAACTAAAAATAAATGAATTCCAATCGAATCCAGTACACATACACGTATAAGTAACCACCTGAAACGCCCAACACGACCAACCAGTGGCCAGTTCTTCCGATCCCATCCATCATCGGAGGACGAGGGCAACGACAACGGACTGCTCCCTTGTCTACATGAGACAAACAACAGTGGAGACACGGGACGTGGGCCATTCATCAATCACAAGCATGTAGGTGTTTTATTGGTGGGATGGAAGCCAGTGATTCCCAGAAGATCGAAATAGGTACTATGCAGGAAACATGGGCGGTATTACATTGAGTTTGTGACTGGATTGATTCCAGTCATCTTCTCCTCAGTTGTTGATTGTTTTTGCTGTGTTATTGACCCAGTTAATCTTTATCAGACTCCAACTAGACTTTCTGCTACCTACCTGAGGTATCTAGTAGACCTGCCTCGTACTCCATACTACTTAACCAACTAATTAATATTGATTGTGTTGACGTTGCCCGTACTAATCAATATATATATATTCATACAATATTCAAATCGATATATATAAAGACTCCAACGACTCCAACCCCCATCGGCATACCTACTAAATTAATTAACGAATATCTTATCCATAACGAAGACCAGCAAGGGAGATGGAGATGGTGGGTTGTCAAGTGAGACACGGGCTTCCGTGGATTGCCCTGTTTGAGATCCCGGTCTAAGGATGGCTTTTCAGGCTGTCAGGCTGTCAGGCTGCTCCTCTGGGTAACGCACAACTCTCCGAGCCGAGGTATTTTACTTCTTGATTTTTGATTATTTTTCTGTCTGTCTACCGTGGAAGTGGATGGTTGGGATTTCTCTTGCTCACTTACTGATTACTTTGATCCTTTCATTCTATAGTTTGGTTTGGTTTCTAGTGTAGTGTACTAGGTTGGTGGATATGTTTATTATTGTTAGACTCGCTGGCGTGTATAGTGCAACATACCCTACTACTCCTTACACTCCTACTACAATAGGCACATACCTATATACAACAGGAATCAGCCAATATCAAGGTTCACCCACTAGCAGACAGCTCCCCATCGACTAACCGGACCAAACACCAATAAACAACCATGCAATCCTCACTAGTCCCCTTGTTGTGCTCACGAGAAGCTAGAACCAGTGGTCAATGACGACGATCCTCCGGAGGACAGTCAAGAGACAGCTGCACCAGGCGAGGGCAAGGGCAAAGGGATGATGCGCCCGGCGGAGCACCGCTCAAAGTACCCGTACTAATGGACGTGTCAGACTCAGTCCTGGTCTACGACATGCATGCATCGTGCCCGAATAGGAGGCCGGTTGATTAGTGGGATTGTTTCTTGAGGGGAGGACGCATTGGAGAGCGGTGGTGATCTTGGACGGTTGGGGAAGGGATGGGGAGAGTCGGGTAATTGTCTCTTTCTTTCTTTCTTCCTTTCCACTCGATTCTATTCTATTCCTAGTGCGGTAGTACTTTGGGAGTAGATACGGACTATCTGACAATAGACGAGGCTGGCCGGGCGGCCAGAGGGCAAACTCGGATGGAAGTCCGTGACAGGTGCTGTGGTTCTGGGTCTAGGGCTCATGCCTGTGCCCAGACCAGACTGGAGGAAATGGAAACAGCCGGATCGGCGATGGGTCGAGATCATGTTGTCTATTTCTCTCTAGTTCTCAACTCTCAGGGAATTTTACCATTGAAAGTCTTTCTACCCAAGATAGAGAGAGATAGCAAATATAAGTAAGAAAAGAATAACCCTGACATCCTCGTCACCAAAAGTCCCAGGAAATTGGTGTCTTACCTCCTCCCCAGGTAGTAGTGAAAAAAAGAGATCATCGGCAGCACGGAACCAACAAGGGTCTAGGCGCCAAATCCTCCCGGAAGCGGCAATGGATTCGATCGGGCGATTGGAAAAAAGACTTGCAAGTTGCCCCTCAGGCCGAGAATTCCATGACTCGTTGATGTCAAGACATTCATAATTCCTTTATTTATTTGATTGAAATGATTTAATTACATATTAATTATCACCACATTGTAATTATTTTTTCTGTTTGATTTTATCTTTTTCGTGATTATTTTGTCTGGTTCCATACTCTCATCCATCGCGGAAGAATGTCCGAAGTCATCCGCCGGAGTTATCTGTAGATACTGTATCTATACTTTTCCAATGAAGTTGTCAAAGCTGTCAAAGTCTACTCCGTACTTCAATAAAGTGTTTATGATCACCGTCTAAACCAACTTAATGACTCGACTCGATACTAGATTGTCCCGACGTACGGACAGTTCTTGTAGTGAGGTCAAAGCTCAATTACTCCAAAGAGGATCGGGCTGAAACCAATGTGCACTATTTGCACTATGGATTCCATGGATCCTTCGTTTCCTGACTCATCGATTCTCTCTCCTCTCTTGATTGGATCTGGGATTGTTTTCCGGCATTCATCACGCCCTGACCTGGGATCTGGATTCGGCTTTGTCCTCAGGACCGAGTAGCGTTGTGATCTATTTAAATTGTAAAGCAATGGCTAGCTGTACGACAGACCGTCGTTTATCAGTCCATCTCCCGAAACAAAGATATCCGTTGTTGTGTTGTTGTTGTGTTGTGCTAGCTGATCAAGCTAAGCCTGCACCGGCCGCCGATCAGTAATACGAGATCCAATGTGATTGTATGATTGTAATGATGACCGGAGAGAGGAGGTCAGGGAGAGAAACGCTGGATGAGAATAATTGTCAATAATTATTTTCCCCCCCCTCCTCCTCCGATAATTCACCCCCAATTCTGGACTCTACTTTGGACTCGGCTCTGGTCCCAAGAAAGCCGTTCATTAATCCTAGACCTCCGAGATTGGCCCTCAATTTCGTGAACCCTCCCCAGTGCCTCCGTCTCCCAAGGGTCTTTCTCGATCCCAGTCCACACCGAATCCACTTTTTTTTACCCAGTGACTCCAGTGACTCCAGTCAGACGAGGGAGTGGGTCCAACCCTCAGTCGGGGAGGCAAAAAAGGAAAAAATAAAAAGAAGATCCGTGTAAGACCCGTTACCGTTTTTTATTTTTATTTTTATTTTTATTTTTCGCCCCGATTAGCCAGGATAGGGGGGTCTAGACAGGTCCAAGGCGTCCGCGCTAGTGGCTTTTTGCCTTGTTTCTTTGCTGGATGATTTGTTTCTCTCGGATTGTGATGGATGGGCTATGGAAGAATAATGAGAGAAACTTTGTAATAGATATTCAGTAAGAGATCTCAAATAAACAATGAGTATCATGTTATCTATTTTTCTCTCCAAGAGGGAGGGAAAAGTAATGGAAAACAGAAGATAAAAAAGAAGATAAATTACCCCAACAGGTCGAATACCATACCATACGGAACCACAGAATGGACCGTCCTCGTGTCCTGGTCATGGATTCCTCAATCAAGCCCAGACCGCCCGGTCTAGAACGAGCACTTTTCCTGCTGTTCTCCTTAAGTCCTGCCTTGACCATGGCGGGGACTCTTAATTTTTCGGGCTGTCACTCTCTCTACCTGTCTAGCCCTTGGATCAATTTCCCAGGCGTCATTCACATTATCATTCACCATCTTTTTTTCCTTCCCTACCCTTCCATCCATTCTCTCTGTCCTTCAATCTCTCTCTTCCCCACTGCGTCATTCATCATCAACCCACCCTTCTACTCCCCCCTCCCGACTCTCTGTTCCCTTCTCTTCCTCTTTATTCAGGCCTCTGCCACCTCTTCCACCATCAACCGCCCCGAACGCTCTCTCTCTCTCTCTCACTAACCACTCGTGTCCATCTATCAACCACGATCGCCCCTGCTACTACGACTAGAGTTTTCGGTGTACCACCCTAGCACTCTTCACCACACCCATCTCACCTTCCGCTTGATATTCCTGGCAACCTAGTAGCCCAGTATATCAAGTCCTTTATCTTATATACCGGTAGCTGGCGTTGGATCGACCGTTTTCCACCACCGCCTTCCACCGGTACCCGTCTTCCTAACGCAGACTGGATGAATCAGTCACAGTGCCATGGACCATATCCTCATACCTCTATGGTGCGAGACAGCCCGATCATGCGATCACCATCATCTTCTGCATCAACGTCTACCTACTCGCCCGGAGAATTCCACGGTGTCATCACCTCTTTCGACAAACAGGACCCTACTCGCCTAAGCCCCGTTTCCCCGTCACAGAAATCCTCACCACTCTCTCCCAACGTTGGTTCCAGCCGACTCAAGCGTCGTGCCTCCCAAGGCTCCATTCTGACCAAGCCCTCCCCGGTCTCTCGTTTCCTCTCCCGCAGCAACGCATCCCTCCATATTCAATCCTTTGAACACCTGGGCCTCGCCTCGAAATCCGGCCGGACCGAATCGCGCCCACAGTCCGCCGAGTCTAATCTTCGACTGTCCACCCCGCCCACCGCTTCGAGTTCGCTGGCGGCTCAAGCATTCCAGTCGACCCCTGCAGAGTCGGAGAAGAGCGATTATCTCTCAAGTCTGCCCCCGACTCCCCCGGAAGACGATCACGTGGCCTGGAACCCGCGGTCCGGGATGTTACTATTCGAGCGTCACATGAACCAGGACCCTGGGCTGATGCCCATGGATGAAGGTCCCAACTTGAATTCCCAGTCGAGAGGGGCATCGGGCGGTCTGACGAGCCCGACGGACCAGCTCTCCAACGTGACGCCCTCCAGCTCCAGCTCCGGTGGCAGCCCGGGCTCGTCCGGCGACATGGACTATGACCAGAATTCCTGGTTGGAAAACAGTATCGACGCCACTGGTAAGCCACCCATCGCCTAACCCGACGGGAATCCTCAAAACTAACCCATTCTACCAGTATCGTCGATTCCATTTTCCAATGCTCCTGGGGAGTCGGTCAGGATCGTCTCCCAGATGCTTCCGTACCCCCACTGCCCGGAGAAAAACGCATCCATCGTGACTCACGACAACGTCTTTTGCTCCCTCGTCCAGACCGTCCAGAATCGACTCCAGCATGGACAGTCGCCATACATCAACGTCACCCACGCAGTCCCCGAACAATTCAGCCTCTCCAACTTGCCGCACTCCCCCCCGCACTCTCCGCAGTCGTTCCCTCAGAACGACTACTTTAACTCCACCGTCTTCTCGAACGCCGCCGTGGTCTCCGCCTACCATGACTTCCGCGGTTTAATCCAGACTCGCGCCCCACACTTTCCCGTACCGATTGTCCCTCCTTCCACCGTCCACGTCTCGATCCTGGAACGTTATCTTCCCCCGTCCTCGGCTCAAGAATACAAAGACCTCTTTTTACCCCACCGCCCCTCTTTCCTTGTTGACCGACTCTCCGAGCTGTCTCGGGAGGATGGGTCGATGCTGTTCATCTACCCCACCAAACGGGGTGGGTCGACGTTCAAATCGCAGTACCTGGGACCGATCCTGGACCCGTTACTCCGCCAGCTGGTGGTGGTGAACGAGATGTCGGCGGACATCGGGCGCTACCTGGGCAAGCTGTCTTCGGTCAGCCACCTGGAAGATTTTGACACCATGAAGGAAAATCTGTCGCAGCTCTGCGAGGCGCTGAGCTCGTCGTCCTCCCGGTTCAGCGTCGTCGATGCCCGCAAGGGCAGTGTCCATCCCGACCGCAACACGTGGACGGAGTGGTACATCCACCAGGAAAAAGCTCGGATGAAAGAAGTCCTGAGCGTGTACTGGCAGAATGGCCGTCGCCTCCCGGCCAGCAAGATGTCGAACGTGTCTTCCAACTATCTCCTAGAGCACAAGGAAGTCACGTCCGCCATGCTGTTGGGGGAGATCCTCGATGGCATCCGGCGGCGGCCGTATGGCGAAGAGGGGCCGCCGGATGGGATTGAATTGGGCGTCTTCGTGATCCGTCGGTCCCATTGAGGTCGGAAGAATTGTACATCCTGCAGAGCAGTGTACCGTTCGCCGTCTCTTACCTTCTCCTATCATCTTTCATTTCCTTTGTCTTGGATACATTTGAAAGGGTCGGACGGTGTCTATTTTGGTCGAGTTGTATAAAATCCTTGGAATGGCGGGGAGTCTCGGAGCATTTTCTGTTTAGTGCATTGATGATCGGATCTAAATACCCAGCGAGTTTTGTTTTGCTGCTACGAGTGTGGCCGGGTCCGCATGGATGATGAGATGATGGAAGTACACGACGTGTCCATGTTCAATATATTCTACTACAGCAACATATAGGCTGTAGCATATTATTATTCTTTATTTTTTTTTACTAGAGCAAATACTGGATGATGTTGTAGCAGCATCTCTAGCCATATACTGCAACATGCCTGTTCTGGAATTAATAAACTCAAGTGCAGATTGATAGAGTAGACGAAATGATTATAAGCCACAGTAGCTATTGACAAGGTATTGAGGTGGGGTATATTATAGGTGTAAGCATGAAGCAATCTCATGGATGAAGTACTGTGGTTGATCGGATATCCTGATCGGGTTAACTGAACGGAGCATCTTCCAGAGAAAGGAATGTTTGCACGGTTTGCAGGCGGGCATTATCTCCACTCTCCCGGGCGGTCAGAAGAAGGCCCAGAGACTCAATCACAGATCGATTATGCTCTCTCTCTCTCTCTCTCTCTCTCTCTCTTCTCATCACTTCTCTTTCAATCCTCTCTTAGTTGATGTCTCTTTTTAAACTTATGTATACTCGTTTCCCAGAACTGCATCCCCGCACCGCTGCTCTCTGCAGCGCATAGTCTTCATCCTCTATTGTCAAACCTCACCACTTCTTCATCTCATCCGCCAAATCCTTCCCATCCCCCAAACCATGGCCTACTCGCCAGCCCCGACCTCCCCAGCAGGCCCAGGCTCAGCCATGGGCAACAACAGTCTCCAAAGTCGCGGACGATCGACGAGCCCTCCAACAAGCGTCCCCCTCACAAAGCGGGACAAGCGCCGCAGCGCCCTCCAAGAGCGCTTGCACGATCTGACCGTGTCCTTCAGCCAGAACCGAGACGCCCAGTTCCGCCAGCAGCTCCACGCCCTCCAATGCGACATGACCCTCATCAATAATGCCGATCCCTACCACCCCGGTCCCTTGCCGGATTCGGCGGACGAGATCGCGACTTTGATCGAGAGTACCGTCGGTGGGGGCAAGTTTGCCAAGGAGATGGCGAGTCTGGCGGGCATGTGGTACTCGCGCTTTGTGCAGGAGGTTAATCAGGTTAAGACTGATACTGATGCGGATTTGGCGATGCTTATGGTGAGTTTTCTCTCTCGCTCTCCACCTCCTTTTCCTCGTTCTTCTTTTTTTCCCTTCCCCCGTATTTATACCCAGTATCAAAGACTAACAGTCATAGCACCGTCACAACAATAATCTAGAGCGTTTCCAACGAGACTACGCCTTTCGAGCCCATTTCGCCGAAGAAGAATATAAGCAACTCTCCTCCACCCTTCGCGAGCGCCTCGTGCAGACGATTTCCGGAAAACGGGCCCGTTTGATGCGCGAGAAGGAGCAGCTGGATATCGCCGACACCAACGCCCTCCTCCTTCACCCCAACCAGTTCAGCATCACCAACCCGGCCAGCCCGGGCGGCATCCACGGCAACCGGAAGACCCGACACACTCGCCACCGGGTCGATCTTGACGAGCTGGGTAATGGCATCATGTCGGAAACGTTCAACAAGCGCAAGCGCAAGGCTCCGGAGGAAGACGTCGGCTCGCCGGTCCGGGACGGAGGCCTCGCGAATCCCGCCGAGCGCGCCAAGGCCCAGATCGCCCAGCAGCAGCAGGCGCCCTCTTACTCCATCCAGTCTCTGTTCACGGAGAAAGAGCTCAGCGCGCACGCCAATCAAGCCCACGTCGCGACGGTCCATTTCTTCTCCACGTCGAAGCGTGCCGACCAGCCCTCGGGCGCAGCCACCAACGGGAACAACACCGACGAGGATGGCTCTGGCATGGGCGATGGGACGGGGGCGGAGGACAACGGCACTCCAGCCACCGACATGGCGCGCACCGCCAGCCACAACTACCACGCCACCCGGTCGACGCGGACGCACGGCAACCACGCGCTCAACGCGCTGGCAGAGCTGTCCGATAAGCCCGCCGTCCGTCCCAGCCTGCCGTACAACATCCTGGCCAACTACCACGCGCGGTCGAGCAACAGCGGCGCGCCGACGCCTCCATCGCTGATGAACGAGGAGGTCGACGACGACTGGGCGCGCATGGACCGACTGCAAGGGAAGCCCGCCAGCTACGTGGACAAGAGTCTCTGCAAGCTCTTGGTCGATCCGGTACCGGCCGAGGCCAATGGTGTGCCGCAGAACCCGCAGCGGTTCAACCTGTTGCACCCTGATTTCCCGACCGAGATGGGCATCCACCTATTTCCGCTCAAGGAGCCGGAGCGTCACGAGCGTGCCAAGAAGACCCGAACGTAGCATTATCTATCTACCTCTTCTCTCCGGCGTTTTAAGGGGCATGGAATGATGCACTTGGGTAGCGGGCGATACAATTAATACCTTGGCGTTAGTTCCATAATTACTTTATTTTTTTCTCTTTCCATTTATCTTTATTCTTTTTGTTTCATTGGTGTTTATGTGCTTGTTTGTCGGGGATGGGTACGTTGCAGATGGACTGCAATGTTGACCATCGGTGTATGGCTTTATTGTTTACAGTGTATATGAGCAATAACTATTTATTATCTATTAAGGTCGGCTAGCCATCGCGAATATATATGTATCACTGTATTACCTACTTGAACCACTTATTCCTTGTAATCAAAGATATTGTAGTTATCTTGAATGGAGTATACATTCAATGAAGTGTATATCAACAAAGTATAACATATCAAGAGAGAGAGAGAGTTGCATTATCCTTGAGGCAGCCCGCCTGACAAGACCTCAGAATTTGCCTAGAACAGCTAGCGTATTTCTGTACCGATATGTTACCAGAAGCAGATAAATGGTTAACCCGATCAAGGGAGGAACCTCCGATTATGTGGCCATGTCGGTATTTGATAGTTAGCACAGCACTCATACTCTGGGCTACATTTCTCATGTAATTAGGCTAATCCCTCTGTCCATTCCCCCGAGCAGACCTTTGAGTACAGACTTATCCCTGAGAATCCATCCTAATCCTCTAATAAATACGGGAACTCCATTCTCTATCTTTTAATAAGTCATAATTCTGTTATCATCTTCGATCTGCCTCTATTAGAGTGATCATGAGTTAGCTAAAATATCATCCCCTGTCTTCTCTGGGCACTGCTTCGCGGACCAGACTGGATAATAATAAAACTAATAACTCTAGAGACTGCTCAGACACTGAGTCCATATACAGCAACAAATGCACGTCTAATCATGGATATGGCACGGATAATACTCTTGCCATTACTCGGGTGTTGGAACAGCATGGTATCCCTTGCTGTCTGGTTGGTATAGCTGCCCTCGTTTTCTACAGCGCTGGCAGAGTTCGTGATATAAGTTGCTCAAGAGCTGTATCTCCTTCTACCTTTTTAAAGCAAAGATTAATAGTATCTGTCATGTCATAGGACTGGGAGATTTGCATTCTAACGGAGCTCGTGGGCCAGGCAGCAGAGCTACTACAATCAGAACCATATGTAACGCAGTATATGCTAGTCAAACCGTGGCCCTATTACAGTCCCTGTTCTCTTATCCCCACATACTACCAGTTCAAAAGCAGAGGGATTAATCATTACTTCTTCCTTGTTCCTTTAATCGACGTGCATATTAACTGTGACCCTTCTAGCTTCACACTCAGTCCCAGAGGGTTACCATATCCCAAGCTGGATGTCTTCATTCAAAGCTGTTTAGACACCTGTGACATGCTCCAGCTTTGTGATGTTATAGACGGTACAGATGTTTCAGAAGAATGGGGCGAGAACAACCTTGACCTTGAGGGTACTAATAATGTAGAATAAGCTAAAGAAAAGAATAAGAGAGAAGTGAAGTTTGGCGGAGAGTAGGCCCATTCTCTGTTTACTTGGGAAGGACAAAAAAACAAACAGGAGATATGACTGTTATTGGTGCGCACCAAGGAAGACAGGTTAGATTAGACAAAACCCAAGGATGTCTTTATAGCTTAATACTATATTATAGGCGCGCCGGATCCCTGGACAGAGCTATCTGACATGTCTTAATAGTCTCTAACAGCAGTCTGTTATTCAATAACTCTATCTAAACTTGAGAGGAGTTGTGGGGTTTTCGTGGAATGTCTCGGGAGTTTATACTAGAGGGTTGCCACTGGGAACCTCAATTTACTAACTCTATGAAAAGGCATATAACTAGTACTATTTGCTCGGCATACATGCCCTGCATCTTTATTACTCAGGCTCTCTTGGATCAAGATCACAACATGCAACAGGTGTCAGATGTCCGAGTTATAAGCATTCATCCGTCTATAATATAAGATAGAGGCTATACAGCATTACAAAGAAAGCATCTTCTTTACTTCTTCACACCTTGTTTTGCTCTCTTCACCTGAGCCATAGACCTGATAGAAACTTTCCCATATATTCCTATCTAGTGTTGACTCCACTTTGTTATCTTACTATCATATGTAGTCAAGAGGAAAACAAGATCGAGAAAGTCCGAGTCCTTTCTTCTTAAGAACCACGCAGTAAGCTTGGTCTTAACTTACTATATAATATAAATAACTTTCACTCGGCTCCCTTGTGGTGTTTTGAATAATAGAGGAATTGATTCACAAGATTCTAACTCACTAAGGTTCGGGGTTCCTATCACACCTATCAAGACATTAATAAGTGTATGCGCGCCGCTTGAGTCATTGGAAGGATATTTAGTTCTTGGGCAGTGAATGTAGTAAAGGGACGGGGTTCTATGTAGAACAACAGTAATGATTTATTTATCAAGGGATTTGCTAGGTATTTATGCTAATCAAGTTGTCTACCCGATACTGGCTGCGGCGCAGGACCTTGACACACGGCGCCTAGGGTAGGGTGATGATTTGCTTATCCACTATGCTTGGAGCATGTTGGAACCTCAGACCAGAGTGATAATTTGCGCACTGTTGTCGTCATATTTGGAATTAAAAGACAAGCTGAAATCTAGGTGCGGAGTTGGGCGAATAGGCTCTTGGCGTACTTTATATCTATTATAATATTTAATATCTTTATTGACCTACTAAAACGGACCAAATGAACCAAAAACATAAAATATAAGAAAAGAAAAAAAAAATTAAAACAAAACTATCCCAAAACCAAAGCCCTAACCTCAATACTCTCCCTCGGCTTCGCGCCCTCCACCGTCCTCGGATCCCAAAACGCAGTATGCGGCACCCTCTTTCCCACCCCGTCCCCCTCACTATCAGAGCACTGCAGCAGCAGCCTCTCGTGGTCCTCCATGCCGGAGAGATACATCCACCGCTGGTTGGGGTTGAATTTCACTTGGAGCGTTTCGCCCGTGCGGTGCGGGTAGCGGTGTTCGACTGCTACCAAGTCACCCTCTCCCCCTTCATCTGCCGGTCCTACCTCTGGACCGGCAGATGAGGAGGAGGAGGAAGTATCAAAAACACTGCCCGCATCCGCAAACGCCAACGGCGCACTCTCCACCGGCCCATTAAGCGGCCTCCAAACATTCACAATCCGATACCTCATCCCGCCTTGCACAATCCGCTCCGCCTCCTCCTTATCCTCAACATGCAGGCGCACCCGCTCGGCAGCCGCCTTGGCCGTTTGATCGACGTGCGCGCGCTGCACGGGCTTTCGCGCAGCCCCGTCTTTGTCGCGCCGGATGGTGTGGTCGAAGATTATGACCTTTTGGGCTCCCGGGATGTGGGACAGGAGGAGGGACGAGACTTCTGGGTAGTAGGTTTTTTGGACCTCCGCGTCGGAGGAGAAGGTGCTGTAGGTTGTGGATGTGGGGATGTGGCGGTGGATCTGGAAGGCGTGGGTTTGGAGGGTGTATTTTTTGAGCTCTCCCTGTTCTTCTTCGCCTTGGGGCTGGTGCTGATGAGAGGGGCGAATGTCGGTTAGGTGCACGTCGTGGGCGGCTTCGGTGAAGTTGCGCTGGGGGAACCCCTTTGGGGGCGTTTCGACGTAGTTGTAGGGGGTGGAGTTGTCTGGTGGGGGGTGGTAGAAGATTAGGGGGACTGTTATGGGGCCGCGGGGGATTGTGTTCGCTTCAGGAGCGGTGGTAGGAGGAACAGTGGTAGTTGTGGTAGTTGTTGACATTTTGGCTACTGCTTGTTGTATTTGAGTCTTGTATGGATAGATGGGTGGATAAGTAGATGGATGTATGGATGTATGTATAAATAGATTGTTAGCTAGACAAGGCAAGTACGGACAGATAGAAGATTACGATACCTTATATACAGCAAAACAGCAATTAATAATATGAAGCTATTCAGACCATATCTCTCCGATATTACGTGCTTGTTGCTTACCAACCTACAGCCAACGCGGGGTATTATGACGTCAGATGGCCATATATCTCTCCGTCTTCTTTCTATCTTCTATTTACTGAGTTGGGTGTGATGGGAGGGAGTCATTCTATTCTTGATTGTTATTTGCTTTATTTTTTTTATTATGTATAGTTTTCTTGATTTCTTGATCATTGTTGAAGTAACTAGTGACTGGGTAGTAAGTAGTACTCTGTCGGGGATTCGGATCGACCTGTTTCTGTTGTTAGGGTTGGATTGGAAATCAGGTTCAGTAGACTGCTACCACTGTTCTTATCCTCGTGCAGACTGTCTCACTGCTCTGGTAGATAGATTGTTGGATGTACTTTCTAGATATAACATCGTGGGATTACCAAATCAGATAAAACATAATTAAGTTCAAGCAGTATATACCTATCAGTATAATAAATACACCATCCACCTCCACCAACCAACCAACCAACCCAATCTACATAAACTATTCACATTCACAATCTGAAACGTAGACAATTCGCACCCCATCTCAAAAAACAACCAACTAAACAAACCCAACCAAAACAGCAACCCCCACAGCCCAAACCCCAGACACAACCACCGTCTTCGAGCCACCATTCGAAAAGATCGGAGGCGTCTCGGTCGGCCCCGCCACAGCGGTCGAGCTAACGCCCCGGTGGGTAGTGAGAGTAGAAGAGGCCGTCCACGGGTTGGGGATACGCGTCGCCGTGTTGCCAGGGATGACGCCCGTAGGAGCCGGGCCCGGAATCAGGCCTACACTCGTGGTGGAAACGCCTGCGCTCGTGCTGAAGCCCACCTGCGGGACGGTCACCGTGTAGGTGGAGTATGTTAGGGTTGTGCAGGGGGCGGGGCCAGGGCCAGGGCCAGGGGCGCCGGGGGGTCCGTTAGGAGCAGGGGCAGCGCCCGTGGGCTTGGGGACTGGGCCCAGGGTGATTGTTGTCGGGACGGCGGTGACGATGCCGGGGTTTGTGGGGACGAAGGCGGCGCAGATGCCTGTGAAGTAGGACAGGGCGGACTGGATCTCGGCGGCGGAGGAGCCCCAGGCTTGGATGCAGGAGATGACTTTGTTGGTGAAGTCGGAGGACGGGCAGAAGCAGGTTGTGTCGGCGTTGGAGTCGCATTTGGGGAGATCGAGCCAGGTGTTGATGCATTTGGGGACCACGGTGGGGCATTCGGACGGGGGGAGGGGGGGAGATGAGGGGGGGTTATGGGGGGATGATGGGGGGTTAGGGGGCGAGGACGGGGCGCCCGTGGGGGGGATGATTGTGTTGGTGGAAGTGAGGGTCACTGTTGAGACGGTTGTGTAGACGGATGTGGAGGTCGTGCTGCCGGCTGTGATTGTGGTCGTTACCGGGCAGGTGGTTACCGTCTCGTAGGTCACCACAGTGGTGGTCTGGGCTGGCGGGGCTGGAGCCGAGGTGGGCAGCACGCCAGTGGGCACGCCTGGCGTCGGGGGATTGGCGCACCTGGTGCAGATGGTTGAGGTCGAGGTCAGCGTGACGGTGGACACCGTGCTGGATACTTCAGTAGTGACAGACGCGCCGGAGGTGATGGTGTTGGTGACCGGGCAGGTGGTGACGGTCTCGTAGGTCACCACGGTGGTAGTATGGCCCTCGGGTGGCGAAGAGGGGCCACTGCTGGGCCCCACGCTAGACGGAGGAGGGATCTGGACTGGGATGCTCGTGGGGACCGGGGGCGTCACGACGGGGCCCACGGGGGGAGTGGTTCCGTGCGGCGGGATCACCGGGGTGGTGATCGCAGGGGGTGGAATCACCGGAGTGCTGAAGCCAGGAATCCCCGGGACGGACGGGGAGGGAAGGGAGGGAGGCGTGGGCAGGGGATCGGGGTGATGCTCATGGCCACCACCCGGAGGCTTCGGGCCAGGAGAGCAATCAAAGTCGATCAGGTGGATGTCCAGGTCGCAGTCCTCGCTGTCACTGTTCTCCAGGAGCTCGAACCCGACGGAGATGGCGCCACCGCACTGGTCGTTGCTCACGTCCTCGGCCTCGGGCGAGCACCACGCCGTATCCCGACAGGTGGATCCGTCTGGCATGCCATAGACGATGTGTATCTCTGTCTCGATGGAGGTGGAGACCTTGAGGTTGGTGATGGAGAAAGCGCTGATGTCTGCACCAGCGGAGATTACCAGGGAGGTAGCGCTCGATCGAGAGAGCTTTCCCGAAATGCATCGGTCCTGGGAGTGTTAGTTGGTTGAGGAAATTTTGGATTCAAGAAAGAAACGTACCCCGGATGCAGAGCCACCGAAGCCATTGCCCGACAGGAAGCCGCTGAAGTCGAAGCCACCGTAGGAGGAGAAGGCTCCATCGGCCAAGTCAGACCAGTCAAAGCCTGTTCTCTGATGGTCGGAGCATTCGTTGTCGGTGTTATCTGGGCTGTTGTAGCAGGTGTCGGTGCCCCACCACTGGATCAATCAGCATGTCTAGATATACTTATGGGGGATGAGGAGACGTACGAGACCCTGGGGATGGGCAAGAGCCGCAAGAGGGAGGAAGGAGATGAGAGCGATGGCCCGCATGTTGAGAGATCTGTTTAAATTGTGAAGAGGTGTTGAAAAAAGTGGACAAGTCTGTTGTCAAGACTGGCGATAACAGTAGTTCGAACGAACAATACAAGACTCTATGATACCAGCAGGGATAACGAATGATCCCTGATAGGGTTAGGGTTAAACGAATGGATGTGTAGCAGAAGAGAAAGCAGCAGTCCACAACTGACGGGAACAAACGAACGATGTAGAGAAACGAATGAGAGAACAATCAAAAGACGAAGAAAAAGAGAGGGACTGGATGGAGATGAAGGGCCTTCTTAAAGAAAGTCATGTCCGGCACTGGTAAGGTACCATTGGGGGAAGAAATGCCAGACAGAGAGTTAGGGCTTAGGCTCGCGACTGATCCGGAGAGAATCCCCAAAGCAACCGCATGAGACAAAGCCCTAGGATCTTAGTGGATGAAAGGAACGATTGGATTCCTAGCCAGGACAAGCAAGAAGACGGTAAGACAATCTGCCCAGGTATCACCGTTCTAGCCCTGAATGGCACCAATCGAGGATGGTGGTTGGCCCACTAGTGCAGGAACATGCAGCCACACCACCAATCGCGAGAATTTCCATCATCCGTGGGGTCATGGAAGGCTTCGGCCATTGTCTGGCATCCTCCACACGAACTGGTTCTCTCCATGATTGCCGACGTGGCGGCCAATCAGGTAGACTATCTCGATGACCCTAGACAGAACTAGACATGCTCAGGTATTGATACATGTTTGCATTCAGTTGACACATCATCGGTGTCTGTCTGGTCTTTTGAGAAGGTTGGGAAGAGAAATTGATCAGTTGAATTTATGATATTGATGGGAAAGAAGCAGCAATTCTCTGTTCTGCTGTCTGTCTAAAAAGAATTAAATCAAACGATATTAATCACAACATGATAAATGGGCGTCTCGCCCACTCGAGGGTCAAGACATTGGTCTAACCCGATGGTTATTAATAGGAGCTGAAGAAGAATCCATGATAAACTTCCGCCAGTGTGACGGTCATCTTGATTTGACTTGGATTTTATTCCGATTTGACTTCTTCACCTTTATCCTGGCGGTTAGAAACGATTCCCCTTTGGTCCGGTCTGGTGAAGAAGACGTTTGCCGCTGAGACGGCAACGCATGTTGTAGCCGCTGTCATTTAATTTTCTATTCCTTTCTGTTTTTTATTTTTATTTACTTATTTTTTCTTTCCTCGTTCTCTTTTGAAGATGGGATAGTAATGATGAGAACATGACATACATCTCATGAGACATAAACATGTAAACCAGTATGATCAACAAATAATCAAGTACCCCCACCGGACAAACCCTAAAATAGATCCGAACAAAACAAGAATCATCCAAACAAAAAACAAGACAAGGCAAGACACTCCAAGTCTAGCCCTCCCCCCACTTCAACCACATCATGCAAGATTCAGCTCTCTGCCACATTCCGCATGTCGTACCATGCGTCTTTTATCCTTTGTTTGTGCCCGTTGACGTATGTCTCCTCGTTTGGGCTAGAGGGTTCAGGCTGGCATAGATACTACTCCTTGATCAGAGGATGTGTGTACGACAGACAGATAAGACGGATGGGGAAAAAGACAGCTTACCTACAGATACTATCTGGGGAAATCTCGGATGGAATGTCTTGTCTCCGGTGTTACTGAAGTTGTTGTGGCAATGGGCGCCACCAATCTATTGACTTTATCCCTTTTATTCTATCCTTGATGGCCTCGAGGGTGACCAGACAGTGCCAGAAACACTGACTAATACTTGATCAATAAATATCTCACTCAAGTGTGTTGTACTTCTGCAGTAATTGACACTCCTGCCATGACCCACTTCCAGTGATTAACCCCGTCCATCACTACCTGATATCTCAGGGCAGAGGCTGATCACGGGATTCTACATCCCCTTGTTCGGCTTTTCCTTCCCGACTTCTGTCTAGTCCTTCTACCCTCACCATGATTACCCCCCATCAAGAACACCCTTACCTGGCACCAAACCCTTCTCAGCCAGAGCCAGACTCTTATACAAGGGCCTAGGTCAGGCTTGCGGTGGTGTTGGTATTTCATCATGCCAAGCCCGATCACATACCGATTCAACATTCCTCGGCATAACGCAACAATGGGCTAGACCATCCACACTGGTATTTGCACCTAATAGCAATGCCTATCGACCTTCACGACATCCACCAACGGTTGAAGGCTGGTGTGTTCAGTGTGACAAATCTGAATGACCAGTCCTTTCATGGATGGTCTGGATGCAATTATCTATACTGCGTCATACAAGTCCAATACCAAATAGTGCTGCATACCTCTGTGCTCTACTATTTAGCTTGAGTCCACGCGCAAGGTACGATATCTTACTATGACCAAAAAAAAAAAAAAAAATGATGAATAGGAAGGTATTCGTATTTTTGCTCGATAGGTATTCTAAACAAATAGGCTTGGACGCTGACATGACGAAAAATATAAACAAACAGCCAGGAAAGGGGAGATTGTTATCTTTCCCCGGACTTTCCAATGGGAGTTTACCTCCATCCATCCATGCATCTATCACATACATACATACACGCCATATGGCTTGTGTTTATGTTCGTGAGATAGAAGAGAGAAAGAGAAAGAAAAGATAAAAAAAAAAGAAATGTTCGTACTTCATCAACTTTTTCCAGGATTATGTCCCAGTGGAGTGAGTCTATTCCCCGATCAGAAATTCAATGTAAAACCTGACCGACCGTCCCAGACGGTCGGCTGTAGGAACCCAGTCTTCGACACCCGTCCCGCAAGGTGCGTCGATCTCATCGACGACGACTGGATGCAATCGAGATGTGAGGGGAAGGAGAAAAAAAAAAAGAAGAGGATCAATTGGTCTTCGGAGATAAAGCGGGACTCAAGCGTCGTCAGTGGCCATCAAATGGTCATGGTGCCACAAGCCACGGTGCACAAGGCAACCGGTGACACACCCCCTCGGGGCGTGGTTCGTTTCTTTGGATCTCGGGGGTTGTGGATGTTTAGAAAGGAAGCTGGCCGCGGCGGTGGGCATCCATGAGCTTGCGTCGGACAGCTTCGCCCCCCGTGTACCCACCAGCCTTGCGTTTCCGCGTCGGCGTGCGTTGGTCCGCATGGCGCGCATGTCGGAACACACTGGTCGCCCGGGAGGGGGAGTTGGCGGGCATGAACTCTCGGTGCTGGGGAAGGCGTAGCAGGGCTTGGTAGCGATTGTGGTTTCGGCGGAAGGCCGTGACGATGCCCTGGTCCAGGTGGTTGAGGAATCGCTCCGCACTGGTCGCCGGCTGCATCTCCTCGCAGCGGCTGGGGGTTGGCGTGCCCGCGGCGGTGTGGATGGAGGGAGGCGCCATCGGCGACGCGAGGATGTCGTCTTCGGACGCCTTCCCCATGTCGTCGTCGTCGGACGACCCATCGCCGAAGTCGATGAAGTCGTTCACATTTAGTACCGACTCGGGATCCTCATCCTCATCGTCCTCGAAGGAACTGTCAATGGTGAACTCCTGCGACGGGTAGAATGCCTCAGGGGGCCCCATGACCTGACCGCCGGGAGCGATATCATTCCCGAGGGCTGTCATCATGAGGTTGGCGCTCGAGGCCAGCATGGGACTCAAGTCAATATGGCTGGGTGAGACGAGGGCATCCGTATCACTTTCGTCTACGAGATGCATCGTGGTCGCCCGCGGACTATTGTTGGCCGTGTTACAGTTGCTGTTGGTCGTGGACTCCAGCCAATCATGGCGGGATGATGCGTAGGCGGGTATAATCACCAGGTGCTTGCCAGTGCAGTCCACCAGGGCGACCGGCTTGTGAGGGTCTGCGACGAACGTCCCCATGACGGGACCCCGTCGACGAGAAGGAGTATCACTCTTGTCGTCCGCCGTTGGGGCCAGTGAGGCAGAGGAGTCGCGACGGAGAATCGATCGCGGGTGGGTGATGGTCGCTGGGGGTGGAAGATCTTCGTCTGTAGTCTCGCCATCATCGGCTTCAAATCAGGTCAGTAAAAAGATAGGGAAAAAAAAACTGAAGGCGTCCTGCATACTCTCATAGCCGCTCGACTCGGATCCCTCGGATGCAGCGGCGTCGGACTCCACGTGGTAAATGTTGGAATGGCCATAATCCGACTCGGCGAACATCTCCTCGGACTGCCGACGATGGTGGCGCTTGTAGGTTTCATTGTCACTCTCAATCATCCGTCGCAGTTGCGGATCGAGCGAGTCCTGCTGTAAAAAGTCGCTGGGGATCTCATCCTCGGTGTGAGAATCGCTGTCCGAAGAAGAGTCGGAATACTCTTCGAAATGCACCCGCCGCGGCACCGGTGTCTCCACGGCCGTCTCGCTGGCGAGCTCATTGTCTCCAAACGTCTGCATCGCACTGTAGAGCTGATCCTCGTCGAAGAAGGAGGCGGTCGACAGGAGCATATGATCTTCAAAGACGTTCGGGCCCGTCCAAGCTTGGGCATCTCCACCGGAAGTCGCGGCAAAGGGATTAAACCCCTGTTCCGTCTCAGATTCCATGATCATCATCTCCTCCAGTTTCTCCACGTCGCCATCTTCCCCATCGTCCCCGTCACTAATGTAGTCCACCGCTGCGTAGATATCGTCGGAGCTGTCCTCCGAGTCATCATCGTTGCCACTTCTTTGGCCATCGTATCCGTCGTCATCCGACTCTCTCATCTTTCTCGACCGCTTTTTCGATTTTAAGCCCGCCTTATGAGACCGTTCGCGACGACCGTACGACGAAACCCGGACCGCCTGTCTTTCATCCTCGTCATCGGCATCCTCCTCGGAATCGTTCGCATCGTCGCTAAGTTCAATCGAGGAGACAGAAGACACGCTAGAGACGGACGACGACGCTCTGCGTTTGCGGTCCGAACTGAGAGGACCCAGCGACACTGCCTTGCTAAGACGTTTCGGGGAAAAGTTGGATAGAGGGCTGGAATTGCGATGGATTTCCTTGGCGCCCAGGCGCTTTGACGACTGGTGAGGTGACATGATGAATGTGCACCTTGGTTTCAATAAAGGAGGGTTGATCCAATATAAGTAAATTTGAGTTTCGTAGTTTGGTGCTGTTAGAGTTTGCGCGAGACTGAGGCCACTGCGTCAGAGACTTCAGACGGTCCCAATTTATTTTATGCTTTGAATTTTTGTCTTTCTCTTTTCTTGTTGACAAGACTGTAGATCGGCACAGCCCGGAAGAGGAAGACGAAGAGACAATCCGTTGTATCGTAAAGTCGAGGTGGAGAGAAGGATCGGAGGGGAGGAGGGAGGGATCGGAGAGAAGAGGGGGGAGGAGATTGAAAGTCGAGATTGATTGCAACCACGAAAGCACTCACGTCCAAAGTGGGACGACCAAGTGCTTCTTCTGTGAAGTAATAGAGGGGCAATTCCGACGTTTCTGGCGCGTGCGTCGAAAGAGGAACAGATATGTCAAGTCAAGATTTGATACTCGGAGCTGCTGGACTGGGGAGGGCAGGGGAAAAGACTGCCGTTTCTCCCCAGCGAGGAATTTACAGCTCAACGAAAGCCATCTTTGGCAACACTTGACAATATCTGGTTTGGAATAATAAAAATGTTTTGAAATATGGTGTTTGAAAGGGAGGTAAGAAGTCGTGTTGAGCAATGGCAGCGATGAGGGGTGGGAGAGAAGGAGAAAGGCCGGGAAAAAAAGATGAGCGAGGAGGCCAACAGAAGATCTGCTTCCGTACCCACTGGCATTGCAAGTGGGCGTGGCGCCGGCCGTAGTATCACTCACTAGTAATACAGGACAGAACGGGCCTTCTCGGGGGGCGGACTAAGGCGGGACTGACCCTAGAGAGCTCTGGGGCGGGTCGAGTTTTCCAGTGGGTCTTTTCGCCCGGGAGTGATTGGTGAATGTCTGGTAAAACATCTCTATCCATTGGTTCCTCGTCATTCACCGCATTTTACCCTCATTCCATTTTTCCTCATGTTCATGGTTCTCTACTGGTATGTTTTTTTTTTTTTTTTTTTTTTTTTTCCTTTCTTCTCTTCCACTGATTTGTTTCCATGCGCTTTCTCTATATTGAACCAATCACACCATCCTCTAAGTGGAGGGGCAAACCCGACACTCATCAAACTAATGGATCAGTCATAGATCTTCCTGATCCACTCGAGGCAACCATGAGAATGATGAGGGGTCATGAATCTAGGAGTTTTTCGACTCATCCTGCGAAAGTTCCAAGGGGCTCTCTCCGTTGAGTCAGAGGCTGATACTGGAACCTCGGAAAGAAAAGTAATAGGGAGAGAAGACCTTGGGTGTGGCATGCCACTGATGTACAGACTTCCCGCTCCTCTCCGTTTCCCGTTGGGTACCTGAATCTGCAGATGGGCTACCTAGGTCTGGAGGATCCAGCACCAACGCAGACAATCATGACTTGACCCGCTCGTTCTGCATCTCCAGTGCCTCCACCCATACGCGTGCATTGTTAGGAGGGTCATAGTGACTCATAGCCGATCAAAGCTACAAATACACGGACCATGTCATCTTACTTGGGTTATGACTCGATGAGGGGTACAGTTGTTGTAGACGTGAATAGAATACGGACTGGGTCAAGAGTCAAAGCAGGACCGGGTATAGATTTTGTGAGCTATTCGATCAGAGGTATGCAGGAGTTGGCGCAGATCGATCCGAACCTTCATTGCAGCAGAGGCTCCTTGAAGTCAAGAATGAGAGGGGCTTCCCTGTGGGTATGCGACAGACGAAGCGTCCCCCCATTGTATTATTAGAGTATCATCAGTAACTGTATTACTGAAATCCCTGTCGGGAAGGGGACATTCTTTGAACCGTGCTCCCTGCACGAATTCTGTCTGTCGACATCATGATCGCACCCTGTTTTAAAACCCAGTCGGAGGTGACATATCAGACGAGGGGCAGAGTTTCTGATAACTCCAGCTCGGCGTATCGTCCTTGCAAGGAAGAAATTTCCCTACCAGATGCTGCTGTCTTTGAGACCATGATCCGCGGCTGAGATCGTCAAACGTTATACGTGGCCAAAGCAATCAACCTAAATTAGCAGACACGTTATTGATTCCCATATGGTTAGTCTGTATTTTACCGTCTAGATTGGTGATGACGGCTAGTTGTTGGTCCGCAGCCTTGGCGCCAACAGCAACCGCCATAAGAAATTAGAGAAATTGTAGATAGCGAATGATTTGGGGCAATTCAAGTATTTGGGGTTTGAGAATGGAGAGCTTGGTAGTCGATTGTCAAGGTAGTATTGGACAACTATCCGCATTACCCAGCTGTAATATACCATAATTGTGGCCTGAGGCAGGATATATTGAAGTTGCTGCCTCGCTGGACTTGGAGTACACCATATGTACAATAGCAATGGAAGCTCACGGGTTCGAGAGAATTCGAATAGCGCGTCTCCCCAGTTTGAACCAACTAGCTCAGATACCGCGGCCTCTACACATGCCCTAACTACTCCACAGGTCAAAGAAGTATATGCCCCAGCCAGCGCATGAACAACCACAGAACCAGCTCCAGAACCTTGAACCTATTCGAGCTCGCATGCAGGATCATACCAATCTAGCTTTCGGAGGATTAAACCAAGCCCAAACACAGGCCAGCAATCCAGCCAAGGTGAGAAGCCACTGCCAGACGCCATCGCGGGAGAGAAACCAGAATCAGAATTCCAGACCAATATCAAACCACTACCGTCAGGCCACGCCGTCCGTTTAGCGCGCCTCAGTGCAGTAGGCGAAAAGCCCCTAAACCTCACCAGACTGTAAGGTGGTATCGAGCAAGATATCTACCTACCTATCTATCTGCAAAGACAACTCCAGAGTGGACATCAAAGACAAAAAGAGGGGTATTGACATGCATGATGCGCGATGCTGGAATATGATTGGGTTGAAAGAGCGGTAAGGAGGGAGACAACTGTCTGCATCTTACCTGGGTGCTTGGGGGCTGTTAGCTGCGTTAGTTTATCGGAGACTGCCTTGGGTGTCTTGCCGTTTGCTGGGCCATGTGTTTGGGATACGGGAGAGATCAGAAGTGGTGTTGTGATTTGGGCGGGTCTGTTTGCCGCATCTTAAAACGGAAACTATTCAGGAGTTCCGACATGGTCCACCACACTCGCTCTACTCACTTCATGCTGTGCTCGGAGATGGCAGCCTCGTGGCCTGAGGAGCATACCTTAGACCTACATTGGCACTACATATTACCTGTAGTACTAGGATTGCGTATCCAGTAACCCGACTCCCGGAAGAAAGAAATTCTCATGGACCCATTCAACCCTCACAGATTACTGCAAACTCGCCACAACCCGTATTAGGTAGTAGACACCACTATCAACTTTTGAAATCCAAACCGTGATGACAAGTACGTAGGATTCCTATAGCCTCCTCTCAAGGTGGAAATATCGGAGCCGACGTTGGTCCGCCCTCATCCTCCGATACCACGCTTACCTTACCTTACATACTTCGCTCTATCGCAATCGGTGGCTGACGGTGGAGACGCCCGATCGGCATCAACCAGTCCATTCATTGGCCAATGGGGACAGAAGTATTTATTACTCGGGATTAGCTGCACCCCGCAGTTACTTTGATGCCGAGAACTTGATGTACAATTTGCCATATGGCTGGACGGCAGCACCCGGCAATAGGGTAAATGAAGTCTACCTCTCTAGATCGGATAGAAGCTGGAAAGAAGTTGGGTATATCAGTGGTATTACCCGACTTCAATCCAGGCTAGTGAACAAGTCCTTCCCCCAATTGAAGATTGACGCCCCTCTGATCTCATAGTGGAAAACACCCGGCTACTTTGAGACGGTTGGAAAAATTATGATCATGAGTTTCAAAGTCGCCACCCGGGGCCCAGTGTCCCGCAGCTATTTGATGCTAAACCATGGCTCATGTGACGGTTTAGATGAATCTAATTGTGGGTTTGTTGCCAATTTGCGTCTTTTTATTATTAGAAACGGGAGGAAAATCATTCTAGAAAAATGAGAGAAAAAAGAAGGAAAAATCAACCATAAATAAACATGATTTCGTAGTATCGTAGCAAAAGGAGAAATGGGTATAGTATCGTATGATAGATAGCCAAGACATCCAAAGGAAAAACAAAAAGAATAAGCAAAAAAAATCAAGGACGTGACTACGTTCCAGGATATGGTTGGACATCCTTGCTTGGATCAAGCGCAGGTTTCGGATGTGGTCGACCGAATATCGACAATCTTGACTTGGACCGGGTCGGCTTCGCAGGTGTATTGGGTGCTTCGCTTTCTTTCTCCTTCTTTGGGGTACTCTCAGCCGGAGTCGAAGCTGTCTCTGGGACAGTCTGTCGGGCTTCCTGCGCCTGTTTGATTCCGTCGCGGATTTCAGCCGCGGACGCACCCTGCGGCGCGGTAGTAGTAAGAGTTTGAGTAGCACGGATTCGCTCCTCCGGAGACTCCTCGTTCATCTTCCCGATCTCCTCCTCGGTGACGAGGCGTTCGTTCTCGAGACGGACCTCGCGACCGCGCTTATGGCAATACCACAGCACGAACAGGAGGACTAACCGGGTGAATATATGTCAGCTTCGCACGTAGACAGTGGTAAGAAAGAATCAGAGAGCGCAGTGTCATACTAAACAAGGCCAACGACCAAAGAGCATTCACCCCCAACACAGCAGGGAAACGAGCCCTCAGGAAAGCCACAATGGACCGGAGCATCCCCACGACAGCAGCCGGTTTCCCAACGAGCTCCTTCAAGCTCGGCACCTGAATCCCCATCTTGTTGGCAGTAGCGGCTGCCTTGCCGACATTCTCTATATTCACGCCGCTCTTGGCCGCTCGTTCACCCGCGACGGCGAGAATCTCCGGGGCCAGGGTCTCGGTCCACTTTTCGGGGAGTTTCTCGATCAGCTTCTGCAGGAAGCCCGGGAGCTGCGAATAGGTGCTCTGGAGCTGCCGGTTGCCGTTTGTCAGGAGCATTTCGAGATCATGGTAGGCGGTTGGGACGCCGTTGATCAGGTCCTTGAAGATTAGCGTGAATTTCCGCAGCAGCTCCTGCGTCTCGTCGCTGAAGGAGAAGACGCTGTTGTTGTCCGCCGCTAGGTTCAGACGCTCCAGGATCTCCGTCATATCTTCGGTTTCTTGCTTCACTTCGGCGTCGGCTGCGCTGTTGACGGGGGCGTTCTTGGGGGTATCGGTTGTGGCACTCTTTGCTGGTTCACTTTTCTGTGGGCGCAATAGGGTGAGCGCGTGGATAATGATATGCGACGTACAGGAGGAAGCGCCATACCTTCTTCTCGGGACTCTTCCTTCTGAACCAACTCAGTGGATTCAACTTCTTCTCGACCGGAGGTTTATCTGATTTAGAAGACCCTGCCGGCACATGGCTGGCCCTGCGATCCTTGGGCGTCGCTTTTGCCTTCTGCTCCGCTTCCTCCTTCTCGAGTGTCTTCCTTCTCTCTTCCTCTCCTAGTTCTCTCCCGAACTCCTCACCCGGCGAAACCGAGGGTTGGATCTTTTCTGCGACCGGCTCGATCGGGCTGGTAGGGGAGTGTACGTCGCGATTTGCCGACGCCTCTCCGGTAGGGGGCGACACGGGAGGCTGGCGCGTATCCTCGGACGTGATAGTCCGGAGAAAGGCTTCATCTTCGGGGGTTAGGATAGGAGGCTGGGACGGTCTGCGCTGTGACTGGCGGCCCCAGTTCTTGATTTGCTGCATTTTACTGGTTTTGTACCCGACTCTGGTTGACTCTGCTGAGAAGACGAGTGGGAGGCGAGGAGGCTGGGCTGTGCTAATTACTGTAGTAGTATGTCACAAGAGACATCAAAGACATGAATAGTAGTAGTACCTATTAACAGAGGGGAGAAGAAAAAGAAGTAAATTAAATCATTCAATAACCTAGGATATCAGCCCTGATAAATGATGAAACCCCCTCTTTAAATTAGGATGGCCACCTTGCATCCCTGCGAGCTGCATAACAAAGACCAGACCAGACAAACCTTCCATGTTTCGAGGGCTGGGCGGGATCAGGCGATGATATCACTACCCTGGCCTGAGGCGCGCATGAGCCGTGCGCCACAGATGTCCGCGCCACCACCTGCATCCGCCACGATTTCCCCTCATTCCAGTGGGGGGATTGGATGTCATTGGTTGGTTTGGCTTTGGATCGACGATCGCAGAGTGGATGTCTTCATTATCTCAAGATTAGTTTGAGGATGTTGGGTACCTACTTAATATCAGAAGTTTAATAAATGTTTTATATTGATGGTTGTAGTGTTCTTTGAGCAAAGTGTCAAAGTATGAGAGCATACCTTGAAGTGCGGGGAATGAGGTACCTATCATAAAGTATGAGTTAAATTAGAGCAACACCCGAATCCAGGATATATATACAGAGTAAGTTGTAATTTTATGATCTTCAATGATGTGCAGGGCATTGAATCTTTCCATGTTCTGGATGTCTCATCCTACTACTCCGTACGCTGGTTTATCCTTATCCCCAGTATGGAGTAGATGTCACCATAGATATACTATAGGCAGCAGACGTATACACCAATCAGGAAAACAATCGCATCACCTGCATGATATCACATGATCTCTGCCTAGCCTCCTCCTCGTCATCTCATCCTCTCCAGCTTCGTATTCTTTCTCTCTTTCTTCCCCACGCCCAGAGTCGACCGATCCCCGCGCACGCAAGCCTGTTTTCACCCTCTAACCCTGGATGGTGGGATCTGGATTGTGCGTACGTGGCAAGCTTCCTACCTAGGACGTGTCATCCTCCCTCAATGTTCCCAGGATCTTCATATCCCTCCTTCATATGAAGACCTGCGGCTCGGAGGGGAGTCTCGTCTTGGATGGAACGCTTCCAAGGCTCATCCCCTCATGCGATGATCCCGCGCATGACCCGGTAGCGTCAGCCCTTTTTTGCGATCCTCCTGATCAGTTCGCTCGCTCATTTCCCTTTGCTTGGATTCTTCTGTCGTTTCTTTGTATCTACGTCTGGATGACTCTTGTGTCGTTCCTGACCCGGTTGATGGATGTAGACGGCGGCCGTCGTTCGGCGGCTAAACGTTCTTTTGGTCCTACCGGTCGAGTGGGAAAGTCGACTAGGGTTAAGCCGTCACGGTCGAAGAGGATGGAGGGTAAGGTGAAGGGAAAGATGCACGAGAAGACGCAAAGTCCACCACGGTCTCCTACGGAGTGAGTCCCTTGTTTGTTTCACAAAGACCTGCAGCTGAGACTAACAATGTGATAGCCCCCTGATCAGCCCTATCGTTACCTTGGTTGTGAGCTCCGAGGAGCGTCTGTTCGTGGCTCACGAAGACATCCTTTCTAGGGCTCCCTTCTTCGGTGCGCTGCTCAAGGACCAGTTCGCAAAGGACAACACCAACAAGGTGGTGATCTTGCCAGAGGAGTAAATCCATCCATGTCCATATTTCCCTCTCACCATGCAAAGTATCATCAATAACAATTTCAGGGAGCCCGAGATTCTGTCTTGTATTCTCGAATTCTTATACAAAGGGGACTACTTCCCCCGCCTCCTGCGCAACAAAACCCAAGACGGATGGGAACTCGAGAACGCCCAGCAAGACCCCACCGTGCCCCCCGGCTACGGCGGCCGCGGATCTAGCGAAGCCACCATCACGCTCTCCGCCACAGGGGAAGTCATCCTCCGCGACACGGCGGTCTGCTGCGCGGCAGAACGGTACGGCATGGAGGACCTCAAGCGCCTTGCGCTTCGCAAGCAAGGCCTCCAGACCGGCCTGCCCGTCGGCGTGATCCTGCAATCTGCGCGCTATGCCTACGATAACACGCCAGACACGGAGTACCAGCTGCGGGCGCGGTACTTGGCTATGATTATTCGAACTCGTCAGATCTTCAAGACCAGTGGAACCATGCAGTTTGAGATGGAAATGGGTCATAGGTTTTTCTTTGACTTGTTTGTGGCTATGTGTAACCATATGGATGATTTGGAGCAGTCTCCGTAAGGTTTCCTCTGTTCTATAAAATAAGAGCGAGATCAACCTTATACTAATGACTCTCACCATCCAGCATGGACTAATCCCCGATTCCAAGTCGCACAACCGGCCACAACATAGACACCCCAGACCTACCTACCCATTTTCGCAAAGCCTCAACTAAAACGCAAAAAACCCCCCCAAAAAAAAGACAAAAGAAAAGAACAAAAAAAAGTCTCGCAAACCAAACAAACCAAGCAGCCACGCGCCATGCCATACATGACATACCATGCCAAATCCCAGAATGCCAGTTATTCATGGTAACGAATGATGAATGACCTCTTGTTACTTCTTGTCAATCCTTTGTTGATAATACTGCATTCGCTTCGAGGTTGGCCGAAACTACCCTTTTAATGAAGCCATGTCTGCTATTTGTTGCTCCAAGCGAATGATCTTTTTTTTTAATATGTTTTACTTTTCGTCGCAAATCAAACTGCTGTCTCTCCTTGATCTGACTGGTTTTATTGTACCTATCTGTTTTCTTTTTTGCTCTCTGAGTGCATACTCGGTGTATGCCATGAATACCATCGATGTGAGAAACGGGAACAGAATACTGGGAGAATGATCTTAGCTAGGAAATGAGTACTCCATTCGGCCGCCTCTATTTTCACGCTCTGTCTGTCTGTAGATGTATATGGTAGATAGATAGTCTGCCTGGAAATACACAGACGATGATGTAGTTGTATCTTGATATTAGTACAAGCATCTGAGATCATCTCTGGGGATATTGGTTGGTTGCAAGGAGAAAACGCGGAATATCAGTGAATGAAGAATGTATGCATGCATAGACAGCATATCGCATTCGATTGACAGCTTCCTTCCATGAATAAATGCCATAGATCATCCCTCAAACACAACAAAACACGCTACATAGGAAACCACAGAACGACCACGACAGACAAGAAGATAAAAAAAAAAACAACTGTATAAGGAAGAAATTTACAAATCAAGTAGACTTCTTCTTCCGTCCCCGCTTCGGCTTCTCCGCGACAGCAGGCTCAGTCACATCCTCCTCTGCCGCCGTGGACCTACGCTGACGCTTCGCAGAGGAATTAGCCACAGGCTCCTCAGTGGCCTTGGTGGAAGGACGGCCTCTCTTGGCGGCGGGTTTCTTCTGCTCGGGTTGAGCTTCGACCTCTTCCTCGGCGGGCTCAGGTGCTTTCTTGCCGCGGCGGGCCGGTCTAGTTCTGGGGGTTGGCTTCTCCTCTTCGGGCTCGGATTCGGCCTCGGGCTCGGGTTCCGCGACCGCTTTCTTGGGTCTTCCGCGGGGAGTGCTGGTTTTCTTGGGGGTGGGCTGCTTCTCTTCCGCCGAGGGTTTGGGAGATGCGTCCTTTTTCTGGGCTTTGCCGCGGCCGCTTGCCTTGGGTTTGGAGGCGGGTTTTTCTTCATCCTCTGATGCGGCTTCGTCCGTCTGCTGGGGGTTAGCATGCTATCTTTAAGTTGGGAAAGCAATGATCAAGAAGGGTTACCTTGGCAGCCTTTTTAGAGATACGCTTGCGGAAACCGGTCGAGCCGGGACGGTTCACTTCGACATCCTGTGGATCGTTAGTATACGTTTTGCATGAAGTACCTATAGATGCGGAACGCAACTGGATAGGAATTGCAAGGGAATTAAGTAACTTACCCCCTTCCAATCCTCATCATCAACATGGCCCTGCTCAAACGCCCTCTGGATCTTCTCCTGCTCACCAGCCTCCAGCTCATCATAGCCATCAAGGGCATCCAGATCCATGTCCTCGCCCTCTCCAATAGATTCTTTGATATTGGAGATGAGCTTGGGAGTGGTGCATCCCCTGGATACGATTATTAGTATAGTGTACTTATCTGGACTTACCTGTGAAGGTATGTGTCTAGGTAGATATTCGTTCCCCACATGCGAGGAAGAAATGAAGTACGTACCAATGCCTCCACATCCAGGCCTGGATGCGATCGTTATCGACCCAGGTGCCCAGGCGGAGCTCGCCCTTGGCGATCTTGACTTTGGTGTCTTTGCATTCTTTGTTTTGGCAGCCGGCGCGGCCGGTTTTGGCTGCCTCTGGAGGAATATTAGTTTGGTTTCAGAAAGAGAAACGGGATTAAAAGGATCCAAATGAGAAGATAATAAATGTAGGACAGGGAGAAGTAGGGATAAGTGACTGGGAATATGCCAGTTGACGGGGTAGGATGGACGGGGAACTAATCAGGAATGCAGGGAATTGACACGAGCGCAGATACAATTACTTGGGAACAGTAGTTGATTGACCAAAACCGAATTGAAAAAACTTAAAATGAAATAAAGGGAGAAAGAAAAGAAATCAAGAACTACGATGTAAATTGAACAACATACCCACACGATAAGGCATCTCCTTGTCTGACGCGCAAAAGTTCCGAGTCGCGAGTCGAAAACAAACAAAGGAGGAGGATTTAACCACAAAGTCGAGATGGATTGGGGATGTAGTATAATCCGGGAAGGAATACTAGGAATAGTGATAGATGAACAGAGATCCACCAACGAAGATTTAAATAAATAACGATGGATGGAAGAAAGATGAGAGGGGAAGGAGAGTGAAAGAAGTGAGTGAGAGAGGTGGAAAAAGCAGAGCGTGATTGATTGACCCACGGCCTCCCGACCTCTACCATGCACAGTGCTTACGTGTCTATCTGCCTCGCCAATTTATTATCTATATGGCTATCAATTTTCTCCAGAATTCAGATATTTTGTTGAGTTTCTGTAGAAATGGGAGGAGAAATAGAGATGTATTACATGGAGCCGGTGCCGCGACCGGGGCAATGGAGATTGTTGCACATTCGGTAAAAGAACGTTATACTTGTTTATTCTTTTCTCTTGGAAGTATAACCTAGCTTATCTACTTGATGTACAAAAAAATAAAGCGGATATGATGATTTCCAAGATAATTTCTCCTGGAGTCCTGGATTATGTCATAGTCGAGGCGCTGGGAAAAGATCAACTGATTGCGTTCGATCGATAGATGTGATGTCATGTCTTCAGAGTATCTAGTACGATGTCTAATCTATGGACGACTTCGTGCCGTGGCAGTAGCCTCGATCTTTTCGAGCGCAGTGACATGTTTACGGAGCATCACGACTGCCCCGAGACTGAGTCGCGAAACAAACGGCGAGGCGGCCAGAGTCGCATCGCTGGCATCCTCGGTAGAGGTCGAGTTGTGGTGCTCGATCATGTCAAGGGCCTCTTTGATGGCTCGTCGCAGCAACCGAGGATGTTCGCTCTCCTGGTGCTCGGCGTCGGCAAGGTAATTCCACGCGATGATATCCTCCAACCCGGCAACCGGATGTTCAAGCGCATGTTGGATGAATCGCCGAGTCAGTAGAAATGCCTTCTCGGTGTACTGGCTGGACTCGACTCGCCGGTCGTTCTCCGCGGCAAGTGATTCGTACCCGGGTTCGTCTGGGACAGGTTAGCAAATAAACAGGCTACCGTGGCGACCACAGGAAACTTCAGGGAACTTACTATAGAACGGCGTCTTCACAAGAACCAACCCCATGATGGACACCAAAATCTGCAGAACGGTCGAATTCACCGGCGACCACGTCTCCTCGGGATTCTCAGTAGGCCAAGTCCCCAAAACGCTCAGGCAGACTTTCCCGTCTTCATACAGATTCGGGTTGATCATGCCTTGTCCGTTGGTCCACGAATGGAAAAATGCGGCCGGCGGTTGGGTGGGGAAATCGTCAGAGAAGTGGAAATCGATCACGAATGGAGCATGCTCGTATGGTGTCCCTTGCGGCCCGATGATCAGCACGCGGAGGAGGTCGATTCGAGACTCCCATGTCCTGACGAAGATGCCAGGCGGTAACGACGAGGACAGGATCCCGAATTCCTTCCGGATGCGCTTCAGACATTTGCTGAATGCACTCGGTGCAGCCTGGGAAATGAAACGATGGTCCGAGGGAGGAGAACCTTCCAACAATGCAAAGCTGGGGGGACACGATGAGGGCGCGGAGCCTGACGGATCGTGGGCCCCGTTTTCTCTTTGCGTAGGCTGTTCCGTAGCTGCGGGAAGGACAGCCTCCTCATTGGTATGCTCATCGTCGTGATCAGGCGGTGCGATCTCCGAGACTCCAGGGGTCGTGAAGTTCTCGTTACGGTCGACACCACCGCCACCGGTTTCATGGGCGACATTTGGAGTTTCTTCCCAATCAATCTCTTCATACCCATCCTCCGTCATCCAATCATCATCTCCGCTACCATCATCGAGGCGAACACCCCCCTCGTACTCATACGTCTCTGTAATCCACGGATCATCCATGTCCAGAGGGAGACCGGGCGGGGGAGCGCCAGGGGGGACGGTATCTTCTTCATCAATGATCATCATGATCTTCTCAAAGGGAACACGAATATCTCGACAGTTGTCAACGCCCGCCAGTCGAACGGTGATGGTGCCATCCAGGTCCATGCTGATGATCTTGCCCACAAAATCTGTTGGTCCCTTCACCCCAAGTTCATCGTAGTGCATGGTGTACTGTCCCGGAAGGGGTGCCGTGTCAATTCTGGTCGTGTTTCTGAACCATTCGGATTTTACAATGGCATTTTTCATGGATTCAAGATACACAAACGCCTTAAACAAGGTGACGGGAGCCAGGAAGCTTAGAGTACACGGCCCCGTAGCTTCAATTGACTCCTCCTGTGGACCCGGAAATGTGGACTGGTGAACCGTTTCTGGAACTATTAGTACCGTATCGGAGATCAATCTGCTGAGGCCGGGATACGTGGTGAGCTCATAGAGAGAAACGTGGGTCGAGTCACGGCCGAGTTCACCAAGAGAGGAGCCCGGTCGTAGTATGTTTCCTTGGCTCAGCAGTTCGACCCCGGGGCCGTTGAACCAACGTACTGACGCTATACGTTCTCGGCTATCCACGGCTTGAACCACCCCGATCTTTTTGACAAGAACCGTATCCCAGAATTCAGCACTCGCTGTGGTGAGACGAGGATTGTCACTTTGGTGATACGGCCTTTGAACCCTCTCAGTCGCGTCTTTAAGGGCAACGATATTCCCGGGCCAGACTTCATCCTCGGGGCCTAGGAATCTATTCAGGTTGACCCCCTTTTCGGTTGTGGTAGTTCCATCCTGCCATTGGACAGTAACCTCTGTCTCGGTAGATACTATCCGCAAAATATTGAGATCATACCCAAAGGACTGGTCAGGGGGAATGTGCTGGGAAGTAGCATGTGTGGTAGCTGCTGCCCTCGCGTCTCGAAATCGAACTTTATCACCGGCCCTAAGCCACGTATCCGACTTGACCTGGGGCACACGAGAACCCTGACCAGGTAGATTGCCAAAATCACACTTCACCGCATTTCCAATCAGATCTGAAGCCAGTAGAGTCTCACTATCATCACTGGTATAAGGCATCCCTGGCGCGAACACGTTGGGGCACACCCAGTCGACATGCACGTTCTCAGGCGGCGTCGCTAATACATAACCCTCTGGCACGAATTGCTCGCCATTGCCAAGAGTGATGTCCTTCCGGTCCAGGTTTTTGGAGGGAGTGAAAACGAATTGACCGGGGAACACAAAGTCGGCTTCTGTCGTGGACCACATGAACTCGCCATTTTTCAAACGGTGTGTGTTAATAGCGTCAAAGTGGTCGGGGAGTGACACGACTTTGCTGGAGTCGGAACAAAGTGGAACTTCTAATTGAGCTGGTTCGTGGGGGATAACAACCTTTTGGTTGGGCAGAAGTAGCACCGCATCGCGGTCGACCGCGTGTATGTATCCCAGCTTCTGTCGATAGATAATATAGTCCCCTTCAGAGAATTCTTCGTAACTGGTAAGCTCGGATATCGGTACATTGTACAGCCGTGGCGTTTCTCCATCGTCAGGCTCAGGATAGACCGAGCACACACGCGGGCGCGGTTTATCGGCGAACTTGAGCGAACCGTACTCTCCCGTGTTCGGGTCTCGATTTCGAAAAGCGATAGGCTCAAGGCAGCACTTAGCCGACGTGCTGACGATTGTACCACTCATTGTATCGTCCAGATGGCGCTTCACGGTTTCACCCAGCTCCAAAGCCCGGTCTACAAGTTCGAGATCATCCTCGTGTATGAGAGAGCTACCCTGCGATGGCTCCAGGAAACTAACGAAGACATATCCCTTTGGTGGCTGGACACAATAAGCCGGCGTTCAGATGTCATCGGCCTTTCCGGGGCGAAAATTACATACCACGCCTGTTTCTAGGAATTCCATCAGATCCTGCTCGGACACGGAGGTGTAGGAACGGATCAAAAGATCATGCAGATGTTCCTGGCTTTCCACCTTTTTACCCAGTTACCAAATGCTTTGGACGGAGATATAAGGTCAGTATATTACATACATCATAGTGCGTCCTCTGCAGAGTAACCACTACCACGTCAGATAAGGTCAACCGAAGTAGAAACCGCCGTATCACTCACACAGACATGTCCCAACAACGCAGGGTCTGACTTGAGGCGACAAGTATCTTCAACACCGAACTAGAATTCGACAGCTTAGCAAGACCGCGTATGCGCATCCTTGGGCTCACAGTGACCGCTCACCTTCTGGCCTGGTTTGGAACCCATAGCTATCTACCAAGTGATAAACCGCGGGGTGATGCGACGCGGAGAGTTTAGACCCGGAATGCGATAATGAAGAACAAGGACAGACGGGGTCATAACATCAGAACGAAGAAGACAAAATAAAATAAAAAAGATAAGATAAGAATGCACCGCCAAGAGCGACAGCGCAAGCGTCGAGATCAAAAAGAAAGATGAGATCGAATCGAGTAGTCCGATTGATTGAATGAATTGATTGAATGAATTGATTGAATGATTTTACCCGTGTCACATGTTCTGTTCCCCAGTTGCCATCACCGCCTTCACTGTTATATCTGCCGATCTTCTTTTTCTCCTGCGCAAACGGAGTGCCATTTCCACCTCACGCCTGGCGCAACTACCTTTCCTCAGCGCCGAACATCAGTTTATAGTCAGATATCTATTATACCCGAGCTTGCAGTGCCCATAACGCCACAACGGCTAAGCGCAATAACCGCTTATCGTTACAACCGGGCTGAAGAACCTCCGCTATCCTCCGCGCAAAGTGGCAACAACAACTTTCTTACCACCCGTTCTCACCCAACACCGACACCGCTAGACCTCTACGCGAACCACCTCACCACAATGTCCGAACCAGGCCCAGAGTCCGTCCCCACCAGCGCGGACCCGCGCAGCAAACGACCCGTCAAGCGTCGCGCCATCACACCTCACCTCGAACAAGCCACCCAAATCAGCTCCCTCTTCCGCGACCCCGCCAAAGACATCCGCCTTCCCGGTCCGTCCAGGGAACGGACCGCGGGGTCGATGCCCGCCCCGCCGGAGATCGTCGCGAACGTGCAGGGATCCTCGGCCGGTGCGGGATCTGGCGAGTTCCACGTTTACAAAGCGAGCCGCAGGAGGGAATACGAGCGGCTGCGGTTAATGCAGGGGGAGGTTGATAGGGAGAAGGGGGACGAGGAGTGGGAGAGGAAGCAGGAGGAGATTAGAAGGAAGGATGAGGAGAAGACGGAGAAGAATCGGAAGAGGAGGGGGAAGAAGAATGCGGCGAGGAAGAATAAGAAGGGGCCTGATGTGAGTATGGCTGAGCAATCGGCTACTGGGGCGTCGGGCCATGCGCTTGGGGGGAGTATGGATGGGGTCCAGAATACGGGCTCTGAGGGGGTGGATCGTTCCGTTGAGACGCCTGGTGTTATCATTCATGATGATTGAGACCTCCTTCCCCCTTCCGAGGAGCTTCCACAGGCAGTATATCGCCAAGTGTGGTCGCAACGTGTGTTATATGAAGATACCCATGTAAATTCTTTTTATAGTCTAGAATACTCATATAGAACCAAAGAGTAATCGTTCAGCATTATGTACGCGATCTTTTAGCCACTATTTCTATGTCTTACTCTTCTCCACCGCCAACAGGGGCGCCTGCCTGCTGGGCAGACTTGGCGCTGCAGATGTCATCCACACGAAGCAACAAGCACGCGGACTAGTCGAGAAGTCAGTTGAGAAATACTTTTGGAAGGTGGGGGGGGGGTTGGTTTGGAACTCACCTCGACCGCAGTCTTAATGCTTTGCAACTTCACCGCTTCGGGCTCCCAAACGCCATACTCTTTCATATCGACAAGGGCACCGGAGTCACCGTCCAAGCCCCAGTTAGTCTGGCCCTCGACGTGCTTGGCCCTCAAGCGGGTAAGGACACGGATGGGGCTGACGCCTGCGTTCTGGGCCAGCGTCCGGGGGATGACCTCCATCGCATCGGCCACGGCCTTGTACGGCCATTGCTGCACGCCCTCAACAGACTTGGCCAGCTGAGCCAGCTTGACGGAAACCGCCATTTCGAGAGCGCCACCACCGGGGGACAGTCGCGGGTGGAAGATGACGTTTCTGGCAACGGACATGGCGTCTTGCAGGTTGCGTTCAACCTCGTTGATGATATCCTTCGAAGGACCACGGAGCAGGATGGTACAAGCCTTGGGGTTCTGGCACTTGGTGAGGAAGGTGAAGTATTCGTCGCCGATCTTTTCAATTTCGAACAGGCCACACTGCGTGCCCACGTCCGACTCCTGAAGATCATCGACTCGGTTGACAATGGTGGCGCCGGTAGCGCGGGCAATACGGTTGTTGTCCGTCTTCCTGACACGGCGGAGAGCGGTGATGTTCGCCTTCACCAGGAAGTGCTGCGCAAGGTCTACCAACACGCGTTAGAAACCATCATTCCCGCAGAACACCGTCGAATTCCCTTACCTGAAACACCCTTCTCGGTGATGACAACGTCGGGCTTAAGAGCCAAGACAGCCTCACACATGCGCTTCACCTGCTCCTCCTCGATCTCCAAGATTCGGTTCCAGTCGTCCTCCTTGGTGATCTCAATGTTCGTTTGCGACTCGCCCTTCTTGTATTCCAGAGGGCAATCGAGCAGGACGACACGCGGGTTTTCGATCCTTCTCCGCATCTTGGGGTGCGTAATATCCTTGTTCACCATCACACCGTCGATGACCTCGCTGTCTTCGATCTGACCGCCGGGGATCTTCTCAATACGAGCGTACCGCTTGATGTCAACCTCCTGCTTTCCACCACCGGCGTCGAAGGAGACGGTCCGCACAGCCTTCAATGCCAGGCTGCACATGAGATCCGACCATCTGGAGACGAACTTTGTGCCAATTGACGATTGGATCAGAGTGTACATCGACTTGTCATCGTGAATATCCACTGGTACCGACACTTCCTCCACGATAGCAAGAGCATCCGCGAGCGCGCGCTTGAAAGCCGAGATGATGACAACCGGGTGAATGTTACGTTCGAGTTGAGGAAGAGCCTGTGCGAGCATCTCACCGGCTGGTACAAGTTAGCATGCAAGCCACAAAATTTCATCGACAGAAAAAAAAAATTAATAAGTACCGAGAATGATGACGGTCGTGGTACCGTCTCCAACCTCCTCATCCTGCGTACGGCTGAGCTCGATCATGCTCTTTGCTGCGGGGTGCGACACTTCAATCTCTCGCAGGATTGCATGACCATCGTTGGTCAAGACAATACCACCCATGGGATCCAAAAGCATCTTCAGCATGGCCTTGGGTCCAAGACATGATCGAATGATGTCCGCAACACTGTAAGGGTCAATTCCTCTGTTAGGGCCGACGCGGGGAAAGTGAAAGGCGGAAGAGCCACATACGTCTTCGCGGCAGCGATGTTCGAAAGCTGTGCTTGACGACCAACCTGTCTCTCACCAGAATTGGTGTCTGAAAATACATTAGCCAACGAAGCCAAAGAACCCAGGTAGTCCATCTCCTCGGGGTGACATACTCATCACCACCACCGGGGCCTGCATTTTGGCGGTGGACGTTTACGTTGTCTCGGGGGAAGATTAAAAAGAAGCCAGCTAGTCCGGATGTTTCCAAAGAAATATCCTTCGTGAATAGCTCGTGGCGTCCGAAAGGTGGGGGGAAGAAGTGTAGATGATGTGGAGAGTTGTGCCCGCCTTCAGCATCAAATTTCCAGCGCTCCTCGAAGTGGGATTGCGGACTGGAAGCTCACCGCCCTCTAGCCCGATCGGGACTAGCCCGGGTGTCCCTCCCCCTAATCTAAATCTATCAGCTTCGATGCTTCTCTTCGCTTGTTCTTCGTATTTACTTCGGATGAAATGGTTCTTTTCTCTATGTTGGAACTATGCCTTCTGACACCTCCTGTGCATTTCATCATCAAAGACTAGCCGCTTCCAAGTGATCCGTATTGAATTCCGACAGCTCCCCAACCAACCCGCCGGAACCACCTGTGCATTATCAATAAATCACCTCCTGAATATCTTGCTCATTGTATGGAACCCCCTGGACATTCGATTGCGCAGGTTCCACATAGTGGACGTGCGTTTCTTGCAGAACTTGGAGTAGAGATTCTCCTTCTGCCGCCACGTTTTCTCATCTTCCTCCGCTTCGTATTCATGATGCGTACCGCTCGTTCGTAATCTCTGCAACAGAGGCTCGCTCCGACGTCTACTCTCACCGGCCTGTCCTGTAGCGTCCAACCGTGATGCAGCCTTATAATCCGGAAGTGTTGCATTGCTGAAATTCGCCATGCCGCTCAATCCAAGCCCGTAAAGAGCGCGCTCATTACACTTGTTGTCTATGGCCCGCACGCTCCGGCAAATTGCACACTTGCACCATGTCATATCGACTAGCCTGGGGAACCCTCGGCCTTCCAGTCCACGGTAGCTACTCGGAAATGCCCGCGGTTGGGAGGGTGGGAATCGAGACGGCGCAGTCGCGTACCGTCGCGTTCTAGTCTTGTGCTGTCTGCGGAACTGTACATTTGGCTGCTCTATTCTCAGTCGCTGTAGTTGCTCTAGGTGGATTCGGCGCATGATTCCTTGCAGGTTATGTGGGAGTTGGGCCATGGCTTCTTCGTCTAGCTCGAATTGTACTTCCTCTTCGTCTTCGGTGGAGTAGTTGTCTTTGTCGTCGGACTCGCTCGACAGGCTTGTCCGATTCTGATTATTAACCCTGGAGTCTAGGGCCATTGTGATGCTTTCCAATTCCGCAGGTATTCGTTGGCTGTGAGACGGTTGTGACCCGTTGAGATGGTAAATCGACACAAATAGTAGTCTCAGAAGACGGATTACTGGTCAAATCAGGGTATATTAGATACTAGGTAGATTTGAAGGAATGAGTGTGGTTTTATCCTTGGTTTGGATACTAACAAAACAGAAGGCTTACCACGGTTTTATGGGTTTTCAGAAATCCTATCTATCCATTCGTGTGCAGTTTGTTGTCCAAGGTATTTGTTTACCAGAGGATGGAGCATGTTATATTGATGCATAGGCAGGTTGTTCTGTTTGTGATGGCAGACCTCCATATTCACTACTATTTGGCAGGGTGCCTGGCAGAATCATACGTCTGTCACTCGGTATAACCTCAATAGGGCATAAACATTGTCTTTTATCAGTAGTTGGCATTGTCGTTTCCATTGATGAATGAGAGATAAGGAAAAAGACATTACAATCATCTACGTACAAGATATAGTCGTCTATCTGGCAGACCTAAAATATACATAAATACAAGTCTTTGATCTGTCTTGCTTGATTAAAATTATATATTGACAAAAAGATTCCAGGCGCCCTCTTATAGCCCTCCATGTCTCCGCCCCTCTTCCCCAACATGTACAGGTAGCGTCTATTCAAACTCGCGGCTCTCACCAATGTCACAAACATCAAACACACCATCTTCCGGAATTTCATGCCTTTTTAGTGCTTCTCTCAGCTTCTGCGGGGGTTCAAGCACATCCTCCTCCGTCAACACCCAAGTGCCCCAATGCATACCCAAGGCTTTCCTGCACTTAGTATCTTGGAAAATTCTGACCGCGTCGTGTGGGTCTGCGTGCATAGGGCTCATAAACCACCGAGGATCATAAGCACCGATAGGGATCAGTCCCAAATTGAACGGGCCCCGGAACTCCCCTACTTGTTTGAAAGCGGGGCAGGAGGGGAAATTGAACTTTGGGGCGTAGTCATCGGTGCCGATGGGGAGGTCTGGTACCGCTCTGTAGCCGGTGTCTCTGAAAGATACCAAAATGATTAGTTGAGATCGCGTAAAAAGAGTCATCGGTTACGTACCCCGCGAAGTATACATTTTGACCTCCGGATTCTATGGACCATGAAGCCCATAGCGTTTTGGACCTGTCAAAGATCCCTCTGTTGCTGGTATGTTGGCAAGGTAGGCAACTGATCCGGGCTTCGATATCGGTTGCGCTGGATGGGGGATTTCCGGCGCTGCTCCCGACCTCCACCTTCGACTCGGATGATGGCGAAAGGGAGATGTCACGCTGGTCCCACCAATCTAATTCTGTCATATTGTGTATGCCAGAGCTGGTAAACCATTGCTTGTTCCCCAGCGGGGCAAAAAAGTGGCAATTGGGATGAGTTTTGGCGATCTCCTTGATGGTGGGATACGACAAATGATCGTAATGATTATGGGAGATCACCACTGCATCGATAACCGGAAGGTCGCTGACCTCGCAAGGCATCTCCGTGTAACGCTTAGGACCCAGCCAAGATATCGGCGAACATCGATCCTCAAATACAGGATCGAATAGCACTCTAAGTCCGCTCGGAAATTCGACATAGTAGCAAGCGTGGCCTAGCCACGTTGCGCGCAGCCTCGAAGTCTCCCGCGATGGTAAGAACTCGGGTTTGCGAACAGGGACTGTAGGGGGTGTGGTGTCTGGTTTGTTCGCGTGTCCGTTCAGCTGACGGCTTCATGGTCGTACGTGTTAGATACAACCATTAGAACTAGAAACCCAGTAAGAGCCGACTCACCTAGCTAAACGCCACATATCCCCAAAGCCAATGGTTCTCCATGAACTAAAACATACCGGTTAGTTCTGGGACACCACAGATACCCGAATCCCTACCTCCCCGAGATTACTTACTCCCAAGGGTTTTTGAATCCCCCGTGCACATGATGCTCTTTCTTACTTGCATCATCAGGATAAGAGGACACAGGAGGTGCTGATATACTCAGCGCGTAAAGAATCGTGATGGCGGAAGATGTCATGTTGCGTCTCTCTGATGATGATCGGCGGGGCCTTGTTGCACTTTTCATATGCAAGCGAAACCAATGGCGCAGGAACGAACGCATAGCCGGGGGAAGTTGCTCTTAATAAAGAAACGGTCTGACCTTCGGCCAAGGTTGACAGCGAAATGGTACAACCTGATAGATGGAATTAAGGCCGCTTGGGCTCTCCGACGCGCTGTCACAAGAGCAGCCAGGCAGCACTGCAGTCGTCAGCTGAATCCTAATTAGCGAGAACGATATTATACAGATTATGACGCATTTTGGTGGAGAGGATCGTTTAAACTGGGGATGAGCTACCCCGTAAGTAGTTTTTTTGGGCGCAAAGGATCCTAATTACCTCCTATTGCAGTCTAGCAATTATGATTATCTTAGCCTGACCGTTAAGATGACCCCTAACAGCGAAAGAGAGCAGCTCGAGAGAAACAAAGAAAGAAAAGACCGGAGGGAAAGAAACCACCGGACGTATTGAGGCGGAGTTAACTGGGGAGCACATTAACCCCGTTATCTCCGGGTTTTTGTTAAACAAGAAACCCCCATTTTCAACCCAATTGCGGATGGAAAGTACTCAGTAAGCGGTGCTTATGGTTCTTGATATTACGCATTATTGTCATGACATAGAACCAAAAAATATATATATAGAAAAAATTACTTGGGAGGTTTTTGTATCAAAACACCCCAGAATCCAAATTGACTAGATTGAACGTTCTCGGCCCGTCTGACTCCGGCTTTCCGATATCGTTCGGTATGATGTTTTCGACCTTCCACGCAACTTATGCGACTAAGGACCGACAAATAATCCATCCTTTTTCAGTGGGATGAATCCAGATGGACCTTTAAACACTCCGGGGCTGCCTTCGTCTGGCGAATTAATCGTCCAGCAAAAGAAAGATGCCATCCAGGCAGCGGGGCAGCCCACGGGGGACGGCGGACTTTTCTCTCAACTTACCAACAATCCTTTCTTCACAGCAGTAAGGCATCTCGCTCGGAAAATAAAAAACAAACTGTCGCGTGGGGATGGTGATGGCTAATCATTTTATTGTCGCGATTAGGGATTCGGTCTCGCTGGGCTCGGCGCGGGTTTGAGTTTCGCTCAAAAAGGTTTCCGACACGGTGCTGCGCTCCTGCGGAGGCGCATGCTCGTTGACGTCGAGATCAGCATCAAAGATGATTCCTATCCGTGGTTTTTACATTGGATGACCCTGTATCAACAATCCCAGCTCAATACGGCTCGGTCCGCAGCCAGCAGGTCTGGCTTCGTGGATTCAATGCTCCAGCGATTAACGCCCGGAATGCGCCATCTCTCCATCCAGACGCAGAAAGTCGAACACTCGAACGGTGCGATCCACACTCAGTTCACGTTAGTGCCCGGCCCCGGGCGACACGTGTTGCGATACAAAAATGCGTTCATCTTCGTCAATCGGATGCGGGAGGCCAAGTCGCAAGATTTGCAGACGGGCCGACCATGGGAAACAATCACATTGACGACACTCTATTCGCATCGCCACATTTTCCAGGATCTTTTCACTGAGGCCCATGCATATGCCGCGAAATCGCACGAAGGAAAGACCTCTATCTATAACAGCTGGGGCGCGGAATGGAAACCCTTTGGACAGCCTCGGCGGAAGCGTCCGTTGGAGTCGGTGGTTCTCGATGAGGGCGTCAAAGAGAAGATTGTGGAGGATGTGTCGGATTTCATATCGACTGGAAAATGGTACCACGATCGGGGGATTCCCTACCGACGTGGTTATCTGCTCTACGGCCCACCCGGCACCGGGAAAAGTTCGTTCATCCAGGCCTTGGCCGGCGAACTCGATTACGACATCGCCATTCTCAATCTCAGCGAACGTGGTCTGACTGACGACCGGTTGAACCACCTTCTTACGATTGTTCCGAATCGGACCATTGTGTTGCTCGAGGACGTGGACGCTGCTTTCTCAAACCGCCGGGTCCAGACGGAGTCGGATGGGTATCGTGGCGCCAACGTGACCTTTTCCGGATTATTGAATGCCCTTGACGGAGTGGCCAGTGCCGAGGAGCGCATCATTTTTCTCACCACAAATCACGTCGAGCGACTTGACCCGGCACTGGTTCGACCGGGTCGGGTGGACATGACTGTCCGTCTCGGTGAAGTCACTCGCTACCAGGTGGGTTGCCTCTGGGATCGGTTTTACGGTGAACTCGACACCGAAGGTACCTATAAAAAGGTGTTCCTTGGTCGACTGCATGAGTTGGGTTTGATTGAAGACGAACATGGGCGGAAACCCGATGGGTCCCGAACCACGAGTGCGGCCGCGTTGCAGGGGTTGTTCCTGTACAACAAGGACAACATGGAGGGCGCGATTGCGATGGCCGAAGGGCTTACATATAGCGTTTACGATGATTCTCATGAAGCGTGAGCCACGAAACCGTCGCTTGTACCATATTTGTATAGATCAGTTAGGCGTCCACTTTCCACCAAGGTATATATATCTACTTGGATTTCAATAGATTATTTCATTTCGCTTATGCATTCTATTATACTAAATGATCAGTTGCTCATCACTATAATAAACCCGCTGCTTGCTTTGAGAGGCTAGTCAAAACGACTGTCTATGTCTAGATACCTAGTTCTGCTTTTCGCCCAGACTGGCCTAACCGAGCTCACTGGGGCTGTACCTGTCTTCTTTCTTTTTTAATTGGTAGGTGTAAATATTCCAAACAGCAGGGAGATTAAACAAACTTCTTATCACACCGATCTTACTATTTCAGGGTCCTAGAGGCATAGACGCAAGGCGGACTATGCGGGGAATATTCCTCCCAACCACGAATCACGACGAATATGCTTTGCTATCACAGCTCCCGACATGAAGGATCACGAGTAAAGATTCTCACAAGAGCCTTTCTGTTTCTTCATTGGCTGTTGAATATCGAATTTCGCAAGTAAGGACTATACAAAGCGTTTATTGGTTTAATAGGACTAACCAGATGACCATCTCCCCATAGATAGCGATATCTTCAACTTCTTCACGACAACCCGCGGGGAGAAGAATCCGATCCTTCGCATCTCAGCGTCTCGAACCAGCAAATGAGAGCCTCAGTTTGTTTACCGAAGCGCTGTCACTGATGTCAGGCTGCCTGCGCGCCCAGGAACCGAGCCTCCCATTCGGCCAGCGAGAGGTCGAAATTAGCCGCCGAGTTCAATACCCCGTCCTTCATGCACCACGATCCCTGTTCTTCACACTACTGTGAGCCTCTCATAGCTCAGATCCTTGACGCCTTTGTGCAGTCCCTCCTGCTGAAGTTTTCGACACCATGGAGGTCGGTTGGAAGGAGGGGTATATGTCACTGCGGTCTTGCTGGTGATGGTGGTTGTGATGTCCTTTCTTCTCGGTTCTTCACCAACCTCAAATCAAATCAATGGTTTTCGGGAGAATTGGGTTCCATCTCGATTGAAAGGGCATCATGAGTCAATTTCAACTCTTCCCTCCTGCTTCTCCGGCCAAAGTCGCCAAGAATCCGTTTCGACGGGGAAACAAGAAGCCTATCGCGAACCCCGTGTCTGGGGCTTCGATCCCTCTGGATGAATTTAATGGGAAGGACAGCGGAGCTGAAGCCGTGTTCGTTGCAATTACTGAAGGCAAGAATAACGTCTCGCCGCCTCCTGAAACCCAGATTTCTCGCCCAGTGACCGCGTTTACTCCTGAATCCGTACATGCGCCCCGGCCATCAGGGTCGCAACCCAGACCGAGTCAACAAGACAAACCACGACATGATGTCCCGTCATTTGAAGACTTCAAATCAGTGACACATAGCGAAGACGATGTGTCCTCCTACTCTCAGAAGACTTTGCCGAAACCAGGCTCCCCAGGGAACCCTATACGGTCGATGTTTCCACGCTATAATCCAGATCTGCCGCTCAATCAGCAACAGTACTATCCGCAGACTGTGAATAGGCCCACTCGGTCAACTTCAAGACCCAAAAACCTTACGCTCTCGCCAGCGTCGGAAATCGACCGGAGTCTGGGACCCAAAACGGTTCCTGCGAGTGTGCTGAACTTCCCAATGAGTATGCTTGAGCCGGCGGAGGTACAGTACTCTTCTTCGGAAGAACTCAACAGCCTTTGGGATGCTGCCAATGGCCAGAGACCACAGAACATCAAACCGTTCAATCTTCATATGACACGGTGGGTACTGCGACGGCCATCCCCAAGTTCCTGGACACTAACTTGAGCAGGGCCAATTCAGCGACGTTTCTATTCGGCGATCCAGAACGACCATTCTACACGATGCAAACGTTCTCGACCAACGAAATGTCCGTCACCAGATCGAACCCATCGCGCCCAAACAGCAATATCCCCGTCATGATGTTGAAGATTGAAGACCGCCAGCGACGCAAACCTCCCAACGACGGGCTCGTATCGCTGCTTTTTTCCCGGCTGGCCGCAATGCTAGCCATCGACCAGGCCGAGGAATCAGCAAAGGCGCGCAGACTAAACCCCACAGAGGCTGCAGAACTAGAAGCCCACGCGCTCCGGCGTGCAGCAGCCCAGGAGTCCTGCAGACTGTCGTGGAATTCCGACAAGCAAGTCTACGAACTCTACCACCCGTCGCTCAGCAAGCCCCCGCCCCCGGCTTTGGTCGGCGCAGCTGGAATTCCCCTCTCGCCCATGCGATCGAGGTACGCTGGCATTCTTCACATCACCGTTTCGACGCCGTCAAATGACTCGAAACACCACCAGCAACCACCCGTCATTCTCGTGACCACCCCACTCCCGGCCAATTCAGCGGAGACAGGGAACATGGCGGCGACGCCACGCACGTCGACACTGCCTCTGACAGACGCGGATGAGCCTCTGGTGTCGCTGGACCTCGGCACCATGTCTCTTTCCATCTCGGCCGCCGCGATCATCGCGACGGTCCCCTCCCTGTACGCGATCGACTCGCTGGTGACCGCCATGTTGGCCGTGGCGATCTCAGACGAGACGACCAACCCCGTTTTGGCTGACATGGAGCTGTATGACCCCCACAAGGCATCAAATATCCAGTCTCCAGCCTCAGAACCAGGCACACTGTACAAAGGAAAGTTAGTCGCAACGCTCGCAGAGCGGGAGGACGCCCTCGAAGGCAGCGACCTCGTGTCCCAGGTGAAAGCTCAACAATCAGAGAACGCAAGCGGACAAAAGAAGTGGTTTCACCCCTGGAGCCGGTCATCGAAACCCACGAAGCCGCAGCCAAAGAACCAGAAGGTCGTAGTCGAGGAATTCGACCTGGAAAAATACGGCCGATTCGGACAGGGGTCTTCGCGGCAAGGAGAGAAGCTGCCGGGCGTCACGCGGGGCATTCTACGGATTCTGTTTTTCGCTTTAGATTTGATTGTGCGGGGACTTACTATGGTTGTTAAGATTGTCGCGTGGTTGTTGGTTTCTCTCACGAGGTGTTTTACGAGTGAGAAATTCTAATATGTGGATTGGCTGGTGGGTTGGTTTCCATGCCTGCCATGCCTGCCCTGGCGGCGATGATGCTGTCGCGTACGAGGTTTGACGATTGTTTACGATTATGATGTTTATTTGGACTTACGCCTTTTGTAATGTTGGGTCGGACGGAGTTTGTGCGGGCCACATACTGTTGACCGGCTATGAGATATCCAGCAATTGACACGATTTCATCACGCGATGTGACTTCCCTCCCTGTCCGCCTGATAGAGACAACAAGCAGTCACGCGAGCTACTACAGATATCTCGCGCAAAGAACCCACTGCTCTATCCACGGCAACCGGTGAACTTGTTTCAGAGGACTCAACCACAAAATGGCGTTGTATCCAACATTCCAAAGACACGCCCTCCTTACTTCCACCGTGGCGAATGCTGGGGGTGTCCCGGATGGCTGATTTTGAGGATTCCAAACCGGTTTGTGCGGAGAATAACGAGGTAGGGCTGTTGACTTGCTCGGAGATTTAAGTCCACAGAGAGACAAATTCTGAGGTGGTCGACGAATGATGATCGCAGAGAGGGCCCTACCTGGACAGGAGTACCTACTTTGCACATTCCAGTCTTCATTCTGTTTACCTGGGAGCTACCAATCGTCTTGGGGGGCTCTGAGGGCCGGTGCGCCCCAAGGGATGAGACCTGCACTGTAGATATTGTATTAAATGGCTCGCGTTTCAGTTCATTTTTTCCTCTCGATACGCTTCACTCTCGACACTCGTTGAATTCGACCACCGACTTATACGATCTTTACCAGCTCCTACTTGTTTCACTCTTTTATACGCCTTTCGTGGTGACAATCCACCATCGGCTTCAACCCTATCTCCTGATTATACTAACAAGATATCAAAATGCGTGCCACTGCAAGCATTGCAGTCCTCACCGCGGGCCTCGCCAGCCTGGCTGCATCGCAGAGCTTCGACAACTACGACCGCTGTGCCGTAAGTGGCCTCCACCTTCCCTTCCCTTGCACAATCAACAAGGAGAAGAAGAGATAACCCCATGGTATAAAAAAAAACAACAACTAACCCATGCAGGACGCCGTCTTCAACGACCCCAACCTCGGCACCTGCGCCTCCAACCCCGGAACGTCCGGTCTAGCCTGCTTCTGCACGTCCGATATCACAGGCTACGACCTCACCGACGCGACTATCGCCCTCTGTGCTCGCAACCACTTCCGTATGCTCTCCACCACCTTCCATACCCTATACCAAGACACAGCAATCTAGTGACAATACTGACCACCTTCGTGCTCAAAACAGCCGTTGAATCCCTCAAATCCCTAATCTGCAACCCCAACACCCAAATCTCAACCTCAGACCGCAAACACAGCAGCAGCCCCATGGTCCGCATCGCCAACGACGCGCACCAAGCTCGCGCCCTTCCCGAACCAACCACTGCCACAGACACCGACACCAGCGCCGACACCGAAACCCCCCAAGAAAACGCCCACAGCGTAATCTACCAAGTCATCACCGTAACCAGCGCAAGCTGCGACTGCCAGTCGACACCAGGCCCTGCGACAGCAACGGCTGCTGCTGCGGCAGTCAAGCCAAGCCACGCTTACAGCGGCGTCTCGCCCCAGCATGGCTCCGCCGCGGCCCAAAGCAGCAGCGCCAGCGACATCCTGGTCCATGCGACGCCGTCGACGAGTGCTACTGGTGCGAGCGGGTCTGAGAAGGTGGTGGCCACTTCGTCGGCGATTATGCCGAGTGGGACGGATAGTAGTGATGGGGAGGGGGAGCAGCATGGGATTTTGTTTCAGGGGGGTGCTGAGAGGGGGGTGAGGTCGTCGGTTGGGGCGGTGCTTGGGGGGTTGGTTGTTGGTGTTTTGGGGGTTGTTGTTTAGACCTCCCCGGTTACCCTCTTGGGTCATTTCCATTGGTGCTTTTCACTCTTTTTGACTTTTGATTAGTGAGGTCTTGTCTGTTGTCTGTTGTCTTGTGTCGACTGCTTGATTTGATGATTTACGGTATGGCTTGTCTTGATCTGATTTGTTGGCTCAAATGATCGGGCTCGTTTATGTCTGTTAGTTGATGCCGGTATGGTTGATGAACTTGTTTCGCTTGATCTTCCCATCTACTGTTACGATGCTAGCATGTTTGAACAATGAAATAGTATTAATAGTGGTTATCCACGAATATCAAGATATTAAATGACATGATCTATTTTATCTCCCAACTAATCATACAGCGGTATCTGTGTATACCTTATTCCACTCCACATGATCACAAAAATATAAAAATCAAGTGTGCACCGCCTGCTGCACCTTTGGATATAAATGCACCAACCGATAATACAAATCCGGATGATCACTGATCATGACCTGCGGGTCCCACCCCATAGAGACAAAGATGGTCTCAATGCCACTCCCCACAGGCGTCATGAAAATCTGGCATATCTGCAGCCCAATCACGAACGCAAACGCCATGATCACAGCAGTGAAGTTGCCGTCGGTGTTGTAGGCGGGCTTCGTGAACTGCAGATACAGGTACGCGAGCAACGCACACAGATACGAGACGAAGACGGAGCCCATGGTGAGCACCGGCCCGATCAGACAGTCCTGTACGAGGGCATCTAAACCGCGATCTTTCATCATGGTCCAGGTGTCCTTCGCGGAGGGGATGTAAGCCTTTCCGTAGAGCGCGATGTGGCAGAATGCGTAGCGGTTGAAGAGCGTGACGAGCCAGTCGAGCAGGGCGATGAAGCACCCCAAGATCCAGAACATGATGCTGCCGACCATGCTGCCCTGCGCAGCTTCCTGGCGCTGGGCGATCGAGCAAGCCTGCCGCAGCATGTTGATGAACGCGATGATAAGGCTGCCGAAGCTGATGCTGCCGAAGGAGTAGGTCGTTGCGCGTTTGAAGGCGCCTCGCGTCGCGCCCTTCGGCATCCCGCTCGGCGAGTTGCTGAAGTAGTACCACGAGCCGTAGACGCCTGCGATCGTCGTGTGCACGGTGTTCTTGATCCACTCGCTGACCCAGTACATGGCGAAGGTTACATAGACGACGAGGCCGATGACGCGCGCGCGGCTGCACCCGCCGCTGGCGCCTTTGGGGCAGGACGGGTTGTCGCCTGTGCCGCTGGGCTCGTAGGCGACGTAGATGGAGACGAGGGTTACGGAGAACCAGGCGGCGAAGGCCGTGGCGACGATGCCGCCGAGGGCGCTGACGATGAACATGTGTCCGTACTTGCGGGAGACGTCGATGGCGGTCTCGAGCATAAACGCTGTGAAGGGGATGCGCGGGATCCAGCTGATGAAGCAGATTATAGCAAAGACGCCGAATATGAGGAATACAATGCCGCCGCCGTATTGCTTGCGCACGATGTAGTAGATCCCTGTTCCGAGGGCGAAGACGATGTTTAGGATGCCTGTCGCCCAGATGAAGAACTTGGGGAAGTAGCGGGCTCCGAGGAAGTATGCGTATGAGAATGCGAGCGCCACGCAGAGGACGAATATGAATAGCACGAGCGTGTTCGTGTCGAGGGAGAAGTTGTTGGCCGAATCGTATATGCCTCCGCCGTTGAATCCTTTGTATTTCGAGTATCGGTAGATGGCCACGCCGGAGACCGCTACGTAGCCGAGAAAGACCGCAATGAACTGTATTTGTGAGCAATCCTGCCTAACAGGGCGTGCGTATAGCTATAGCCCCATGAATCGGGTTCGCGCCTACCAAGAGACCGGCCCAGATATCGTGAAACTTGGGCTTTTCGATCTTGAACGCTTCGTCGAACCCGTAGACCGCCTGATTATAGGTCGGCGGAGGGCCTTGCGGTGGTGGCTTAGGTTCCGGGGCCGCTCGTGGGTCCTGATACTGATAGGAATTCTGATCGCCCACGGGAGCATTGCTGCCACTCGCGGTCTGGTTGTAGACGGGCTGTTGCGGCTGCTGGTACTGGCCGTCCGCGTAGTTCGGGCCAGAATTGTAGTAACTCGCCGCCTGTCCACTCATGGCTGCATGTGTGGAAACTATCGACGGCTACAGATGGGGTAGCCGATCGGGACAGAAGGGGAGGGGACAGAGGGGGAAGTGATAAATCAACACGAGGGCCACAGGGAGAGAATGAAGGGAGACAAACAAAGCGGGAGGAACAGGAACAGAAGCAGAGGATTTTTGAAAAGTCGTGCTAACCCCGGCCGAACCAACTGAATCATGCAGCAAGGGGAGTGGAGACCTGCATGATGTTATGATATCCCTTTCCAGCGAATGTAAGAACGCAGGAAACAGTCACCGCCGGGCGATGAGTCATGATGATGGCCGACAAAGCAGCCTCGGAAAGTCAATTTGGACCTCGGCTCTGGCATAGGGCTGTAAGATCGAGGAACCTAAAAGGATGGAAGATTAATTTGTTTCGAGGGTACATGGACGGATCATCAAGCATTGGAGGTTTCTTCCGAAAAACGCGACTCCTCGCTCGGTGGTTAAAACTGCGCGGAGATCTCCCTCTTTTCCTGTTCCAGTCTGGGCCAAGGGATGAAAGGCGGACCCGGTTCAGGAACCACTGGGTAAACAATCGGATCTATTGAGGTTGGCATAGCCAGGGCTCTTAATGTCTAGAAAACAGAGAAACGAAAAGCAAAGTCCAAAGGAGTGAACATTATCGGGGTATCATTGGAAATCATTAAATAGAAACAAAAAAAGAATAGAACATGCCGGTGATCAATCACCTAAATGCATGGTGTTTCATGTGTCGCCAGGAATCGACAAAGCTGCGCTCCACTTCCTGGATCGGGGTCCTGGCCCGATTCGTCCGCCATTCATCCGTCGCCGCTTGGAGATGGCCTTTACTGAAAGCCTGCGATCGTCGAAGCTTCTCCTGCCGCACTGCCGCTCGGCGCGAGTTGCGGAGTTCGTCGATACGACCCTGGCCAAACCGGTGGCGTCGCACGAAACAATCGTCCACCAGGGTGTTGGCATCCAGAAGTCTCTTGGGGACCGCCTGGACCACCTGGAAGACCTCCATCGGGTCGGAGACTGCCAGGATGTCCTTCTCACAGGCCTTGAAGATGGCCAAAGCCACGCGGAAGAACGTTTTGGACCCTTCGTAGAAGAAGACATCCCAGACACGCAGGGTCGTCTCAACGGGCAAGGTCCCGATGAAGACCGACATGAGCCAGTTGGTCAAGCCCAGTGTAATGTCTGGCAAGCGGGAGCTCACCGTGAGTGGTGGCGGGGCCTTGTGCCGTCCCGGCTGGGACCCAGTGATCTTGTTGTAGATCTGGGGCGCCGAATCTCTCAGGAGGACCATCAGGATCCAGAGGTCGATATTGGCCCCCTCGAGACTGATCTCGTGGGTGCCGGGGAGGTAGACGGAGGTGATGATGTGCAGCATCCAGAAGGCCTTCTCCTCGGGAAGGAACAGAAGCAGCATCCCCGTGATGAAGTTGAGAGACTGCGTGTAGCCCACCTGGGGACTGTGGAGCGCGAAGGCGTAGAGCACTCGGCGGAGCGATTGGATCATCTCGGTCTCAACCGTCACCGATCCATGTCCCGGGTTGCCGCCACCCGCGGAGTCGGCGGATTCGGGTTTGAAATGGACGTTGTCCGGGAAGGTCCGGTGCAGATCGCGCTCGATGTGCTCCTTGTCATCGTTGGTGGGGGATCCCATGGTCTGTTCCACCAGCCGGTCGTACACGCCGGGGTTCTCCTGCAGCAGGTCGTACCCGCCCGCATAGAAGAACCACGCTGCCCCACGATGCTCCGGAGGGATCCCTTTGCGCACAAACCGCTTGACCTTGTTGCACTTGGGCGGGAAGATGGTCGGGTCATTGGTGGGCAATCCATGGCCACGGAGCAGTTCCGCCCACTTGACTCGATGGGCCGCCATGGATTCGGCATACGGTCCATTCCACGCTTCATACATTTGCGCAGTGACGTGATGGCTCGTTTTCCGAAACCCATAGCGGTCTCGGCTCTCGGTGCCCATCACCAAGGGGGGTGGCACGCTGCCGGGGATTACCACCGTTTGGGGCGCTTGCTCGCTGGCACGAGGGGGGTCGATACCACGCGCATCCAAAGATTCCTCCTGCGGCTTCGTGTCCGAGTTGGTCTCGCCCAAAAACTGCTCTTCCTGGGGGCTTCGGTCGGGTGCACCCGCCTCGGGAAACGGTGGGAGTGAGGGCAGATCCTTGTCGCTGGCAGCAGCTTCCTCCGCCGGACGCAGGTCGTCAAGAGAGATCTCTGCGGGTGGACTCCACGGTCGTTGCTTGGGTTCGCCATACAAGTCGGGGGAGCCCGGCTCTTCCGTAACATCACTGAACCCATCCAGGTACATGGAGATAGCATCTTCGACGCTCATTCCTTCGTCCTTCTCAAACGGCCCGCCGGGCGTATCGGGAGACAAGTCGGTCAACGAGCTGCTCTTGGTGAGGACACTGCTCCTTTCCGTGCTACTATTGTGTTCGAAGCTGGACTGGGACGTCATGGCCGAATTCACACTCGACCGCAACGGACTATCGGCGTGGGCGTCGGGAGACCCATTGGGGATCGATCGAGGCAACAGACCCTGATCGTTGGGCGGTTTGGGGCGCTTCCCTCTCAATTTCGACGAGGACATGGACGTCCGCAGCCTCGGTTGACGGGGGGGCGTTTTGCGGTGGGCGGGGGGTTCGAGGGAGCGGTCCCTGCCGGGATAGTTGGGGCGACGGTCGTGGGGGGCCACGGGGAAGGGCGGGGCCCGATATGTCGGCATCCGCCCAGCACGGTCACCCCCGACCCCCACCTGGGGGGACACTGGGCGTGAGAACGGATCATCCGGGAACCTGGGTGGAGGAGGGTGTCGGCGAGGGGATCGAGGGGCCGGAGGTCGACGGTGAGCAGGGGGTCGCCGCGGCGCGTCGGCGGTCGAGGGGCGTGTCGGCGAGGGAGGATTGATCCTCAACGGATCGAGGCGGGGCGGATTAGGGATCTTGCGACGGCTCGGGATATCATGTTGTGCCGAACGAGGCGGATATCGAAACTCTCCATTTTCTGTGACCATGGCCACGGTGTAGTAGAAGCCAGTTCCCGCTGGACATTTGTTGACAAGATCAAAAGGATGGAAAGTGAACCGGACGCGAATCCACGAGGAGGGCGGATTCGACTTGGGGCGTTCGACTCAGGGGAGGGTAGAGGTGATCGGTTGGTTTCAATCAGGAGAGCCCGTGAGAGATCGATGAAGGGGAACAAAAGAGAGTAGAAAAAGCAATCGGCACAGGGGGGGCGCAGTCAGCAGTCGGTTGGCAAACGAGTGAGGAGGCAAAAAAGTGAGGTCAAAACTAGCCGACCTAATCGGGATGCAGGTTGATCAAACGAGTGACGGGGAGGATAGATAATATAATAAACGAGTGGTGTAATATAACGGATCATGCAATCAGCCCCAGCATCTAGATCTCTCACAACCCTACCAGAGGTTCAAACGGGTACCCATTCTGAGAACAGAAGGAAAAGAAGAGAAGATGTAAGAAGGAGACAGGGAGAATGAGAGGGGAGAGAAGAGGAGAAAAGAAGGGACTGAAGAAGCGACCCGAGAAGCCCTAGAATGTTGGGAAATAATAATTCCCATAACATAAATGGGATAAAATAAAACAAATTAATATGAAAATAAAAGTCAAATAAATAAAAACAACTAAGGAAAACTAAACTAAAATTAAAATCCAATCCAGATCAAATCAAAGACGAGAAAGACACGAAAATGGCCCATCAAGACGCGGAAGAGAAAAGCCGACGTGGAAAAAGGGGAAAAATTGATGGGAGCTCCAGTGCTCTTTCCGGTTAGTTGGACCCGTTAATAAATATAAATAAAAAAAAAAAAAAAAAACATATATAGAATAATCGTAATAATAAGGAAAAGAAATAAATAAACAGAAGGATCAAATTGATTGTCTTGTTGTCTTATTAGAGGTCTTATTCTCATCCTCCCTTTCTACGTCGTTTCTCCAGTATGATTTCGTTCTCTCCCTCCCAATCTGGAGGTCTGGCAGTCGATCGACGTTGGGGACCAGCACAGTTTCAGAATAATCAAATGTCCACCGCAATGAATGGGATTGTATTTCCATCCCCAGTCTGTTCAATCCCATATCATATCCTATCCCTTCATTGATCGGGTTACACAGCAACCGACTCAGGAATGTAGCCATGCCTCCATGCAGGTCAAGAATCATATCATTCATCTGTTTTATGACAGGTCAACCATCCTGCGCGTCAATTGCGGGCGACACCTGTCGTCATAGTGCCATATGTATGCAGGACGGTCGGGCGGAAGGAAACCTGCATCCAGCAGACCCGACGCAGAAAACTTGATATCGACATTCAACAATCATACATCCTATGTAGTATGTCATTGTTCTCCGTAGTATTATGTACTTTGAAGATCTTTGAAACTGGAAAAGTGAGAAACGAGTCAGAAGGTCAGCCGATCATAACAAACCGGTTTCCAATCGGGATCGCAGTTGGGCCTCGTCTGGCTCCACCGTCGGAAGCGCCCAAGAATCCGGTCGGACTCGTAACGCTCGTCTCGTTACTGGTCACTCGTCCCCTCTAATCCCGGGAGACATCCTTCTGTCTCCGAGTCTTGTTCGCTGTGAGTCAACGGTTGAACGGGTTGACCGGTTCTTATTAGACAGCCGATCGTTCCTGGGGGAAGATGAGAAGGGTGTCCAAAAAATCCACTGTCCAGTGTCCACTCCACGGGATGCCCTCCGTACTCGTCGCCTTGGCCGGCTGCCCCACAGTGCTAAGGCCGGTGGGTCAGCGACTGGCGACAGGTACGGCGGTTACTTCCTTCGGACCCTTGGTCCGAATGCCCTGGCAAGTAGATTAGTAGAAGGATGCAAATGTACCCTTGCGTCATTGGGGTGTGATTCGCCAACCGACTGGCGAAGTCGATGGTGCTTCAATAAGGCAACTGAGGCTGAGATAGTATGGAACCGAGGTCGCAAGAGCAATCAATGAGAGTCAGCACGTCGTCTTTCTGACTGGATGGTCTGAAGGGTGCCTGCTCTGACCCTGGCCCTAGTCCCATCGTATATGCGGACTCTGTATGAGTCAAAGCTCGTGGTGGCATGGATCTCTTTGTTTCTTTGGTAAACGATCCCTGATTCCTCTTCGCGGTCATCGCAGACACGAATATGCGCATCAATATATCTTAGTTTGAGGGGAGATGCCTTTCTCGTCAGTGCCATTCCAATCCCGCCCGAGGCGCTGAATAGTCCAGTCGGGGTCCGTAAAGGGAAGTTCAGTCCCTACAATATCGCTCCGCCACCCCGCTTCATGGCCAGCCTGACGTGTCTCGTACGGTATAACGCTTCGGCTCAGCCATCTTTCTGCGACTCCTCTTTTTAAAACAACGGAAACAGCACGAGGGTCTCCCGTGTGAGACAGCTTGCGACTTAAACCCCCTTTCCGATCATCATGCGTGGCACCGGTTCCATGCCCATCGGCTATCGATGGCGCTCATCCAAGTGGTTCATCATTGGGACAATCTGCATCGCTCTGTTCGCGGGTTCGTCAGCTGTCAGCATCTAAAACCAAGGGCTAATCGGGCAAGTTAGACACCTTCCTCTATGCCTTCCTGGTTCCCATTTTGGGCTACATGTTCGAGACCCGTCTCCATAAAGACTTCTCCGAACTCCAGTGGTATACGTCGGCCATCCTTGCCCTCCATGGCTACATCTGCGCGCTCTCTGCGGTCTTCATCGGCCATTTTGCCGACAAGTCCGCCAACCGCAAAACGCCCCTGGTGATCTCGCTCATCGGGTGCATCATCGGCACGTTTATGATCGCCTGGTGCAGTTCCCTCACCGTTCTCTTCGCGGGTCGCGTCTTGCAAGGGGTCGCGGGGTCCGTCGTCTGGATCGTCGGCCTCGCGACCATAGCAGACACCGTCGAGCAGGATGCTATCGGCACGTCCATGGGCTTTGCCATGTCCTTCGTCAACGCCGGCATGATTAGCGGACCCATGACCGCGGGGCTGCTGCTGGAGCTGGTGGGATACTGGGCGACATGGTCCGTCCCGTTGTTGGTCTTGGGCATCGACGTTGCCATGCGAATGGCGATGATTGAAACCCGGGAACCGCCCCCTTCAGCAGAAGAGACCGCGAGTCTTCTTCCCGACGCCCAGTCATCCTCTACTACGCCCACCACCACTACTACTCCCACTCCCACCCCAGAATCCAACTTCTGGTCCGTCATGCTCTGCGACAGCCGCCTGATCGTCGCGCTACTAGCCCAGATCACCAGCGTCTCCATCAGCGTAGGCTTCAGCGCGACGCTCCCCTTGCACGCCCAGCAGGTCTTCGGCTGGGGCACCTCCCTCGTCGGTGTCGCATTCGCCTATCTCACCGTCCCGGGTATAGTGTTTGCTCCCGTGTCCGGCTGGCTCCGCGATCGCGTCGGCATCCGCGTCCCCTCCGCCATCGGGTTCATCGTCCAAGGGATCCTCCTATCCTTTCTAGGCATGGTGGGAGACGACCGCTTTCCTTGGACCGGGGGACGGAAGCACGGCCCTGCGCTGTACGCCGCAACTCTCGTTGCTCTCGGAATTGTACGGCCTTTTGGGTCTGGTGTTGCAACTCTTGAAGCCACTGGTTCGTATAACCCATACTCCGGCCTCACCTATACTTCGTCCCCGAAGAAACAAACAAAGTCTAACACAGGCACCTACCTACAGCGGTAGTCAAAGAGTACGAAGAAAAACAACCCGGGATATTCGGCCCCGCGGGCGGGCTTTCGCGCGTGATGTCCATGGTGGAAATCGCAGCCTGTCTGGGCTTGGCGTTCGGGCCTAGCGTCGCGGGGTATCTTGTCGAGACAATGGATTATGCTGTTATGAACTGGTTCTGGTGTGAGTTCTAAATCAGTCTGTTCTAATTGTTTGTTATTGTTTATTAACTAGTATGATAGGTGCGGCGTGTTTGGTCATGGCTACTTTGATATACTGTTTTCTGGGGACTACACAGGTGGATGGGCATGTCGATGGACAGTGTGTTGATGGGCAAAGGCAGGATGAGTGACTGTGATGGTGTCTTGGTAGTGATTATCCTCCCTACCATCACAGTTGGAAGTATATACGAGCGGTGGTAGGAGACTTCAGGTCAATTATATAAAAGCTGCCCATATCATCAATTTCACCAAGTCGCAGCACACATGGATCCACAACCGAAGCCATATTCCACCCAAACCCACATTCTTAGACTGGGGGACCAACAATACAGTAAATATAAATTAGAAAGTGGATAAAACCACCGCACCATGGTTCGCACCCGCACCCAGCCCAGCCCAGCCTAGCCATCCCCCACATCCACACCCACAATGAAGTTATGAACTCCATGGTTCGAATCAGCCACATATAATCAACCCGAGTCGAGAATCATGTAGTAGTGTTACCCCAACGCAACTATGCCTGTGTCTGCGGACTGCCCCGCGATGCAAGGGTGAACACCACCGCCACTATATCTAATTTCACTGCATCCAAGGGAGGGAAGTCCCTAGGTAGGGGGTTTCAAGGGAGAAGAGGGGTAAGTTTCATCTTTGTTCACATGACAGGAAGAAAAGACCCTGTCTTTGACCCTTGCAGAGAGATGTGTGGAGAGAAGGGGTGGAGTGTGGGGGAGGGGGAGGGGGAGGGAGGGGGTATCTTGCTGCAGATGGATGTTGATTGAAACAAGGCGCGAGGGACAATCTGAGAGTGCACGGGATGTTGTAGATTTTCTTATCTAGTAATATCGATCTTTGGTCTTCGAGATTTCTGGGTGGGGTTAAATCTGTTATTTTGGGGGGTTGTTCGGGATTGAGAATAGTTACTGTTTTATCGTGATAGTGGGGTTGGATTTATGGGGGTTTCTTTCAATAGAATTCTATGATTATACAACTTTTATGATAGTGTCTAAGAAGATAAGATCAGTAGTCAATCATGTAGAATATTATTGAACTTATCGAACAATATCTTTGGGATGACTTTGTCAACCACGAGTTGTGCGGCATAAATATATATATATGTAGTAGTTCTTAAAGATCTTTTACCAGGTCTTATGTTAATGAGGATCGTAGACTATGATCAACAACGTATAGATCAAATTAAACTGATGGTTTACCCCGCAGATGCAAACAAAGAATCCTTGTGGAATATCTTTCCACTATGGAGTATGCGGTAAGTATAGGAAGATCTCGGATAGAGACCCGACGAACTGTGAAAGTGTAGGTTTTATATTCTTGGTAAGTGTATTTAAACACGCCCGTGGTGGTATATCTTGATAGTTCGACGAATGGGAAAGATTATAGAAATATATCCAGGTGACAAGCATATGTATATATCTGCGCACCCGTCATAAGGAGTCATCTCGGATTCATCTTGCTCTATTCTCTTGGGCCAACTCCCCTAGCTGTACAGAGGGAATGTAATAAGGAAGGAAAAAAGACAAAAGAGGTACAAATAACATAGTCCATCGCGTTGTATCATGTACCAAGTAACCCACATGCGATCGGTATCCATTCGAAGCTCCGTCGTCAAGAGAGGTGACACTGGACGTGAGGAGTCGGGTTTCTCTACTCTTTCCCTTTGTCCCTCATCCAACCACAAGAAGACTTTAACGGATCCTTTCTCATGAATCCAACCGCAGCGCCTGTATCATAACGAACAGCCAACAACACCCACCCTACGCCATCGCGTACTTTCTCGTCCACTCCTTCGCAAGCTCATCATACCGGGCGCGGTCATTCTTGTACTGCTCCGCGATGCGGCCCTCCACCGCATCATCCGGCATGGGCTCCACAAGCAGTTGTCGCGCGAACTGCAGCACGGCAGCGATCTTCGAGCTCGGCTTCCACTCGTCGGGTCGCAGCATCCCCAGACACATGCTCCCCTTGTCATCGTTCGTCACGTTGGGGTGGTAGATCTTGGTTCCGAACGATACGGCGGGCGGCTTGAACGGGTACTCGGTGGGGAGTTTCAGCTTGACGAGGAAGTTTCCATTCTGTATTGCCGGTCGAAGTTAGCGCTCGCTTGGACAGTCTATCACTCAAACGGGGCTCAATACAGTAGGAGCGCTGTGGTGAGGTAGGGTGTAATACCTGGAATGAAGACCCCTCTGGCCCTTCCATGTAGACATTCCACTGGTAGAGATCGGATTCGTCTGCCAATTCCACTTTGATGCCTTCCGGGGGCGATTCGACGAGCTCGGCCAATTCCTAGTGGGGCGGGAGTCAGCCAGTTCCTCTCAGGTAACAGAAGACGTTGCAAGAAGGGTTGGAGATTCCATACTTTTGCGATTCTCTTTTGACTCATTGTGATTTCTTCACGACCGACTCGCGGTGGAGGGGGTTAATTCTGACCGTAGGGCGCTTAAAACGGAACGTGGGGTGAGGGGTCTTCGAGACCGCACGGTGTTGAGGTTGGCGGGATGTGACCTGATGAGGGAGAAACGTAAGACCCGAAACGCACCACGGATGTAGCAGAATCAGAGAGACAATCGATGAAATATCAAAAGGTGACAGATCAGGGGAAATCGAAGTCAGCCTTGGATTACGGGGATCGTCTCGTGACAACAGCTGGACGCGGCGGCGGCGGGGCCGCGCTGGAGGTCGGGCGGGGCGGAGATCGGGCCGGGCAGGAAGATGTCAGTTGTCCGTTTCGGGTGGATTACTTGAGTTAACAAAGCGAATCAAGTTGAAACTATCATACGAAAAAAATAAAACTAAATATGAAAACAAAAAGGAATCGCTGGAAGACGGATACTACAACCGATGATGGTTGCGGCCAAATTGCCACCCATGGACCGCGCTTACTCTCCAAGGGAGAGCACCTTCTGTATACCATGCACTAGACCTTATTATGGAAGCAACTTATGAACTTCAGGCGAAATCCCCCGCAGAGATTCTACAAATTGAAGCGACGAGTATTGAACTCGCCGTTCAGCATAAAAACATCCGCAACAATCATATATTGTGTCCGTAGAATCGCCAAAAAAAACTAAGTCAAACACCGAAAGATTGTCCTATATTCTGGACCCCTTGATCATTCCCGTTGCATAATGACCGTCAACCCCATTATCCCCAGAAGAACCGTCTTCAACCAGGGGTGTTCGCTGAGCATGATCGTCACGTAGCCCACGCTGGGTATATACCCGCGCACACTCCCGACAATATCCTCCCGACGGTCCAAGTAGTCCTGGCCCCTCGCATACAGTTCGGTATCGTCGGCGATGTTGTTATCGCCCTTGGTGAGGAGCATGTCGTTTGAAGGCGCGGAAGAGCTAGACAAGTTGGAAGTGTCAGACGGTCGTTGCCAGCTAATGAATTCGCACAAAGGAGGACAATGAAAAGACACAAAGGGACATACTCTGAAGGCTCCACGACCCTCTTCGTTTTGCTGTCCACCTCCGGGAACGTCCTCACAACGCGATGCACGATCGGAATATCCTTGCCCTTGACATTGTACACCACGACCTCACCCAGCTCGGCGCGGGGGCTGCGGTTCCACAGGAAGAGAAGATCGCCTCTTTGGAAAGCGGGTTCCATGGATCCTGAAAGGACTGTTGCGAGATATCTCATCAGCTATTTGTCCCTCGAGATCGGTTTTCGCGAGACAAGGACGACTCACCCACGACGATGGGAGAACTGGACGCTGTCGCGATCGACAGGCCCTTCCATAGCATGAATGCCGTGGATAGCACCAGCGCGAAGTTGAGGACCTGCGTCAGCGTCTGACGCGCACTCGTTAAATTGGAGGACAGGCCGGACAGCATGACGGCGATGGATTCGAGATTGGTTTGCGGAGGAAGCTTCGGAGGTAGTGCGGAGAGTGAGATGGACTGGTTAGGTGGGTGGAGCTCGGGAAAAACGAAAACAAGGGCCAAATCCACTGATCAGTGATTGCGATGTTTGAAGTGACGGACGACAAGCACTATTATCTTGTGGTCGATCGACTTGTGGGGTGCCGGTCGCAGTTTGTTCTGCTGGAATCGCAGATGAAAGGGCGAGGTGTCCTTCCTGGAAGGTGAGCTAGAAGGCCATGTGGTTTCCCGCCTCGTTGTCTGCGGGCTTGGGTTCCGCCCTTCTCCACCATCTTTCGATCACTGCGGATGTTCTTTCTACTATGCAAAATCAAGTAAAATAAAGTAATAATTCTATTGCAAATCTATTTTAACATCAAGCACATATATCGCTGTCCTATACTTCATAAAACACAAGCAAAGCAAAGAAAAAAGAGCACAAAGGACAACGAAATGGCCGTTCAACGTGAATAGTATAATGTCAAGCCAAGTCCTGCCCACTTTCACACCTGGGTTGGACTGGAATTCCCAAGAGGCCGCTCATCTTCCCAGAACTTGTCTTTCTTCCCCTTTTTCGTGACAAGGCTGACCACATCGAAAGGATCGAAAAATGTCTGAAGAAAAGGGCGTTTATCCTCGTATCCGGGCCCCTCTAACTCCGTCACCCCGTCTCTCGCAAGGTATACCTTGTTCGAGCGGGGGAGCCACTGCATCGGATGGAGGATATTCAGCATTGTGGTATTCGAGAACATAATGCTAGTCTCAAAGACCCAGAAGAACCATTCGTTCTTCATGATCGGGTTGATGTTCTTGACATCGATGGTTGCCGTCATGAAGTACTCAACAGTCCGATAGACCGTGCGGATGGTGATAAGCGTGCAGCTGGCCAGCAGCACGGATAGAGCGCGTTTGACTTTGCTGTTCAGAACACCTGCGCGGCGGCAATTGAAGTAGAACTTGCCGGCCAGGGCGACAAACCCGGCCATGAGCGCCAGTTGGAGAATCAAGGCCGCTTTGAGCAATGACTTCCCCGTCTCTTTGGAACTTTCCGAGCTGCCCATGTTCGCCACACGTGCGGCGCCGTTTGCTGTGACGACCTCGATCACGATGGCTAGGGCCACGAAGGTGGTAAACACACGGCCGGGGTGGATCGGTGCATGGTATGGGATGTAATACAGAATGCGGCCCAAAGTGAGGAAGTTTGCGCTCTCGTAAACGGGCCTATACACGTTGTCAATAACTGATTAGACAATTTGCACAACATGTCTGATCACCTGGGGTGGGGAGTGAACTCACGGCGCTGCAAGCAGAAACACTGAACTGGCGATGTAGATGTTCAGGTTGTCCCACTCTCCGAAAGCCCCAATCGTGCGCAAGATGAACCCGACGGTAAACAGTAATGCCGACCACGGTAACAGGCCAGTCACCTTCCATGACTTGTACTTGCTGGAGATCTGATCAGCGATAATCATATGTTATAGGACCAACAATACATACTTGCATTGATAGCCATGGATGACGCCTGATATCACGAAAAGTATTGCGAATGCGATAGGTGCGCCCTTATTCGGCGCATAATACCAGAGGCTGCCCTCCTCTTCACGGCATTAGTACCATGATACTTCTCTCTATTCGTATGGGTTATGGGGTATACTTACGGTATGGTGACCGTTTTTCTAACATGACCTCGTGATGCCTTGCTGCTGGAGTCTAGGAACAAAGAAAAGGATAGTGAAAAGTATGTGATCGTCAAGGAGAGTTCTCACAAAAAAACAACCAAATAGATATTATCTAAACGGGTGGATTCTTATCCTAAGTTCGAGACAGATAGGCTCGAGTCCCAAGGCTCTTTATATACAATGAATCGTCTGAACCGTATCATCGTCAGCATGAACGTCCGCCGTTAGCGAAAACGAGCAACCCTAAATAGGAAAGGAGCGAAGCAGAAAAGAGAAACAAGCCTCCACCCGATGATACATGGGACATCCGCGATGTGGGTTCTTAGCTTCTGTGCTGACAGCACAGCCTTCCAGCGCAAGTACGGGGCCCATGGCTGGCTAGGGGCGCTGGGTTTTCCCCCAAAAGGTCGCTGACACTGCGCCACAAGCCACAGGATGGAATCACATCCCAGAAGATCGAATCGCCGAGATGTGCTATGGCCCAGAGCTAACCCCATTAGGAGAGCGCTTTTGAGGTGGAATCAGACAGGAACACATCGTACAGGTCTTCAGCTGTGGCTGGCCTGTTTGTGAGTAATCTCGGGCAAGGACCGAGTCATTCACCCAGTACTATTGGCTTCTAAGCGAATACGATCGGGCAGGGCTGAGCCACGCGATTCCTCAAAATCACCTGTCCTTCAACGGCTGAATGGCTCGTATTGCTAAAAAGGAGGCTAGCCTTCTGCTCAGCAAGACTAATGTTTTCACTGCCATAAACACCCCGAAAAGTGGTGCCTGATTGAAGTCGATGATAGACCATGGGTCAGATGCCATGAACATAAGGCGATAACCCCGGATTACCCTTTCGGGAAGGCGTTGTCGGGGTAACGACCCGCTAGCCCAAACGGGAAGACAACATTGCAGAAGGTGGTTGCTCCACGTTCCGATTGGGGCACATTTCATCATCCACTGTTAATTTCCTCTTCTCACGCGGTCTGGACTCGCGTTGAGATTCATATTCCGCCAAGTAGATCCCTGACGACACCTGTCACTCTCAGCCGGAGTGCATAAACAGCCATCATGAGCACGAAAACCCCGCCAGCGTCACTCTTCCAGGTGTACCTGCGCCTCCGTCCGCCCGGTCCACAACACCAAGATCACCAGACTGAGCGTTGCATGACTATCGATACCCCAGAAATTAGAGATTCCCAACAAGATGGCCAAGCTCCCAATGCTGGTCCGACCCATATCACGCTGCAACCGCCCAGCGACACCCGAAAACGCGCAGTCGAGAAGTTCGGATTCACCAAGGTCTTCGACGAGTCGGCGTCCCAGCTGAACGTGTTTGGAGAGACTGGAATAGACTCGTTGGTAAAAGGTGTGCTGCAGGAAGGGAGGGATGGCCTCATTGCGACCTTGGGGGTAACTGGGAGCGGCAAGGTACGAACTCAATCGAACGGAATGGCAGGAAGCATTGTCCTAACGATGGGCAGAGCCACACCATTTTGGGCTCAAAGACCCAGAGGGGACTCACTCAGATGAGTCTCGATGTGATCTTCAGGTCCCTGGAATCGACGATCAAGCCCCCCGACAACTCGATCAGTCCCTTTCTCCTAGCATCTGTCTCTGCCTCGGACCCTTCAGAAGCGCAGATATTCTCAGCCCAGACGTTCCTCGAAGCGGTATACACCGATCCGAGTGAACGTGGGCGAAATTCAAGGGCCCAAACCCCCATGAGCTCGGGCAGAGCTAACACCCCGATGACGGTATGGAAACCCTTCCCCCCGAACCCGTGGTCCCAAGACATTACCCCGTCAACACCCGGGAGATCCCCCGACCGTGCCCATGGGATCATCCCGCCAGTAGTCCTGTCGTGTGGAGAGGCGTCGCGCTCCCCACGATGTAGTCGCAAGTTGCGCCTTGGTCTACAGACTATTCCTGAAGAGAGACCCAGGCACGTCCAGGATGGTCCTGTAGCGCTTACTCCCAACTTCCACTATTGCTCATATGAGAAACTGTGTGCTAAATCTTTACATCAAATATTAAAGGACCCGACGCCAGCGATCAACTTCCCCCGTCGTAATCTGCCACCGCGGCCCGGTGCTCTGCCCAAATCCCCCGATGTCAGCCATCTGACCTTGGAATTAAACCCGAACTCCGAGTATATCGTCCTAGTATCGATGTATGAAGTGTATAACGACCGCATCTTTGATCTACTGTCCCCAGCTATTGTCCCTGGCCAAGGCAGCACCGTGTCACGTCAAGGGGCCAATACGCAGCAAAAGGATCGACGCAAGCACCTCTTCTTCAAGTCGACCGAAGGATCTCCCGATCGAAAGCTCGTTGCAGGTCTGCGCAAGATTGCCTGTAGCACTTACGAAGAAGCACTGGCGATTCTTGAGATTGGCCTTACGGAGCGGAGGGTCACGGGAACTAATTCCAACAGTGTGAGCTCTCGAAGCCACGGTTTCTTCTGCCTTGAAGTCAAGAGACGGATGCGGAGTAAGAGAACTGGCGAAGAGACCTGGATTGGGAACACATTGACTGTTGCGGACTTGGCTGGTAAGAATCTACCAGTGACATGACGCGCCGATGTTAACCAAGTATCAGGTTCCGAGCGAGCAAGAACCGCGAAGACAGGAGGCTCAACACTTGCTGAAGCTGGTAAGATCAACGAGAGTCTTATGTACCTCGGTCAATGCTTGCAAATGCAAAGCTCTATTCAGGACGGGAACAAGGTAGGGCTGCAATCTTCTTCGTCCAATAATCCTTTGCTGCTCTTGTGCTGATCAAACTAGACCGCCGTCGTCCCTTTCAGGCAATGTAAACTTACAGAGCTGTTGTTTTCCAACTCGTTCCCCTCCCCTGGCCAGGCAGCAGGCCTGAACCGCCACCCGCAAAAAGCACTTATGATCGTGACGGCGGATCCGTTGGGAGACTACAACGCAACATCTCAGATTCTACGCTATTCGGCACTAGCGCGTGAAGTTGCTGTGCCTCGAGCTCCGTCCATTGCGGAGTCTATTGGGTCCAACTCTCTTGCTACGGCAAGCGGGCGTAATTCGCCGGATTTAACCACAGCCGAAGAGCTTGAACGGGCCACAGCTGAAGTCAAGCGACTGGCCGAAGAAAACGAAGGCCTCGCCATGAGGCTTGCCGAGGAAGAGGTCATGAAAGCAGAACTCGAGCTGAGATTGAAAGCTAGCGAAGAGACCTGCATCATGATAGAGCAGGATGTGCGGGAAGAGTGCTGGGCGGAAATGGACGAAAGAATGGAGGAAGAACGGAAAAAGTGGCAGACTGCTTTGGACGAACAGGTGAGAACGAGCAATTCCCGGACCACCCTTGCGCTTCTATTGACCTCACTAGGCTGGCCATAATAACGAACACCTTGATAAGAAGATCGAGCTTCTGTCCCGAGGCTTCCACGGTAAGTTTACGCTGTTCCACTATACCTGTGGTGTGACTGACGTTTGATTTCCAGTCCATGAAGATCCAGCGTCATCTGAGGACGACCGAGTGAACGATCTTGAATTCGAAAATGATCAGCTCCGCAGCAAGATTGCTGCTCTCGAGCGAGAGCTCAACTGCCGCTCCCCGACCAAAAAGCCCAAGCCCAAGAATGTGCTCGAGTCGTCTCGTAACTCCAACATCCTAGGCCGCGAAAGTGACATCGAGGTTGCACTTCAGCGCATGGACCAACTGAAGTTGGCTGACAGCATGTTCTCTCCTGCCCAACCGACCAAATCCCCTGGAAAGAAGCCCAGGAAGATGGCAACCCGCAAGTGGGATTTAGCGCCAGAGGAAGATATTTGAAGTGCCTATTGATGTTCTATGCCCATGCCTGATTGCATTTCTCTCTTATGAACACAAAATATCACGCCAACATGTTGGGTTTACTGCTTTTGCTTTTTACTTTCTAGGTATTAATTGATGTAGATTATGCGAGCAAGCAATGTCGATATAGCCCTGTTAAATAGAAAATCATCGTTCCCCCTATACTAATACATGATGCGAAGATCGCAAAGTCTCTGCTAGCCTACAGGATCACAACGCCGGTAGATCATGGTAAAAGACACCGTACAATTACAAAAGCGCCGGTATCCCGATATCATACCAACACCCGTACAATACAACGATAAACATGGGAACATGCAGAGAAAACAGAGAAAGAAAGAGATTAGACAGGCCGTTTCCATAGACGACGCAATCTCAACGAATGTCCATTGCTTCAGGTTCACCGTCACCACCAGCAGCCTCTTCGGCATTTTCGGCCTCTTCTTCTTCATCAACATCGGCGCCTTCACCGTCGACGTTCATCATGTCCCCGTCCCCGGGGTCATTGTCGTTGTCGTCGCCTTGGGGTTCAGGCTCATCTTCAGGTTCGGCTTCTTCTTCTTCCTCTTCCTCTTCTTCTTCCTCTTCTTGTTCTTGTTCTTGTTCTTCGGCATCAGCACCATCTTCACCGTCATTCTCTTCGTCGCCTCCCATTTCGGCGTCTTCTCCCTCGGCAACTTCTTCTCCTTCTCCTTCCTCTTCTTCTTCACTATCGCCTGCCTCGTCCCCGCCTTCTTCTCCTTCTTCTTCGTGACCGTCGTCCTCTTCCTCTTCTTCGTCTTCTTCGCCGACGGGTCCAGTTTCCTGATCGTTCTCGCCGACATCACCCTCTCTATCGGCCCCTTCTTCCACCGCCGCAGCAGCGGCTGCCCCGCCATCTCCGTCAGCACTGACCTGAGCCGACATCTCCGACCCGGGTTCGACGGACCCCCTGTTCTGCAGATTAGGGAAGAAACGCTTCCTCTCCGGAGCGAGTTTCGACAGCTTCTCATCGTCGATCTCGCTAAGCTCGCTCTCGTCGTCAGCACTCTCGTGTAGACTCCCATCGGGTGCATCACTCTGAATTCCTGTCGAGCTGCCGACGGCCTGGACACCATTGCTGGTGGTGTCTTTGGTCGTCTGTGAGGGCGCGGACGTGGCACCGCCTTTCTTGGGAGGATTGTGGTGTGGTGTTGGTTCAGTCTCCGCGGGGGCGGGGGCCTTAGCTGCGGGGACCCGCGGCGTCAGCTTGCGGCTGACGATGGTCTCCGCTCGTTTTTGGATATCGCGGCGCGCGATGCCCTTTGTGCGGCCGCGGGGCGCGGGGGCCTCTGACGGTGGGGCTGAGGTAGGTGGTGTGGAGCCATCTGCGGCGCCGTCGGTGGTGGCCATTAGGAGGTGGTCGACTTTCATCTTCTCTTTGTTTTCCTCGTTGGCTTGCTCGAGGACTTGCGGCATGTTGACTTCGTAGAGGCGGGAGTAGAGGTCTGCGATGAGGTCTTCGAGGAGGGAGACTTTCATGAGGTTGTTGTTGAGCTTTTTGAGCTCGATGGCGTCGCGGAGGAGCTCGAGGAGGAGGGTGCTTTCTGGGGCGAGTTGCGCGAGGCCTTCCAGGCGGGCGGTGTTGGTTACGAACTCGTCCCAGCTGATCGGCTTGAAGACACTTTCTTCGTGGCCTTCTTTGATGCCGCCTGCGCGCCGGATGACTCTTGCGTAGGTGAGGCAGACGTCTTCCCAGAGCTTGGTGTGGTTGATGAAGTCGCCTTGCTTCTTTCGCACTCGGCGGAGTAGTTGATCGAGATTCGCGCGGTCGTCGAGCTGGTCGAGCAATGCTACGTAGAAGTAAACGTATCGTGTTGTATACACGAAGTGTCTGCCGGGGCGCTCGAATTCGGGCCTCCAGACTTGGATGGTCATGGTTTTGGTGAATATTTGGTGTCCGAGTTCGCTCTTAGCTGCCGCTGCTGCCGTGGCGTCCTTTTGGTCGTCGTAGAGAATGTGTGCAGCCTGACGGGGTTTAGTGAACAATGCCATGCAAGGAAATAGGGGTAATAAGTGGCTTACCCTGAAGGCCATGCGATGATGCCAGTTGGACTTGTCCCCATGCTTCAGATTCCGAAGCACTTTGAGTATATACGGTTTCCAGTCTTCGCTTCCTTCTGGCGCTTCGACCTTGCGAGCCCAGGGAGTCGCTAGAAGAGTCTTGCTTGCTTCGGTCGCCTAGTGAGGTATTAGCGGGGTGCTATACGAAAAAGGTAGCTTCTTTTGTGTGAGCGTATTACCGTCAACGTGTTTCTTTGAACCAGCTTATCGATGATCGACACCAGCTTATAATGTGGCTCAAAGATAGGTTCTGAGCGGGAATCCCTCCGCTGAGGAAGTGCGTCGATCGCATCGAGTAGAGAATCCACCATTTCGTCAACCTCAATGCGTCTGAAGTTTCCCCGCACAGAGTCGTCACAGCTAAACATCTTCCAGAGACATTTGCTCCGCATATAATAAGTCCTGTAGTGTATTGAGTAAGCTTCTATGCTGCTGTGGTGGATGGATCAAACTCACATCCAATTCTTGGGTTTATTGATGATGGCATGCTTGAGAAGAAAGCTCGCAAGGCTCCAGACAGAGTAGATTTTCATCTCCCTGAACGGCTGCCTCTCGTACATCTGCTGGTTTTCTTCGCTGTTGAAATGGCGAGTCGCCTCGCCAATGTTGAAAGCTGCCATCGACAATGGCTCCCGGGAGGACGCGTAGAGACGGATCCCGAAATCCGTATAGACATCCGCTAGGAGTGTTCGGGTTTCTGGTGCTGGGTCCGCAGTGCTGATCGCTGTTGCGATAGCCATGGCGTAGCAGTGGATTGCATTACGCTGCCAGGTTACCAAGTCCGTCCGATTATTATTGATTTTGTCTGCAGACCAGGTGATATCCTCCTCTAGCTTCGAGTCGTACGTTTGAGCAAGGCGATACCATGACTCCCACTTCGGCGTCCCATGCTCAATATCTTGCCGGAACCAAGTGATAGCGTCGTCGAGATCGGTGGTTGGAACGGGGTTCAAGCGCTTCTGGGAGCGGAATTTCGTTAGGGCTGCGTGGCCCAAAAGGAAATACCACCCTTTTCGTGCGATTACTGCACTCTCGGTAGGCACAGGGATCAAGGGGAGATCATCAAGGCCTCGGATGGCGTGGAATATTTCCGTAGGGTTGAGCGGAGATTTCAAGTAGGACGACAGAACGCGTTTGTTGTACGTTAACGGAGGCGACGACTTGGTAGTGCCAATGGCCGACTGCATCTTATCAATGGTAGCCTTCAACTCTGACTTGGACAGGTCCTTGATGTTGATCTTCTTTGCCTGCTTCATGACGAAGTCGATCATCATTATCGCCGTTGGCCGGTCCAACTTTTCAACAGGGCAATTGTGCTCGGCCAGTAAACCGTCAATGGGAGAAAGCTTTATGCCATGGATATCGTATAGAATTTGGCATTCGTCCGCCTCCACATCTTGCTTTACATCCAGGGTGAAGATCTCCGATTTCATGATCTTGAGGAACTGCTTTTGGGAGCGCTTGCACATCTTGCGGATACCAAGAGCATTGTGCACGGCACGCAAGTAATGGATGCGGTCCTCTAGCGGGGTGTCAAAATCCTCTTCGCTTTGTGCCATGGCTTCCCTTAGGAGCGTGTAGAGTAAGATCCAACAGCGGACGTTCATGTCGCGTAGTTTGTCTTTGAAGTTCTCCAAGGATTTGGCGAGTGCGCCGCGAAGATCAGATCCGGCTGTTTGACCCACTCGAACTGAGTCCTCATAGACGATGAAGCTATGGAGTAGGTTTAGTAGAAAAGCGAGTGCTGACATTGACGACCTGAGATGATCCATGTCAAAGCAATCGAATGCATTTTCCTTGTCTTGAAGAACAGCAGTGGTCGTCTTGCTCAAAATGCCATCAAGCGATTTGAACCATCGGATTAGGAGGGTCTGGCGATGCTCAGTAGGTTCCTCCAGATGCGCAGGATTCTCGAGCTCTCGTGTTATCGTCTCGATACTACGAAGCTGGCAAGAGATGATCTTGGGCGGGTAATTGATCGACTTGTACGCGTCCTGCAGTCTTTGCCACAAGAATAATCGCAGGGTGACATCCCCTCTATCCAGGAAAGAGCCCATTTCGTGGATCTGGGAGGTTGGCTGGTCGAGGCTCTGCTCTTCGGTCCCATTCTCTTCAACGAAGCGAACAGAACTAGGCTCGAGGATTGGCTCGATCGTTTCAATCAGCCCTACAGGGTCTTCCGATTCAGGATTGAAAATCTTCATGAAAAAGTCCATGGACTTCAACTTGGAGATCTCCTGGTCGATGGCCTCGGCCGCTATTTCCGGCATCATAGCGTTGTTCACGAGGGTTATCTCCGGATCTTTCAGGCAATGCAGCAGGCGTTTCAATTCCTGAAGACAAAGAAGGACATGTTCTCTCGAAGCGTCAGTGATCATGTTGGAGTAGAAAGTGGACGCCCAGATATGGCGCAGAGTGATATTGTCCTGGTCAACTCCCGGGGGACCATGGTCCATGAGGTGCGTGAGGGAGGTACGAGCTAGCATGTTCCATCTTGCCAAGCGATCTCGCTGCACGCTCCTAATGCCTGAATCCACCTCGCTGTTCGGGTTGTTTATAGAATTGTATATGTCGAGATGGAGCTCAAATACAGTTTGGAGGAACACCAAGTCTGAAAAGTGCTCAACGGTGTATTCAAAGGGTGCCTGGGCGCTGCTAGAGAGTATCTGGTGCTCGAGGGCTTCAATCTTCTCGCACATCCTCCCATAAACGTACTCGTCGTCCCGCAGCAAAGCTTGTGTCACGGTTTCTTTGAGAAATTCAGGCCACTGGCATTGATCGTAGGTCGACTTCATGCTGGACCAATCTCCTGCGCCGGAGACATTACCTCCCGCGAGACCTTTCCCGAATTCGGGTGCCAGGAGCGAATAGAGCCAGCCAAAGACCACTTCGTGGACATTGAACCATCCTTGATTGACGTGCTCTGACAACTCCATCAGCTCTTCATCCCCAGAAAGGACTTGCTTCATCCCTAATTTGCGGGTAGATTTCCTCGAGTGTTCCAGGAAAATGGCCAGTCCAGATTTGCCCATGGATTGGACGTTCTGAAGCGTTGAGAAGTTATCGTTCTGAAGCATGACCTGGGACCTCCCCTCATCCCAACTTTTCATAATGTTCCGTAGGTCCTGCGGCAGCAAGTGTTCGACTTTCGTAGGCAGGTTTTCTGCATCCGCCGGGGCGCCCCCTTCGGCAAACACAAGCTTCCTTATTCCATCTACCGTCCCTAACTTTTCGACGCCAACCTTAGATAACAAAGACCCCGCCGTGTCGAGCATCCATTCGTCGGCCTGGATGTACTCTGCAAGTTGGTCCTCGTAGAACTTATTTTGGTCGAACGCGACTTCTTCGGACTGGGTGGGCAGATCTGCGTTTGATTCTCGGAGACGAGTCCGTCTACTTTTGGACCTGGAACCCTCCGCTTGGTCTTCAGTCATCGCCGATGCAGAGGACCTTTTGCGACAGCCGTTCACCGATGATTTGAGATCCGGCTCTTCAGCATTGGCGGGTTCTTGTTGGCTGTCTGCCTCAGGAAGGGTAGGGGACGGAAGTTCCAGACCCTCCATGAGCTGTTGTTCTGCCCTTTGATCAACAGACGAATGATCATCGGCATGATCTCCACATGATTCAGGGCCTTCGGTTTTAATACTTGTCGGAGGCCGGGACTTCATGATCTGGTCTCCGTCGTCTGGTATAGGGGCTTCTTGCTTCTGTGCTGCGTCCTCTTCGTCGCCCTTTTGTCCGGACGGCTGTGCATCCTTGGCACCTGTCGCTTTTACTTCGCGATTAATTGGCGGCAAAGTAATTTTTATTGACGACCCGACGCGAATATCGGATGACCCCTGCTCTTCATCCTCAAGGACTTGGAGAAGAGATTGACCCACCCCAGCCCAAGTTGGCGTGGTTGGTTGGATCTCATGACGTGAGGGTTGTAGGGCGAGAGAGCGTTTCGTCGTATCTGCGTCCTGTAGATTATTTGGCAGGGCAGGCAAATAAGGAAACGGGTCAATGTGACGTTTCAAAATCTTCAACAGAGCCTTCTTTGGTTTCTTAATCGGGACGTAGGAAGCGGATAATCGGTCATCCAGTGTCCGCAGCGTATCCCGCAGTCGCTCTTCCGCGAATGTCTCCTCCAATCCCAATTGCTCTGTTCTGACTTCCAGACGGTTTTCGTCATCCGCCAATACACTCTCCAAACAATATCGCACTAGTCGGTAGCTCTGCAAGGCGCTGCTCAGTCGCGCGCTCTGTCTCCACAGGTTGAGGTCGGTATCGTCGCTTTCCAAGGCGTCGGCAAACGACGCTAAGGCGGTGCTTGCTCGTTGCGCAATATTCGAGGAAATCTCGTCGACATTATCCGGTGTGCTCGGGATATTCTCAAGATTGGATCGTAAAGAGTCGAGAATGTATTGTCCGTGGTTTTTGTAGGCAAGGTAGATGGTCTGCAACAACGTGCTCGACGTCGAGTCATTAATATCATATTCTGTCAGAGTTTCAGCCTCAACCGCGGCAGCAGGATCATCCAGCAAATCCGTCGGCGGAAGTTCAGTATCTTGCAGGGCAGCTCTCTTGAACCCGGAGAGGGACTCGGGGTATTTGAAGATCTCCGAATTCAGCAGGGCGTCATAGGCTTCCGCGGCCTGGTCATAGAACCGAGGGCCCTGGGAATGAAGCTTCAGCGCATTCTGGTATAGCTTCAGCGACTCCTCGATCTGGATCTCCTTTGTATCATCCACCTCCTCCTCGACAGCTTCCGCGGGTTCGATATTCAAGGCCGTCCAATTGGACATGATGGCGATGCGGGCTTATTTCCGGCCCAGGGTTAAGTCGCTGGCATCGGCAATCGGATGGGAGTCGCGCTATGCAACATCGCAAGTTGAAAGGATGGGAGGGAAGTAGATGCGACGAGAACACCGAAAAGGTAGAGTTGAGATGGACGATGCGATCAAGAAGCCGCGGAACACGCATCACGCGTTTTCCGCCCGGGGGTGGGTGGCCTCAGGCGGGAATTGGGCTTAATTTCCCAAAGGAGCCAAGTGGTGGCCTGGGTGCCTGGGGACCGCATTGTTCCAGCCTGGGTCTTGCCTGGGTCTGCCTGAGGATCGGCCGTACTTTGTTTGATTACGGCCTGGTTGATCTCCGGCCGTGACGACGCCGCGCCGAGACTCTTCTTCCCCCCCAAAAGACCTCCTGCGCCTTTTGTCCCTGACAGTTACTCCTAGTGGCTTCTTTGAGCATCCCCGTTCCTTCGTACCAAAAAGTACATTCAACTTGATCTTTGATTTCTTCGATTTTCCTCCTATCCCTGTCGCATCTCTTCGTCCTTTCGCATGCGCCATGGTTGCGCCAGCTGTCCCCGAGTACGTACTCCTGAGGCAAACAGATGCGCTCCACACCTTCCCCCAGTCGACGTGGAACTAATTCCCAATTGCCCGCAGATTATACGAGGAGGAGGATATCTTTGCGGCGGTTGAGGCGCGCACAGAATCACTACAAAATCTCCGAGAATTAGGTCCCCCGGACTTGGTGTATCTGGTCAAACAGCCCAAGTCGAACACGGGCCGTCAGGTACGTCTCTTTTGAGTCCCGCTTCACGATGTCGCTACAAGGTTGCGTCTACTAGAGGTCGTGAAGGCAATGGATGATCGCTAATATGATTGCGACAATAGCAGACGGGGGTTTATCACCATGTTACCGGAATCGATGCCTCGTCCTCCGCCAGCCTGGCTGCCTACGTAAATACGTTGACGTTTTCTCCCCTGGACAAAACCCACAAAGTGGTCTCGGGGATTTATTGGTGAGATCATCCAATGATGTTGGTCTCTGGTCGCATGCACCATTTCTGACTCCGTCGCAGTTGTTATAACGCCTTTTCCCACCTGGACATGCGTGTCGAAGTTAAGATCCCGGGAAGCCTGGAAAGCTATTGCATCGACGAGCGCGGGGAGCAGCGTGTTGCCACCGAGGCCCTTTGGCTGGAAACATTCTTGTGCGGTATCTTGAGGGCCTACTCCTACGCGGACAATGGTAGTGGGGATTCTATCAGGAAGATTGTTGGCGTTCGCCGGTTCAACCCCGTCACGAACACGGAGATGGAGCACAAATTTCTGGACGCCGCAGAGAGGCTGTTCTTCTTGGGTGCGCTACTCCGGGAGCTTTCCACTTGAGACATATACTAACGACAGTGTAGGACGGCAACTTAGCTCCGACCCCGAGACCCAAGTACCGAATACCGTCAGCAACCATCTCACATCGGGCCTTTTGAAATACATCCAGACCACCGGGCGCTACACTTCGGGAATCAACTTGTTTGAGAAGCTTCGCACAAGAGACGTGGAAGTCTCGTCGCTACTCGCCCAGGTCATGCTCATGGCGGACGAGGAGGTTCAAGCGGTGCGGTTGATGTATGACTCCCTACAGGACGTCCCGATGGACTATTCCTTGCTCGACTGCCAGGCAGCGTTCTGCAAGAACAAGGGCGAGGGGGAGATGGCTCTGGAGTGCGCGAAACGCGCCGTCACTGCTGCGCCCAGCGAATTCAGCACCTGGGCCCGACTGGCGGAGGTATACGTGGGTTTGGAGCAGTGGGACTTGGCACTTCTCACGCTGAACTCGTGTCCGATGTTCACGTACCAGGATAAAGACACGCCGCGCATGCCCCAGCCGTCCCGCATTATGCTTCCGATTTTAGCGGAGAGCATGTTGGATGAGATCGACGAGGGCCAGCCGCGGCAGGGCGACCCCCACGACTATGTGCACCCGTCCCTGCGGAGACTCCACGCTGCGACGTATCAAGGAACTTTCCTCAAGGCTTACAACCTCCTGACGAAGATCACGGCCGCGATCGGGTGGGATCAACTACTCAAGATCCGCAGCGAGGTCTTTGTCATGGAAGAGGAGTACCGGGTCGAGCGTCAGCATTCCACGTCGAAGGTGTCGCCGTCCATCGGTTCTGGCGCGAACGAAGAGAGCGAAGACGCGAAGGGCACCGAGAAGGGCGCTGGTGACGAAGACACGCAGACGAAGTCCGAGACCACCACGAACGGCGACAAAGCATCGGAGGTCACTGTCGAGCGACCGGAGCAAACCGTGGCGTCCGCGGTGGTCAAGTCTGGCCGCGACGATGTGAGTACCTTTTACCTGTTTATCTGTTTCCCTGTTTACGTGTTCGCCTGGTTTTGAACAACATCCTAACCTTATCCCAGCCCGACCCTTCGCACGCATCCTATACCCAGTTCCAGAACAAGCGTCTCTGCGAGCGCTGGCTGGACAACCTGTTCATGGTTCTCTACGAGGACCTCCGCATCTACACCATCTGGCGAACGGAGATGGCCCAATTCCGACAGCAGGCGATCGAGTACAAGAAGTCCGCGACGGAATGGGAGATCCTCGGCGAACTCGCCGAGCGACTGCACCACTTCGACGAAGGCATCGAAGCCTACCAGCACTGTCTGGAGATCCGGTTCTCGCCCAAGGCCATGCGGGGAGTACTAAAACTGTACGAAAACCGCAACGACACCCGGTCCATGCTGGGCGCGTTGATCCGTCTGATTGCCTGGCAATACCGGTGGTATTCTGAGGTTGGTCCCACAAACAAAAAAGAAAACGGATATCCCATTAGATGAATGGTTCTAACCAATGCAGTTCTCCCCCGAACTACTCTACCTCATCCGCAAGCTCATCGAAGATGAAGGCGCCGTCAAGGTGCGCAGTATAGTCCAGGCTACTAACCTGTCTCAGCCGGTCCTGGATCTCACACACCAGTACTGCCAACTATGCGCGACTTTCCGCAGCAGCGGCAGTGATGGTTGATTTTTCTTCTTCTCCTTCTCCTTATTTCATTTAATCTCATTTCTTACTCTATTTTCATACTTTTTATTCTCTCTACAATAGTCCCGGGCGAGACAGTCTCCTATAGATTACTTAGGCAGGAGGGAAAAAAAGGGTTTGGGAGAGAGTCAATGTTTCCAGCGTGGCTGCAGCGAATACATACGAATATGGGGGATTTTGTTTTAATTATGTAGTGGGTACAATAGTTATAGGTAGGTAGGTAGTTATAGGCAGGTATTGATCATCCTTATATCTTTAACAGTCACTGGTTTTGTCAATGCCTGTAAGAGAAATGGTGTGCAGACCTTTTGGTCCTTTTTACGCGATTTTACTTCTTGACTCCTTTCTTTTGCCTCCATCATGCTTACCTCAATTTATCGTCTATTGAGCTCTTTACAATTGTCACTGGGTGTATAGATGGACTAGCAGTCAGTGTCATTATGTAAGGTATGTATGTGTTGGCATCTCAAAAATACGCAAGTTCATCACACCACTTCCACTAGTGGGTCACCACTAGAATAAGTAAATGATGATACATCTCTCAGGAATGTGACAATCGTCCATGGAAATTGGAAATATGTTGAATTACATACCACGACAAGAGATCTTTATACTATAACCTCCGAGTCCAGGCCATATCAGAACAAGACCACCTACTACTAATCCAAGAATATAGACAAGGCCCATAGCAGAAGCAAAGAATAAGAGGTCATCTTGACGGATTAACACAGCATTATCCAAGTCCAACAAAGACGTCTGACCTCACTCATCCGCCTCCAAAGCATCAGAATCCAGTTCATTCTCTTTGGGCACAACATTGCCCTTGGCTTTCGCCGCCGCCGCAGCGGGCCCGCTGCTCTTTTCCGTCTTTTCAGCGCCCTCGTCTTTCTCGTCTTCCTCTTCCTCTTCGTCTCCGCCTGCCCCCTCCCCCTCCTTGTCGTCGTCGACACCATTCTCGCCAGCGTCCTTGCCTTTCTCCTTCACTTCTTCCTTCTCTTCACCTTCACCCTCTCCCTCGGGCGCGGTGGCTGTCTTTCGCTTCTTCGGGGCGGGAGGGCCTAGGTGGTAGGAATACACGTTAGCTCTGATTGCTGTTCGAAGGTGAAGATGGAGAGAATGGCAGGGGCGCACCTTTCTCTTGAGGAGCACCTTCTTCCTCCTCTTCTTCCTCTTCGTCTCCTTCTTCGGCGCTCGCTTCTGACTCGCTTTCTTCTTCGCCTGCGCTTTCGCCTACGTCGGAGTCCTCATATCTGGGTCATGTTAGTTTTGCATATCTTTGCATGAAGATAAGGCATGATGAGAATCGAAGATAGCAAGCAGAATTCTATCATCGCCGCGACGCAGCTCGAATGAATTGGTCCACAAATAACAAGTGTGAAGAAAAAGTATCATATCGATGACGATGATGCAATCCAACCGAGGCTAGCCAACAGACTCCCGGCCTAAGCTCAGAGCAACCGCAACAACGACAGACATCAAACAAACGACACAGCCGAGGATTTCATTCCATTTCAATATATTTTCAAAGAGAGAAAATCAATTGGTAGGCGCATTCGCAATACACTAAAAGACTAACAAAAAAGATCCAGACAGACAGGACTTACTCTTCTTCCTCTTCGCTCTCGTCGCTAGGAAGCGCCTGGAGCTCTTCCTCCTCCTCGGCTTCTTGCTTTCTCTTACGGGTGGACATTGTGTGATTTGGCGCAATCGATGCGCGAAAGTGTGCAGAAGTTGGAGGATCCCTCTAGACTTAAGATGGTGCAATGGGGGAGGGGAGAAGTCGGAAGGGAAGTAAGTAGGTTGGATAAGGAATGGGATGGAGGGAGGGGATGGAGGAGAGGGAGAGGAGAGGTAAGAACAATAAATGGAGAGAGGCAGGCAGGGCAACAGGGTTGGCGCAAGTACAGACAGAGAAAGTAGCAGCGCAGCGCAGTGCAGTCCTGCGCCGCGCCAGCCCCAGCCCATGCTTCTCCTCTGTACCCTGGGAAAGGGAGGGGAATGATGAGTGAGCATCATCATTAAGTTATGAGCCGTTATATTTCCATGATTTTATTCCATCTACTACTTCTTTTTTTCTTTTTAGGGTATTTTTTTTTTTTCTAAATCAATCCAACTTTATTCAGACAAAAGTAAAGAACAAGAAAACAGCTCAAGATTAAATTTGGAAAAAAAGAAGATAAAACAGCAGCCATAGCAATGATCAGAAGCATATGCTGGGGAGGAACTTAATACTGCTGCAGAGCGAACGAAAGGGGGGCCGTCGCTTTATGGCCCAAAAGGCCGTGTTGATAACACTATCTTATTTACTACCGTCGTAATCCGACTTATTCAATTTGTTACCAGACTACTAGGTACCGTACTCTGTCTGCACAGTAGGGCCCGCCTTGACAAGTTATTTACTACAAAACAGGAAATCAGGCCTTTCTTTCAACTGAATAAGAGTGTTTAAAAGACGAGTGTAAGACCATTAGAAGGGGAAGTGAGAAAAGAACTTAAAAGAAAAGAGAGGGAGAGAAGATGCCAGTCGCACCTTTGATTCACAAACAGCAAGGTAACCCCGTGTCTTTAATCAGCAGGACGTGTCCATAACCGCAGGCACCAGGCACGGGACTCCTCTCTCTCCAGCCGTTCATTCAGCTCGGACTGGATCATGATGTCAGTTCCAAAGGACCAAGTCGACTAGTCCTTCCTTGCTGCTTTACATTACATACTTTTTTCTTTTCTTTTTCACTACTTTTCCCTGGAATAAAATATATTAAAAAGAATGAAATACACCGGGCAGCCATGTTACACTGGACGGCTGGGAATTCGGTAACCCCATCTCCACTTCTCTATTATGTACAGAGCGAGACCTGCTGCTCCTGTGTGAGTGTTACTGTTTTACTTGCTGCCGTGTGTGTGGTACATACATGCATCCACCTACATACACTGTCCCCAGCTCCAGCTTTAGAGCTTACCTACTCTCAGACGGATGCGCTCGGGCCAACCTATTCAACTCAATCTCAACACAGGCAATGTAATAAACCATCATCTTGATCTCCTATCTAGTAGAATATCGATCAACCTTCATATTATTTATCTATACCTTGTATATACCAAAGTTACTGCGCCAAAAACTCAAAATTGGCCATGCTCGGATCTAGCAGATTCTCATCCAACCCAAACCCGTACGTCCCTACCATGTCATAGATCAGGTCCGGCGGCGGAAACCCCTGCGCCATGGCATTGGCTCCACCAGGTACATCGCCATCGGCCCGGTTCACGGTCCCTGCCCCTGACCCTGCACTCCCAGCCGCTGCCCCGGATCCCGGTCCAGCAGCAGCAGCAGCGCCCCCGCCCACGCCCCCCTGCCACGCCGTATCCCACGAGTCGAACCGGTCGAGCATCTTGCCGAGCCCGCGCGCAATATGCCGCGTCAGGTGTCGATCACCCGCGGAGACGCAATTGAGCAGCTCGATGACGCGCTCAACGAGTCGACGGACCTGGCGGCCGTCGATGCTCAGGTAGGCCGAGTTCCAGTTGACGGCGACTTTGAGCAGGAAGACTGCGGAGAAGGTCACCATGGTGTGTGTGAAGATCGGTACGCCCACGATGGCGTCCCGGATGTCGGGCTCTTCGAGGACCATGTTTAGGCAGGCCATGGCGGACGAGATGGCGATGTTGGCGGCTTCTTTGCGGTCCATGGAGAAGACGGGGGTGTTGGTTGGGGAGAGGGCGCGGAGGGAGAGCGAGTTGAGTTGGAATTTGGCGAAGTGGTAGTGCAGCACTACGCCTTTGGAGGGGTAGGTGCGGACGTAGGGGCTGTCGCCTGGTTTTGACTGGTGAGTGGTGAGTTCGGATTGTTCTGGTCTGGAGATTCACTTACTCGATCGGGGTTGCCACAGGAGTCGCCATTGATCCAAGGCCACATTGTACACCCGCAGCTGGCCGAAATCCTCTTCCGTCAAGGCCTGTTCCGTGTCGCTGCCAAACACGCGATACGCCTCCGTCAGGATCATGAACAGCGCCACTTGCGCGATCAGCCGGATATCGCCCGGGACCACCATCGGAGACTGCAGGAACGACTCGTAGTTCTTGATCGCCACGTCCTCGTGGATGACGGGAGGTCGCCCGTAGGCAATGCTAAAATGGTGGTCGCAGACGTAGAGCAGGTACCAGAGCTGGGCGCGCTCGTACTGATCACCGTGGCCGCGCATCATCTTCTGGTAGCTCTGATGGAGACCCATCTCCGTCGCGATTCGCACCGCGTGGCCAGACAGCTTCCAGCTCAGCTCGGAGAGCCAGAACGCGCCCACGCACAGCCCGCGGATGTCATCCAGCGTGTGCGCTCGCGTCAGAGACATGTCGGACACCAGCGATACGTACTCGCCGTAGCACCGGTTCAGCGTTTCCGTCCGATTGGGGATGTGCAGGGCCGCCACCGTGAGGACCGCCGCGGAGAGGAGGGTTGACGCTCGTCGGACGGATGTTAGATCCCGGTGGACGAGGATGATTCCTCCCCAGAGGAGCTGGTTCATTGTGCGGCTGAAATATGCGAATAGTTCTTCAGCTTCGTGGATGGAGATCAGCCCTCGCGAGATGAAGTCCTCCTCCAGCAGCGTGAGCTTGGGCTGTTGCACCGGGTTATGTCGTAAGTCGCGCAGCTTCGTGACTTCATAGAGACTGCGCATCGGCGCCGGCACCAGCTCTTCTCGGTCTCCAAGGTCCGGCTCCTGGGAGGCCTCCCTAGTCACGTCCATCACAGCCCCTGGCTCTGAATGATTGACGTGGTTGACGTGGTTGGTCTGGTTCAGGTTCATCTTCGTCTGCGACCCATCGAACGTCGAATCGCGACGGTAATGCGACGAGGCGGGACTCGAGCCATTCTGACCGCCGTCGTTGGCGAAATACGTTGACAGCTCCGGGAGTCCGTTCTGGCGCAGTAAGTGTGCCACGGCGGTTTGAAGTTGCTGAATGGTGGCCGCCGCTTGAGACTTCCATCTAGCACAACAACTCAGAACCACCTCACCAAACGATTGAACCTTATAGATAGAACCAGAAATCACTCACACTCCATCGTCGTCGACGAACTTCTGCGAAAAGTCATTGACTATGCATTTGATGCCACTGCGCATACACTTGTTGCACGTAGCTTCGCCCGGTTTGAACTCGCAACGGATCTTGTGACGCTTGCACTCCGCACCTAGATGCGTTCAGTTCAGAACATGCACCCCGCACGATCCACCCACCATCCTCGGTACGGGTTACAAGTACTCACACGCGCGGGCTTTGGAGATCCTCGGGACCGGGGCCCGTCCGTCCGGAGCAAGAGACGCACGCCGGTCATCTTTCCGAGGGGACTCGAGACCGACGTCCGATGAAGAGCGCTTCATAATGGAGCTGTCCTAGAGGATGACTGGAGGGTATTGGCTAGGGGAAATGGGAGTGATCGGGGATGCTCCGGGGGCATCATGCAGCCAACCTGGGACTGCAGTTTGGGACGGATACAATCGGCATGAAAGGAAATTGGAGGAATCCGATCGCGCAAAAAAGCAATTAATCCTAGACTTGAGATCCGGTTGGTCTGGAAGGGTGAGAAATCGAAAGCAGTACGCGATGGGAATGGGAAGGAGGAGAGCAGAAGAAAAAGCACTGGTTTCATTGAGGGGGAGAAATCATGGATGCGAAACCCCGCCTTTCTCTAATAAGCGCCCGGGGGGTCAATGGGCTTCCACATCCTTGTTTTCTTCATTGGATAGTTGGTAGGATTTCTATATTCTTTCGATTAATACTCAATTGTTCTTATTCTGACAGTCTAGTCTCTGATTAATCACCAAGTCAATTCTCTATAATTAGAGGATTCAGTACAATCCCCAGAAATGTTGATTGATGGGGCACATCGCATCGTCTTATTGGAGGAAGTCTTCCAACCCCACCCCCATACTGTTGAGTCTGGCCACAATGTCGAGATATCTGACAAGCAGAAGATCTCAACAGCTGTCTCCCATGAAAAAGACAAAATCGAGAATACAATGACTTTCTTGTCTTTACCTCCTTTGCCTGTTTATCCCCTCTGGGTAACAACGGGTCAAGTCCGGTGGGGAAGCTGGACCTCGGACTTGATGCGAGCCCCACCCCCGACATGACGATGGAATAACAGGGTCAACAACAGGTCCGACATCTTCTTAAACCACTCTTCTCCATCTCCAAACCACTTCTTCAATTAGTATCATCTACAACATGCAGATTCTCATCACCGGTGCAGCCGGTTTCATCGGCCAGCTCCTCGCCAAAGAACTCCTCAACGACCCCTCCCACATCGTGACATTAACCGACATCAACGAACCCCCCATCCCCAAAGGCGCCAAACACCCCCAGAATGCACGCACCGTGACCGCCGATCTCCTCAAAGATGCCCAATCCGTCGTGACTGACTCGCTAGATGCCGTGTACGCCTTCCACGGCATCATGTCCTCCGGCTCCGAAGCCAACTTCGACCTCGGCATGAGCGTCAACGTCGATGCCACCCGCAATCTGCTCGAAGTGCTCCGCAAAACCTGCCCCGGCGTGCGCCTGATCTACTCCTCCAGCCAGGCCGTCTTCGGCCAGCCCCTTCCGAAAGTGGTGGACAACACGGTGATCCCCACGCCGCAGTCGTCCTACGGCGCGGAGAAGATCATCGGCGAGACCCTCGTCAACGAGTACACGCGCCGCGGCTTCATCACGGGCTTCACGCTTCGCTTCCCGACGATCTCCGTCAGACCTGGCTTGCCCACTGCCGCTGCGTCATCGTTTCTGTCAGGGATGATCCGCGAGCCGCTCAACGGGCAGGAGTGTGTCATTCCGCTGGAAGATCGGTCGTTCGAGTCCTGGATCTGCTCGCCCCGGACTCTTGTCCACAATCTGATCGTCACGCTTTCCTTGCCGCCTGATTCCATTCCTCCGCATATCCGCCAGATCAGTGTTCCGGGTATCTGCGTGACGATACAGCAGATGATGGATGCGTTGGAGGCGGTGGGAGGCAAGGACAAGCTGGCT